TACTTACTCTCTCTCTCTCTCTCTCTCTCTCTCTCTCTCTCTCTCTCTCTCTCTCTCTCTCTCTCTCTCTCTCTCTCTCTCTCTCTCTCTCTCTCTCTGAAAGAGGACAGAGTTGGAGCGGTTGTCTCTGATGAGAAAGATGAATGGATGCATGGTCAGTGGCAAACTCTGGATCAAACGAGGCACACATTACATGTACATGTATCTCCTCGGTCAGACCTGCAAGCAAAAGACACCCTTCCAAACCCACTATCAGGTTATACACACTGTGCCTGCAAACAGAAATTTCTAACAATAAAGCAGTGCTTTTGCTAAAAAAAACTTAAAGTGTTGAAGGTACTGATTCTTTATTTGATTTTATACAGTTTGGGTATCATCGAAGCAACTTGCTTCAGAATCATTTGAATGTGTCTAATCAATGTGGCTTCTGCATTTTGCCGAAGAAGAGGACAGAGTTGGAGCGGTTGTCTCTGATGAGAAAGATGAAGGGATGGTCAACGAAGAACGGTGTTGGAGGGCGTGGCATACATCTAGTCATCATCATCACACCTGCAACCAAACATATCGGTGTGTAATCTACAGCTTTTTACAAATAATCACATTACATAAATGAAGGTACCCTACTTATTTTTCATTAAAAAATTGCAAATTACTTAAGAATGGCTTTAAACTTAAAATTACAAGACGTTTTGCTTTTTGCCAAAGAAGACAACAGAATTGGAGCCATTGTCTGCAGTTCAATGTTAAGAATGAAACCTATTTCTGCAAGTGGTTTATGAAGACTTCCTGGGATGGTATATCATGACAAAAAACTGGAGTTGGAACAATTACTAGTTTATCCTTGATGACAAAGATGAGGCTTACATCATCCCAGCAACCAGAAACGTGGAGGATCTCACATGCACGTTATCTCAATCAAATCCATAAAGCAAAGAACTTTTTAAACCCATGTTACTCATCAAGTACCCCACAAAACAACTCCAAGGCTGTATATAGAGCTATAAAAGCTGCCAGAAGCTATTAAAGCAGTTATCTTTGACTGAGGTGAAGCAAAATACTTTTCAAGTAGCTTATAATATGGCTTTGCTACAGTTCATGTATGCTAAGCCAACCACACCAGGTCAGCCCCACTCTTCCTGATAAGTGTAATTGGGTTCTTATATGTGCAAAGGTTTGGCGCTTGAGGATTTGCTTCAAGCTCCCTCTTACACAGGGCCGCCAGCTTTACATCTGATCACTGTCCAAAATGCAACTGCATGACATGTCTGAACTCAGCCAACCCTGGGATCAAACTCACACCCACATGTTCACAAATTTGACCAAAATTTGTGGGGTCGTGTGGCGTAACGGTAGAGTGTTCGCCTCAGTGTCTGGTCTCAGGTTTGACATCTTTGAAGAGGTGATAATCACTTGTTATGTCAATTCCTTCCATAGATGTGGTAAATCTTCATAAACAAATAGATGAATGAAATGGCTATTAGATAAACCAGCGAGTTTGCGTTAATGATTGCACCACGCAGACATGCTTAAAGATGTAACTACCTGTCGTAAAAAACCTCAGCCTTAGTCTAAGCTCAGGCCACACCAATTTAATTTCTTGGTTAACGGATTCGCCGCTTCATTTTTCTCTGATTTGCAAATAAAAATAAAAATCCAGAATCAACTGCAAAATGCTCATATTTTGCCCTGAACAGTTGAAAACAGACCTTTTCATCCTAGTTGTTACAGTTATTCCATCTTTCAACGCAATGGTATCATTAAAAGTTCAAAATTCATTGTTTAAATTTTGAACCAGCCTGGTGTGTTGACTTATTAGCTCCTATTGTACCATTTGGGGCCATAATAGGATGTCTAGGCCTGTTTTTATTTTTATTTTTTTTTCGCCCGCCCGCTCCATTATTTTTGTAGAAAAATCCGTTAACCAAGAAATTAAATTGGTGTGGCCTCAGGGGCGGAAAAGACGTCCACAGAAAAGCACAGAGTTGGACTGGTTGTCTCTGATCAGGAATAGGAAGGGGCGATCGACTATGAAGTCTGGAGGTGGGAAGAGAGGTGCAGACAATGTCACCATGATGACCCCTGAAACCACACAAAAATCAAAATAGGCAAATTCAGACCATTGCTGGTGTCTCCTTCATACAGTCATAACATATTGTCAGGTCACATGGCTTAGGTTTCGTGCTATCCGAAGTTGATAGGGATCAGAAAAACAATCAAAACCTTGTTGGTAAGTCCTTTACTTTGTGTACTGTGAGAAATAGCATAAAAAACTCTTTATATTGTCCATTACTGTCATAGATGGACTTTCATATTGTCATGTGGATTCTACTTGTCTTTGCATGTGCATTGCCCACGAGGCAAGCCTGTCCATTAGGTTCATGCAGCTCTTTAGCCATGAGCCATTTCTCAGATTCCAAAGTAGGGTTATAAACAAGAAGTGGAAGAAGTTGATGTAGATTTAAGCAAGTAAAATCAAGGGCAACAAAACAAGATAATCAACAAAGTGCTATAGCTGTGAAGCATTTCTCAAAATGCACTCCCTCAAGCTCCTTAAACTGCACAACTGTCGTCAAAAGGATAGGCTGGATTGGAGGACAAAGAGGAAAGGTTGGGCCATGGTAATCTGTGGTGGAGGCTGATGGACTATGCTACACATCCTGGAACCAAGATGGAACCAAGAAGTCAAGGCACTGGTCTTTGCATCAATGCTGGCAGGTATATGAAGGCAGGTATATGTGAGGTAGCTTACTTAGGTTACTGAGCATTTGAAAATGCTGGTTGCTGTTGTTGTAATTTTGTGTTAAAACACAAAATATAGGGAACTCACAACAGTGGGTTTGTACACACATCTCCCCATCTATTTGCATCCGTAATGAAAAGATGACATGCATGCAATCTATTCTCAGGTGCAACTGCTCTATCTGTCTATTGCAATTTTTGTCTTCTTGGCACAATTGTCTTGAATTTCTTTCTTCCTTTCTTTCATTCCTTCCTTTCTTTCAATCCTTTTTTCATTCCTTCCATTTCTTTTAAATTTCTTTATTTATTGTACCAATTTGAAATTTCTTTCCTTTCTCTCTCTCTCTTTCTTTTTTTCCCTTCCTTCACACAACATTCTTATGATGATGATAAGAATAATAATGATAATAACACCAAGCACGTTAGCAGAATGTACTGCACGTATGTGAAACCTGTCATGTATCATGCACAGAACTTTGGCAGAACGTCTTGTTTACGGTCATATTGGCACATTTAAGGATGGCAAACAGGCAAAATTCTGATGTAACGTTGACCAAACATCTAAACAAAAACTGTGAAAAACCTGGGTGCAGTACATTCTGCTGACAGGCTATAATACCGTAACTGTACCTGTGGCGGCAGCGGCCTCTGTTCCTTCTTCGTTCACCTCCACAAAAGCCTTGTGCACCACCTCAGAGATAAAGAGATCCGCGGCTGCCGACATGCCAGAGAAATCTGCTCCATCGCTGAAAGCCTCTCCCATGCCCATCTTCTTTAGGGTTTCACCTGCATTATTGACAATTGAGAGAAAACTTAAGATATCTATAGTATCGTCCTTGTTCTAGCATGCTAGCATCCCCAGAGAGTATCAGGGATTTGCACTGTGGACATGAATTTTTCTACCTAGCACCATGGACAGGCCCTGTTTCTGGGTGTTCTACATAGCACCAAGTATAGGCCTGTTTTTTAGTGTTCTACTTAGCACCATAGACAGGCTCTGTTTATGTTTATAATACTTAGCACCATGGACACGTCCTGTTTCTGAGTGTTCTACTTAGCACCATTTACATTCCTTGTTTCTGAGTGTTCTACTTAGCATCATGGACAGGCCCTGTTTCTGAGTGTTCTACTTAGCACCACGGACAGGCCCTGTTTCTGAGTGCCAAACTTAGCACCACAGACAGGCCCTGTTTCTGAGTGTTCTACTTAGCACCATGTACAGGCCCTGTTTTTAGTGTTCTACTTAGCACCACAGACAGGCTCTGTTTCTGATTGTAATACTTAACACCACAGACAGGCTCTGTTTCTGATTGTAATACTTAGCACCACAGACAGGCTCTGTTTCTGATTGTAATACTTAACACCACAGACAGGCTCTGTTTCTGTTTGTAATACTTAACACCACAGACAGGCTCTGTTTTTGATTGTAATACTTAGCACCACAGACAGGCTCTGTTTCTGATTGTAATACTTAGCACCACAGACAGGCTCTGTTTCTGATTGTAATACTTAGCACCATGGACAGGCCCTGTTTCTGATTGTAATACTTAACACCACAGACAGGCTCTGTTTCTGATTGTAATACTTAACACCACAGACAGGCTCTGTTTCTGATTGTAATACTTAACACCACAGACAGGCTCTGTTTCTGATTGTAATACTTAGCACCACAGACAGGCTCTGTTTCTGATTGTAATACTTAGCACCATGGACAGGCCCTGTTTCTGATTGTAATACTTAACACCACAGACAGGCTCTGTTTCTGATTGTAATACTTAACACCACAGACAGGCTCTGTTTCTGATTGTAATACTTAACACCACAGACAGGCTCTGTTTCTGATTGTAATACTTAACACCACAGACAGGCTCTGTTTCTGATTGTGATACTTAACACCACAGACAGGCTCTGTTTCTGTTTGTAATACTTAACACCACAGACAGGCTCTGTTTCTGATTGTAATACTTAGCACCATGGACAGGCTCTGTTTCTGATTGTAATACTTAGCACCATGGACAGGCCCTGTTTCTGATTGTAATACTTAACACCACAGACAGGCTCTGTTTCTGATTGTAATACTTATAATTAGCACCATGGACAGGCCCTGTTTCTGAGAGTTCCATATATTACCATTCACAAACCATGTTTTTTAGTGTTCTACTTAGCACCATGGACAGGTCCTGTTTTTAAGCATTACATAGCACCATTAGGAAGATATTTTACAGTGTGTGATAATTTTGGTCCAAATTTGCCATAGAATCATGTTTGTTTCCATGACTTACCCAGTGAGAAGTCCTGCTCCAGTTTGAAGCGGGGCAGCATCAGGTTGACCTTGGTGCTGTACATCTGGCTGCTGACAGTCTGCAAGGTCGTTGCTGTCAGGGCAGACTCCAGGTTCCTGATACCCTCCACTGTAAAGATGACAGGCATGAACACGTGTTATCTTGTTCTAACTATCTATTGTTGTTGTTTTTTACCTCATATGTCCAGGTATGTGATAGGTGTGCACGCTATCAGCATACTTGCTGCCTAGTGCACACTTTGTATTGTCTTGTTACAATTCTGAATAAATAAATAGAAATAAATAAATGAACACGTGACTCAAAAAATATAGTTTTCTAGTGAACTATTTGAGATATGTAAAAATATAAATGGTGGAAAACTTGCTCATAATGTTTTGATACTGTTATGATGTTGATTTGCATATTTCATGAATATAAAGTAACTATAATGAAGGTAATTACTGTATTAGCATCTAAGTAGTATACACTACAGTACTATACAATGTATATGTTACAGTTTCCGTTACTATATACAAGTATTGTTACAGTTGTTTTACAGTCTAAGCTGAAGTAAGAATAACTTAGAAGCAAAGACATTTGTTGAGCTTCCTTTCCTTGCAATTGTGTTTATACATGTCATTGAGTGGTCTGTCACAAATGTAAAACGTGTGCATAAGACATGCAGGTCTCCTGTTTCTAGTTATCTAGTTATACAGTAGGTTTGCTAAGTGTCTAAAGAGTCTATATATTGACTTATGTGTCACAACTGTGAATTCACACTCACCTTCATCTGGAAGGAAGATGAGCATGCTCAGTTCCTTCTCCACGTAAGGAAGCTCCAAGACACGGAACTTCTGGTCCTGAAATTCACCGTAGTTGAACTTTTCCTCCATCTTCATCATAGGCACCTACAGACCAACATGATAATTATTTTAAATCATTTAATGTTGGTAATGATGAACTCATAAAAACAATGTTTAAAGGCCTACATATGGCATCGGGTGGTGTAGTGGTAGAGTGTTCGACTATGAAGTGGGGCGACCCGAGTTTGATCCCAAGTTGTACCTGGGACATGTCCGGACATGCGCCCCGACGTTGTGCCCTTGGGAAAGGCAATTTACACAACTTTCTTCACTCCATCCAAGTGTGAATGGGTACCTAACTTCGGTTGGGGAAAGAAGTATTGAGGTCACCTGGTGACGCCTAATGGCAGCCGCATAGACCCTTGCGACAGTTCCACAAAAAATTTATGGAGCAAATGTACATGCACATGTATGTCAGATAAGCATGTCAGCAGAACATACTGCACCTGGCAGCATGAAACCCAGATATTTCAAAATTTTCATTGAATGTTTGGTCAAAGTTGCATCAGAATTTTGCCTGTTGCAGATTAATTATCTTTTCCAACACAACATTTCAAAACTATAGATGGGATGTCATCCTTAAATACAAGAAGACGACCTTAGACATTCTGCCAAAGGGCTATGCAAACTTTTTTTGTGCAGGTGCAGTACAGTTTCTACCAATGCACTGGTCAGCAAAAAGGTAGTTACAGGCCCTGGAACAAATTTTGCTTTGAGATGATGATGGTTAGAATAGGTAAAAGAAAGCATGTAACAGTGAACGAGTAATTTACCTTGACTTTCTCATTATTGTTGATGTTGAAGTCCATGTCCTGGGTCATTTCTGCCTTAAACTGCTTGTCCCAGTTTCCCTTAAAGTAGATGGCGTTCACCAGCACTAGCCTGAAACAAAGAGGAATCATTTTACATCCATATAATACATGAAGGACTCAGCCTTTTGGCGTAACACACCAGCTTAATGAAACACCAGCTATAGTAGTGAAAATAATTTCATCAGGTTGGTAGAACATTGGAAATTGGGGTTTTCTTTTACACATTCAACCGATAATATCTCTCACGTGCGCCTGCTTCAACATTTTGGTGTCTGAGACAAGGGGGGATACAAAATTAACCACATTTGGGATAGTGTTCTTGCTCCATAAGTGCCTAGTACCTAGTGGCAAGTAACAGAACTGCAGTCATAAGCAGGTGAGAGATATTGCTACTTGTGGAAAAGAAAACCCCAATATCCAGCTGTGTACATGTACCTACCTCGTCATTGCATCCACTGCTCCTGCTGGGATCAGGTCTTTGATCTTGTCCTTGGTTTGCTCCTCCACCCACTTGTTGATGGTTCCTCTCACCTGCTCAGCTGCCCCCTGCAAAATATGTTATAGGATTTCATGACTGACTATTTCTGGAAGAACAGATAAGCAGGAAGGATAATAATAATATTAGCAACATAACTGTTGTAACATGTACATGTGTACTTTCATGCTCTTACAAAAGTATAATTTTGGTAGCTGATCATCAGCTGTAGGTTTGTGTATCTGTTTGTCTGGACAGATATAACATCATGTGGATGGTAGGGGAAGAGCAATTATTGACAGGCAGAATGACAGGTGGTCAAAAGGTCAGACTCAGGAAATGGGGTCAACTTGAAAGTCCAGCTAGAAAACCCAATGAAAATGCTTCCCAGAGGTATGAAATCTCCTATATATTGTTTGTTGGGTTATGTCATTTCTATCAAATTACAGACTGAGTTCAGATTGTATGCCATTAGTCGGTTCCTAGACAAACAAGCAAAGAAAGAAACAAACAAACAAACAAACAAACAGACTGACCTTGAAGTCCACAGAAGCCAGCTCTGCCCCGTAGTTCTTCTTGGTGGCATTGAGGAAGTCCTGCAGGAAGCTGTAGGTCTGCTCCCCGTACAGACGGTTAGCTGTCTGCAGGGTGTACTTGTCACTGTGGGAGGGGGGCAAACATCACGTGTCATTCTGATGACGACCTAGTCTGCAAAACTTTCATAAGGACCAGTTGTTTTACTAAAGTACTGGCGAACATAAGGTACCTGGGGTTTAAAGAACATGAGCTACGCACAGTTGGAAAATTATGAAAACATGACATTTAGCAGTATTACAGTCTTTTAGTTCAGTAATATAAAGGAGCTTGTATAAGCTCCTTGGTAATATAAAGATTTCTTACAAACTTCACAAATGAAATGAAGAACTTTTAACAAACAAAAGAGTCAGACAATACATACATGTATGTATTAGAGCCTGGGTGACTTGGCCTTGTGATTTTTTGTGAGTTTCTTTAATGTGTTGTAAAAGATAAATTTGTTCTTCATAAAATTCATAAAGGATTCGAAGTTCTAACTACCCTACCTAGCATACAGCTGTTGGTGCAGTGTGGAGAAAGTGCTGTGCAGGACGTCATTAGACATGTCCTTGTAGCACAGCGTGCCCTTCATGGCGGCCTCCGTACTGCCGCGAGCGCCAAGAGACGTCATGGCCAGCGCCACGGAGATGCTGTACGGCGAGAAGAACACGTTCCCGCCGTCCCCGCACAGCTGGCGATACAGGCTCAGCGCAAACTCCGTGTTCGCTGCACTTAGCTGTTCCATCCTGATTGAGAAGAAACAAAAATTTCATCTTCAAGTTTCAAATGTTTCAAATCTTGGTAGGGTTAAAGAAGGGGGGTTGAAACTGAGAACAATCATCAAGATTGACTTTTGATCATAATATAATACAAAGAAAGAGAACAGATATCAAACAGGTTATGAGGTTCCCCTTGCTTAATCCTGTAAAGCAAAATTAGTGAAGAGCAAAGCTGTACTACGTTAGATAATTAGATACAGTGTGCAGATTTTTCTACACCTTGAAACCCGATGAATGTAGTTAAAACCTTTCCACCTTCACTAGCAGCGCTGTTCCCACAACCAGCCAGCCCAGGTAGACAGGCCTGGTAGCAGCCCAGCCTTTTCTGTATACCCTCAAATGAAATAGTGTAAAGTTAATAATTAATCAAAGCACATCAAGTAGGACTCAGACTCCCAGAGTGAGCTGATGTAGAAAATTACTACATGGAAAAGCAGACAGGTGGTTGCTGCTGTCAGCTGGCACCTAGATAATTTATTTGAAGGAAGGGTTAGAATTGTAAGGTTTTAATTTAGATGATTTAGACCTGACAGAGCGTCCTGCTCCTCCCTTGGCTTGTTGTACTTGCTGTGCCATGGTGGTGTGGTTTACGTATCGGTGATATAGCAGGCTTCGTTCCTGATTATAACAAGTACATGATTACGAATCATGATTAAAATATCAACAAATAAAAGCCTTCAAGACAATGAACAGGAAAATGATATTACTTTTTTTAAATCAAGCTTTAAGGAATGCTTTTTGGGGTGAGAGATATCATTCAAGGTTCAGAACTACAAACTAAAGCTGCATGTATGTCAATTATGTCTAGACTGACAAAGTACATGTGAGGTCACAAGTAATCACTTTCGAATCCACGTTAAATCTTGTCTAACATGTTTGTTCGGAGTCATTGCACTTAATGAACTCTGGTACCCGCATATCTGACATGGGTGAGCCACATTCCAACATAACTTGCTTCATATTGAACAAAGCCAGGAGTGTCGTGTACGTGATCTCTAATGGTGCAATTGCAATTGCAAATTTTTTGCATACTTGGGAAAACTAAATGCAATCACCCAAATAATACAATGTCATGTCATATAAGTTATGATATAAGGTTTGTGTCATTAAGAAGAATAAACATGACTATGACTAAAACTGAATCTGGTCACACCCCACGAATTGCCCCCACCAAGGAGGTTAAATACATCTTTGCCCCCACCTTGTCACGTTTCACATGTTATGCATATTTTTCCTATGAACTTATAAACCATTTTCTGAACAAAATTTTAGTATAGCACAATGCATTGAAATCCAAAGGAAGCATTCGGTGAGAGAAAGCCTCTCAAAGCTTTCAGACATAAGTCTTTTCAAGAGAAGTCAGCAGGCATTAGATGGGTTTCTAGTCCTTTCTCCATTATGCACTACATAAGGGATAAAACATAGCTACATAGCACAGAAAACCTTCTTTAGAGATTTATTATTTGTAGAGTGAATGAATACGAACCTTTGAGGCACAAATCAGACAGCAAACTCTTTCAGAGTAATGCTGATCCGCCAATCACTTATGCTTGGAATGAAGTATAACTTGTCTTATTGTGAGTCCTACTGATTTGAAATGTCAAAGTGTCACCTCTTATTTGGGAGTGGCTATGAACAAGTAATTCTGCTGAGGGAGCGGCCTAATTCCAGCCTAGTCCGTAAAAAGGTGATTGTTAATCTGCCTGTCGGGTAGGCATCACTCCCTGCACTGTAGGGGTACCGGGGAGCTCCTGATGGTTACAAGGCTAAGCAGACTTAGATTTGGGCCGGGTAGAACACTTGGCAGCCCATTAAGACTGGTAACGATGTCACATTTATCGGGGTGAAGAGGTATGGGCCATCAGAAACGTAGTTTAGGCTGTCAGAAATGCCTGGCAAGCTGGCATAACTCCAGAATAATGGGTGTAATGTTGATGCATAATCTGCAAGAGGGTGCAGGTGCATACTAGGTGTCTTATCATTTGTTGGATATGAACAGGGGTATCTGAGTAGCTTGGCATGATAGCCAGCCCAGGTAGGCAGCCCACCTCTTTCCGTAAACCCTAAAATGAAAGGATTTAGTTTCAGACTCTCAGAGTGAGCTGTTCTAGAGAATTACTAATACATGTACTACTACTAACTGTAACATGGAAAAGCAGACAGGTGGTTGCTGCTGTCAGCTGGGACCTAGATAATCTATAATTATACATGTCAGACATTAAGTCTATATAACATTTAATAACATGCTTTGCTAGCACTGTGGCTTGGTGTGGGAGAAATGGGTTCACTGCCATATTGAGGCCTTTTATAGACCAGGTGCTCCACCATTGGCTGGCTGTACTTGTTGTGCCATGGCGGTTTGGTTTATCTTTGTATCGGTGATATAGCACACTTCTTCCCTGATCATATTGTGATTTAAGAAAGTACAATGTACATGACTACAAATAATGATTATCAATAAAGCCTTCCTTTCCTTGATGGAAATGTATTACGAGATAATTCGCATTACAAGGCAACAATCTGCAGTGCTAAATCTGAAAATTCACGCCCTTTTCTGTATGTTAATGATTAGCCACCTGTCTACTGATACCAGTACTGCCCACCTGCCCCAATTCTGTAAACAGGTAACGTTATGCCCAAATATGTAACTTATTCACATTGACTGAATTGAAAATAATGTTACATATTATACTGACATACAGTATGGGAATCCACAATGCTGCTTGTTCCAGTTCCTCTTTTAAAATGTAAAATCACACAGTCAGGTTCCTCATAAATGTATGGTGCCTGTTTCAAATCAGCTTTGATACTGGGCTAACAAATTTATGGGGTGCCAATTACATGTAGACAGGACTATATATATTAGACGTTACATGTCTAGACAACATTTAATACTAAGTACGCTTTGCTAGCTCTGCGGATTGGGGTGGGGGAATTGGTTCACTGCCAGAGGCCTAATCCATGACTATGGCTTTAGAAGATAAATATATATATAGAAATGCTGTAAGCATTTTTTCCGTAGTCAACTCGCAGCTTAAACTATACTCTAGATTCTATAGAACTTTGCAACCACACCAGTGACTGTTTTGAATCCCCTGAACACTCACCTAAACAAGTTGCTGCTGTGCCCTTTTTCGTGAAGGTCGTCTGGAGTTGTGGCGTGGCCTGAGCTCTAGTCAGACTTGTAAAAACCGGTTCTACAAACAATCTCGCACGTAGTTCAGCTCAGCAACCCACACTGCTCCCACGCCCAGCGAGTGGTAAATGCGGAAGTGCATATTTGGGTAACCAAGTTCCCAGCTGATTGACACAGGTTCACTGCGCCACCTAGTGACTATGTAGAGAACTACAGCAAAGAAACTGCCATGATAGGCCATGTGATAACTGTTGTGAAATACTATGATTGATGGATAGATGGATGGATGGATGGATGGATGGATGGATGGATGGATGGATGGATGGATGGATGGATGGATGGATGGATGGATGGATGGATGGATGGATGGATGGATGGATGGATGGATGGATGGTGGGTTGGTTGGTTCCATTACCTTCATACTTATATATAAGTGCGTACAAATGATCCTTTCTGAGACCCTCTGCTGCAAGGTTTCTCCTGTACTTAGTGCAATGGCAATAAAGAAAGGATTGGAGATGTTTCTCGCGTGAGCGCAGACAAACAATAAAAGCGTCAGGGGAGCCGTTTGATGCGGTTTTCTCCAGGGAGCCATCGCGGATTTGGAGAACAGTGATTTGTTTTGTCCTTCATTTCGTATCAATCTGATGGATTCATGAGATAATGAATGTTGACATGTTTTACGTCCCTTGAATTCTGAGGAAAACCAAGGGCATTAGCCTTGGCAAAAGTATTCATTGCAACGTAATTTTACTCAGCATATGCCGAGCACTGAAAATGAGTTATGAGTTTTTACGTCTTGCTTTAGATTTGTTTTCAGTAGTTGTTATTAATTACTTTCTTGGATTTCCTAGCACTAATTGATTTGGACATTGGTTTACGTCAGTATTGGTGGCCTGTCACGAAATTATACATAAACATGAGTGGTCGTCACTAAAGCTCTTCGCAGAGACGCCGCATAACCTATACTACACCAGAGGAAAACCTATATTAGAGGACGGATTTGAGACCAGAAAACACGCCCTGGGGAAAGTTGTCGGTCCCAAAAGATGACCCTGCAGTTGGCTGCCTTTCCGTCAATCGCCGCCTTGAGTCATGAGAGAATAGATGTCACCATCTCCAGCTCCTCTGAGAATCGGAACTCTGCTGGTGGGTTGATGCACGTTTTGATAGATAACAGTAGGGGCATTGTCATTAGATAGCTTTAAACAATGTCTGTAGAGTTAAATGTTCAAGGGTTAGGTGTAACAAGTCGTTCGGTGTAATGAAGCCAGGTGCCACCGCGCCGCGTGCCTGCGAAGCTGGTGTGTTACGCCGAAGGGCGGTTATACCGGCTATACAGATACATAAACATTGTACTAATCTTGGTGTTGTCCACAACGAAAGATATGAAACTGGTGAAATTAATAACACAATGCTAGACATAAAAATGGCGATTTTGTTTGCACATAGACGCCCCTATCATTATAATAACCTTCTCCCTGATGCCTAACCCATAACCAATACAAATTTGGTGCCAAACGACTGACTTAATAGGTTGAAGAAAGGAAATATAATTATATACAATACAGTAATTGCAGGTCATGCCGTTTAATTCTGTTCACTCTAATGCTAATTAATGTTCTTTTAGATAATTTGTCTTTTTATGTGAGCACAACGACTGATATCCAGTCGATATATTGAGATGGACAACCACAAAACATTACGATTTTCCTTCCCAAGATCTGCTTGGCGATGTCAGATGACGTCACTGATAAGATAAGCACGGCACAAAAGGCTTGAAAAGCTAGGGTTAAGCTAGGGTTGAGCCGATAAATACAGGTGGTCAAAATTGCTGTTTTTCTTACCTATGTCATCATCACTCATACGAACAAGAGTGGCAACAATTCACTAATTCTCATAACCATTTCACTTCTCATGGAATTGTTGGAACGCAGAAGAGCGTAGCAAAGCCGCAGTCCAAATGAAAGGAAAGGGGCTGTCCATAATTTTACCCCCCAAAATCGGCCCAAATACTCCTTATTTAGTGACTCAGAAACTCGTTTTTCTGGTTAAGCCACCACTGGTCCGTATCCTGGCTTCAACCATCTACGAACGGGAATGGGGGTGCTATGACAGGACAAAAATGGAATCCTTAGTGACCATTTACTTAAAATCTCTACTTCTGAGTCATTTCTAATTTTGAATAATTTTTTTAAAGAAAAAAAGACATATCTGTTCGGAAAAATTGTGAACCCGAAAGCGCTTTTTACTTATGTAAAAAAAATGTCCCAACCCCAAAACGAATCGCCGTTCCTCTGTCCAAACGACTGTGCACTAATTTATAGGAAAAACATGTAGTTAGCTGAAAGGGTGCAACCAAAGAAAGCGTTTTGAAAAACAAAAATGTTGCGTTCGGCTGCCATAGGAACTGCGGGAAACATCGGCATTAATAATGTGAACGACCTGTCCAGGTTGGCTCGGGCGGTGGAGCAGGGGAAAGAGAACTATGAGGGAAAATCATCTAGAGGTGGGCGCTCAGGTCTCTTTTTTTTCAAACGCCGTTTGATTATATATATATGACTTAATGAGCAGTAGGGCACCTGTCGTGGGTGAGGTCTAGCCTCTACCAGGCTTCGGGAGGCGGCTGGAAAGAGTAGAAATCGGTCAAATAGAGAGAGAACATGCCAAGGGAGTTGGTCCGCTCTAGAGTACAGTTATCTCTCTATTTGGCCGATTTCTACTCTTTCCAGCCGCCTCCCGAAGCCTGGTAGAGGCTAGGTGAGGTCTTGTAGGAAATGAAAGCGTTCAAATAATCGTTGAGAGATCAGATGCAAACAGATCTTATAGTCACAGTCAACAGCTACTCGTCTGCATGTAGTGTGGCTAAATTTAAAGTTAAATCTGGAATTTAAACAGCGACCGCCTCAAGCACTAAATGCAGATGACAACATTTTGAAAAGAAAGTAGACTAAGTTTAAGTGTGTTGGTTTTTATTGTGATGCAAAGTCGTCTTTCAGAAGCTTATAAAGAAAAAAACGTGGTCAACACAACGTCAATATTTTCGTGAATTCTAGATCTCGAAACACGAAAACAGGATGTCGCTTTTGTTTACAGGTGACACTCCCTCACACGGATGGGTTGTCAGACTAACGACCCCGTAACACACATCAGAAAACAAGTCAAACTACTTGTAACAACGGAGATCTTTCATACTCTCCAAGCAGAGGTTGTGGGGGAATAATCGTTATATATATTAATTAGCTTTTTATATATGGCCGTTTTTTTGTCGGTACCCCCACCCGTCGGTGGCCGGGAACATTATCTCTGTGTCTTTGCTTGCCACCGAAAGGGATCTGGTTGGAGATTAGATTTTTCATGCGTCATTGGGAAGATATATTCTTGTTGAAGTGCATTATAATTGCTGCGGTGGTTGTTCTTTCACAGATCCCCACAAATACGGCAGCCACAACCATGCCTTCCTAGGGGGTTAGGATAGTGTATGATTTTGTTAGCCTTTACCAGTTTTTCTGCTGGAGAGAACAGTTTGCCGCTCCCGAAATGTTCCGTACCAGCAGACACTCCCTCGGCATGTTATCTCTCTATTTGGCCGAAATCTACTCTTTCCAGCCGCCTCCCGAAGCCTGGTAGAGGCTAAAATTTTAGTAAAATAGAGTCTGACTAGTACTGACCACGGGGGTGGGCCCACCAGTATAGTAGGGTTTCATATACAGTATGTTCGTGGGACAAATGAACTCTACAGTGGCTAAACTTCCCTGGCCAACTAGTATTCTCTCTATTTGGTTGAATCAAAGTTTACTGTTTTTGACCCTGCGTTGTCAATATAGTCACTGGTGGAGACTACAAATAATACTGCCACACAGTCGGACCGGGATTCTTGCTACCTATTAAAGGGACAGTCACATAATAAGATTTGTATTTTGTCGTGTGATTTGAACTGAGGCAAAGACAGAACCCGCTATCGACAAACTAGAATCTATCACAACCTTCTCCTCACAAGGCAGCAGACTTTAGTACAACCTATCCACGACTGTCCCAAGAATGACCTCAATTTGTTGACGTAAATATTATCGATCTTATAATAAATGCGACAGGGCCCGTATATGTTCTATAGTACCTAATTGTAGTTGACAGTTTTGGTGTGTTGACAGACAAAAAATCTCTGTCCATATCCAGGTCATGCATGCTTGTGGCGTGACGAAACATGTAAATACCGAATGTAATACTGGCTCTAGGGATCTGTGTATCAATATTCCGATGAATAGACTGCAAATCGACAGGATATAGGGACTTATAACAGCAGGGATTTTACAGATCAAATGGCGATACCTTTCGTCAGCCACATGCACACAGAAAACTGTGTGTCTGGCCGGAAAAGGTGTTTTTGCCAGATGTTTAGAGGGTCTAGTAATAAAGTTGAATTGCCGAGTGTGTTTTTTTTTGTACTCTTGAAACCGAGTTAATGAAATCAATAGTCTCGTTCGCTTACGGGAAGTACTACTACTAGTATTTGGAAACATTTCCTAGCGTTAAAGGGACATTATGTAACATTTTTGCACCAAAAAATTAAATGTTTTTGTTCAATTACATATTCTTCTGATTGTAATTTACTTCCACTTTTCAACATATTTGTGCAATTATATATCTCACATTTCTGACATTTATAGTTGGCGATAAAACGTCAATAAAGCGCATGCACACATGAGGCGTTTTCAGTTTGTGGTGCCACCACAAACTACCAGAATGTAAACAAACATGGCTGACAGATGTGTTTCCAGCTTTTAAAACACACTTAATCGTAAAGCTAAGCGTCACCATCACATAGCATTGAGGTCTGAGGTCTCCGGACACTTCTTTGCTCTTTTACTAGTTCATTATCATGTTCATTGCTTCCAGCTCAACGCCAACTATCCAGGCTGCGGAAGTACAGCGCGATCGGCGATGAAGACGGCGGTGTTGACTTCGATGATGAGGAAAGCATTGGACTGGCTTCTCTACTGGGGAGAGTCGTGACTGAAGGTATGCAACGTTCCCGTTAGAAACGCATCCAGACTTGTCAGTTGATTACAATACTTTCATACAAAAGGAAGTATATTCTTCTTGCCAACCGGCAGCGTCTCTGTTGCCCCTATGCAACAAGGGCAATCTTCAAATTGCAGTTAGTTGTCACTGCCGCAAGGTGACGCTGCTGCGAGGGGAACCAGATCCAAAACGTGGCTAGTTCAAGTCAGAACTCCGATGTCACAATTATTTTGCATTGTTTAACGAGCAGTAATACCTAGCTTCAGTACACACTGAACCAGCCAGTCAGAATTACCCTGATGAAGATAACAGACGGTCATCGAAACGTCGGCTTGTACAAGTGGTAAGGAAGGAAGAACTTTGCTGCTCAAATTCTTCTCGTTTTGACTTTGGCAGGTCTGCGGCACGTTCACCAGCCCGACCGGAGAATCCGACTCAATGTGAGCGGTCTGAAGTTCGAGGTGAAGGAGAGCCTGCTGTTCCGCTACCCGCAGACTCTGCTGGGCAACTCCGAGAAACGCGCGGAGTTCTACTGTCCAGACAGCGACGACTTCTTCTTCGACAGGCACCGCCCCAGTTTTGAAGCCATCTTTAGGTACCCAGAAGTATTGCTTACGTTTGTCTGTGGGTTTGTGTGTATGCGTGTCCAGTAGAGACGTTTGAAGACCTAGAGAGTGGGTTGATTGGGAGAGACGTTAAGCCTGAAGGTGACCCAACACAATCTGGGTGGGAGTAAGTGGGTAGTACATGGAGGAAATCAGGAAGTGGATGACGTATCACATGTGCGTATTTTAAGTTAAAACTTTTGTTCCAACATAAGAAATTGTTCTCGTCTAGAGCTTTAGACCAGTCACTCTGGTCTTCTTCAATAGACTGACCCAGTGTTGACGCCACACTTCAGAGAAGCTACGTGACAAGTCTCACTGGGTCAGTCTATTGAAGAGCTAGGACCAGAGTGACTGATCGAAGCTCTATGTGAGAGAAATCTCTTATGCTGTTTAAAAAGGTTTTAACTTCAAACATGTAACTACTAACACGATAGTACCAGCATTAGCGCTTATAGGAAAATTCAGGGTTGCATCTTTTGAAGCAGTGAATGTCTTTGTTCTTCATGCGATACCGTAGATGACAAAGGTCATGTTTACTCCAGGTACTACCAGACAGGGAAGCTGATCCGCCCTTCGTCTATCCCCGTTGACGTGTTCGTGGACGAGATGCGGTTCTTCCGACTCGGGAACGACATCATCAGCAGCTACCTGGAGTCCGAGGGGTACATCTTCCCCAAGCCGATCCACGAGAGCGACATGCCGCCAGAGGGACACCGCCGCACGATCTGGCGACTCATGGACTTCCCCGAAAGCTCCATCTTCGCCAAGATCATCACCTTCATGTGCGTGTCTGTAATATTTATCTCCATCGTTGTCTTCTGTATGGAAACTCTACCAGATTACCGCGATCAGGAGGTCCTCATGGGGCATGACAACAGCACCAACACCACAGCCATCGAACGGGCGAGGCAAAGCTCGTTCTTCCAGATAGAATCCTTCTGCGTTGCCTGGTTCTGTATCGAGCTGGGTCTCCGCTTCTACGCCTGCCCGAAGAAGCTTCCCTTCGTCAAGGACCTCCTGAACATCTTCGACTTCGTGGCGATCGTTCCTTACTTCGTGACTCTTCCTCTCATTATCTCAAACGTCTCAATCCCGGGCAACTCCATCGTCTTCTCCTTACTCCGGACCATGCGTCTGACCAGGGTCTTCAGGATCATGAAGCTCTCCAGACACTTTAAGGAGCTGCAGACGCTGATGAAGACGGTCCGGGCCAGTATCGGCGTCTTGAGCATGATGGTGTTCTTCATGCTGACCATGATGGTCCTCTACTCCAGCTGTGTCTTCTTGGCCGACATAGACGCACCGGACACGTTTTTCGAGAGGTACGTGAGTTGGAACTGTGTCGCTGGCATTTCATGATTCGAACCGTGATTAAAAAGTAAACTGTTATTTGCCTCATAATTAGTAAATTGAAATGTTATATAGGCATCCAATGCAATTTCAGGGAGGCAAAAATGTATTTTAGATGAGGAAATCTGCCTGACATTCTACCATTTCTAAGCACATTTTTGTCATCATTTCGTACTTGGAACATATGAAATAGCCCTAAAATAAGCTATGTGAGGAGTCCTTTTATTTTGGGTACCACCAATAAATAGCTAGAACCAGCCTATTATACAAGCAACTGTTTGTCGTCAGTGACATTGTATTTGTGCCATTCACTATGCTATATATGGGATAGGATTGATTCAACTTACTACACTAGAAAATGACCAGAAAATTGACTTTGAAAATCCAGTTTTGCCGTCTTAAAATTGCATTGGGCGCCTTTATCGAAAAAAGTATTCAGGATTTACATATATAGGATGTGCATTTACAATATAGCCTTACCTCATATATGTATATCTGAGTGAGTGTGATATAGCTATAATTCTTCCTACATATCTATATATTTCACAGTGTATAAAGATACTTATGACATATTTACCATACAGTATTCCTGACGCCTTCTGGTGGGCGCTCGTTACCATGACTACAATCGGCTACGGTGACGTGTACCCCCGGACCCTGGCGGGAAAACTCATCGGCAGCATGTGCGTCATCACCGGGCTGCTCGTCATCGCCATGCCGGTACCCATCATCGTCGAGAACTTCAACAACTTCTACAAGAGGGACAAGAACATGCACATAGCGGAGGAGTCCGTCATGGAGAAGCTACCCATCGACGACAGCATCAAGACGTTCTTGGAGAACTTAAAGGAACGCTGCGCAAGGAGTTGGGTCGGAAGGCGAGTCGGTTATGTGGGAAGGAGGATCCGTACGCTGTGGAACAAGGACGGGGAGGGCCAGCTGCACAACCACGTCTCATCCGCCAGGAGGCGCAAGAGACGAAGTCAGAGTCTGGGCAGCAGTCAGTTGATAGAACTGGACGAGACAGTAGTGTCGGTGATTTCTTCTGAACTTTGATTCGCAATAAAAGAAAAAAAAATAGATAAATTCATTGCTACGTATAAACTTCGAGAAAAGATAGTTTGATCAACTACTGTTGTTATGACAAGGGTGCTTGAACAATGTACTTTGATTCGCAATGAATGAAATAGATGTATTCAGTGTTTCTGTACAGTATTAAATGACGAAGAATGCTAACTACAGTTTAACTACTGTTATCATGAGAAGGGTGCTTGAACAATGTACGTTCACAGTGTATCAATATTCTGGTGCACATTGATTTGCAGCGAACAACTTTACATGTAATGCAGCAATGTTAGAACAAGAAGGGTAGTCAGAAAATACAGACTATACAATCCTTAACCTGACATGTAGTATAATGAGAACAGATACTATAATCTATCTAGATTAAGGGAATAGAAATTCTACAGAAGTCTGTTCTTTTGGGGATGGCACATGTAGTTATATCTACACTAACATTTAACACCTGTTATAAGATTTTGGATCTCCAACATCTGGCCAGGTTCATATACTGTATCTCAAATGGTGGGAAAATAAATAAGTAAATATTTGGTCTTGTCGCATCGCATTATTAATCAATAGAAACAAATAATAGAACACCTTGCTTCACCTCAAATAGCGTATGACAACCATGCATTTGAGTTACCATCACACACACATGTACATTGTTGTAGGCTATACTGTGTTGATTGTGTGGTTGACATCCTCTGGGCACCTCAAAACTGATGCGCGTGTATGAAAAAAAGAAGAAAGAAAGGTCTCCCGTGCCCTTATGCCGAGCGTAGGGTGGTGCCCATCTCCATTTCGTAGCCCTTGGGCGACACACAGTTGTGCAATGCACTACAGCAGGGGCTAGTCCGCTGGTAGTTCTGTGTGTTTGACCTTCCCATACTCTGCTAAGCAGAGAAAGAAGTGTGTACCATTTTTAAAGTCTTTGGTATGACCCAGCCAGGGTTTGACCTCACGACCTCCCGGTTACAAAGCGAGCACTCTACCAATTGAGCACCGAAAAAAAGGAGCTGGGTAAAAATGAGTTGCCTTTATCATAAAATTCAAGTTGTCAGGAAGGTTGGAAAATGACTGAACAGACATTATAATTTTTTAATATGTATTGCAGTATTGTTAAATTGATACAAAAAAATAGACTTCAACAAGGCACTATCTCAAACTTGCATAGGTTCAGATAATGCAGCATACTATGAAAGTAACAAAATATAGAACGTTTCTCTAGCAGCTTATACAGTATACATTACATTATACATTGTTACATACAGTGTATTATATAAGTACCTGGTATGCAAGGTGTAACAACTAATGCTAATATACATACATACTTTTTAACAGCAATATGAAAAATATGAATAGCATCTAATATACCATATATCCTGTTTTGGTGTATATTTTCATATTGAAATGCAACATCTACCTTTGGTGACACATAATACAGACAACATTTATAGTGATACATACAGTTACTATCTAGAATTCAGAACATGCAACATATCTATTTTCGCATAGCACAGTATATAAATGCACGAGGTTATGTATGAGGTGACTACTGTACTGTCAAGTCAGCTCCAGTGCTACACATGCAACATAAAATATGATAAAGATATTAGAACACAGTTATAATGGCAAGAAGGATATATAAGCATTACAATACATTTCAACTATAAAGAGAAGTTTTAAATTTCATGCTGGTGATTTTGTAATGAAAATTATCCCATTGATAAAGTTATTAGGTTAGGTACCATGAACATACATATACGTTTTACAAAAAAATAATAGAGCATCCTACAGTATTTGCCTGTTTGTCATGCTGTCTGCACATGACAAAACATTATTGTAAAAGGAAGAAGGAACTAGAATGCTTCTATGAAAGATTTCAATTTCAATAGACACTGTACAGTGCAAGTTTTCAAGGTACAAGTTAAATATCAGCTCCAAGATCCTTAGATAAAATGTTATGATGTCTGTCATACTGAACAAATTACATATTGATTATTACATCAAAACATGCTATGCCTAGCATTTCTTCCCCTGGTTTAAGTGTATATACAATGTAGGTATAGACATGACTTAGACTTGACATGGAACACTCTCCTCAAGGAAGATACAAGGAGAGAAGTAATATCTTAAGGGATTCTAAGAGGGGACACTACTGGACACCTCCTATAAAAGGATTGGTTCACCATGTCATGATTGTCCATAGATGTACAGTAAGGCAACCAGTGAAATATTGCATCACTTACACATCGTATAAAGGTGGTGGAATGGCTGAGCCACTAAGGCCAGCGAATACGAGATCAAGAGGTTCAACTCCATAGATTCCTAGCTAGACACTGTGCCCTTTGGAAAGGCACTTTACACCACTATCCTCACACCAAATAGCTGCCTTCAGAGGTAGCATGATAATTGCATAGGTGAAAACAGTCAGTGCACTACCTGGTCTTTTCTAAGTGAAGGTAGCAGAAAATTCCATCTAACAGTGTCAGACTCAAGTCTTACTCTGAACAAGGATACCAGTACTCAAAAAGTACAGAAAAAAGGTTTAACTGGAATCACTAAAACAAAAAATTGGTCTTATCCAAATTTTTGAGTGCCCAACTCCAGTCTTGGTCAACTCATTCCTTGACAAAGACTGGAGTTACAGTTGGTTCAATTTTTGTGCTGGCAAGTACAGTTCAATCCTGATTCTGAATGACTTCAGTCAACACACTTCAAACTTTCAACTCCAGTCTAAATATCTGCTGTTCAGACTTCATTGTGAAATAATCCTAACTTCTCTATGAACCAACAACGACAGATCTAGAGGCCCTTGTCTTTTCTGAGTGAAGTTGCAGAAAATTGCACCAGTCATACAGATATGTCAGTGACTGTGTAAGACTCAAATGCAACTGTTGCTGTTCAGAAGTCAGTATGGAACGCTAACTTCTCTATGAACTGACAGAGACAGAGGCCCTTGTGTTTTCTCAGTGAAGTAAACAGAAAATTGCACCTGTACACATGTCAGTGTGAGACTCATGTCTAACTGTTAGCTGTTCAGACATTAAACTTCTCTATGAACTGACAGAGAGAGAGCCCCCTGTATTTTCTGCACCTGTACATAAGTCAGACTTTAAGACTCATGCCTAATATTATAACCGTTAGCTGTTCAGACATCAGTGTGGGACACTAGCTTCTCTATGAACTCATATATCAGTGTATCTCTATAGAGACAGTGGTCCTTGTCTTTTCTGAGTAAATTGAAATGGAAATTGCACCTGTACATACCATATCAGTGCGAGACTCAAGTCTAACTGTTAGCTGTTCAGACATCAGTGTGGAACGCTAGCTTCTCTATGAACTGACAGAGACAGAGGCCCTTGTCTGTGTGTCTCTGTGCCTGTGGGGTGCCCAGACCTCCCCTCACCAGGAACTTGATGTACTTGCTGCTGTAGGTCAGCAGGAACTGCTTAGCCATTTCCTGTGAACAGTGAGAGGAGGAAAGAAAGTTACTGTATATCAGTGACATGTTTAATAGCATGCAGTTACCCAGCCTTTTCTGGTAAGACCCACATACACTCAGCTTTACCTCATAAGACCCATACACACCCAGCCTTACTAAGACCCGTGTAAAAATACCCAGCCTTACCTGGTAAGACCCACATACACCCGGCTTTACCTCATAAGACCCATGTACGCCCAGCCTTACCTGGTAAGACCCATGTACGCCCAGCCTTACCTGGTAAGACCCATACACACCCAGCCTTACCTGATAAGACCCATGTACACCCAGCCTTACCTGGTAAGACCCATGTACACACAGCCTTACCTGATAAGACCCATGTACACCCAGCCTTATCTGATAAGATCCATACACACCCAGCCCTTACCTGGTAAGACCCCATGTACACCCAGCCTTACCTGATAAGACCCATATACACACAGCCTTACCTGGTAAGACCCATGTACACACAGCCTTACCTGATAAGACCCATGTACACCCAGCCTTACCTGATAAGACCCATACACACCCAGTCTTACCTCATAAGACCCATACACACCCAGCTTTACCTCATAAAACCCATATACACCAGCCTTACCTCAGAAGACCCATATACACACAGCCTTACCTCATAAGACCCATATACACCAGCCTTACCTCACAAGACCCATACACACCCAGTCTTACCTCATAAGACCCACACACACCCAGTCTTACCTCATAAGACCCATACACACCCAGTCTTATCTCATAAGACCCATATACACCCAGTCTTATCTCATAAGACCCATACACACCCAACCTTACCTCATAAAACCCATGTACACCCAACCTTACCTCACAAGACTCATACACACCCAGCCTTACCTCATAAAACCCACGTACACCCAGCCTTACCTCATAAAACCCATGTATACCCAGCCTTTACCTCATAAAACCCATGTACACCCAGCCTTACCTGATAAGACCCATGTGCACCTAGCCTTAACTGATGAGACCCATGTACAATGTACACCCAGCCTTACCTGATAAGACCCATGTACACCCAGCCTTACCTGATAAGACCCGTGTGGGGTGAACCTGATGGACTGTATACGTTGACCCTGAGGCCTCCAGCTCTGTCTCAGACTGTACAGACATCTGTGGTCCCGATGTGCTGCTGACTGAGGACAGGAGCGGTGACTCCTCGTCTGACCCCGCCCGGCTGTCCCGCTCGTGTTTGTGTCTGATCACAGTCAGGGCCTCGTACGACAGACTGCTCTCCTGGGGATCAAAGACATAATTGTGGGGTAAGTTGTGGGGTTGTGACACAACACCAGCAACAGCTGCCTCTGTTACGTTCCGTGTGTATTGCACTGTTGCAATTTCAATAAATCAAATCAACATGATTGAGTCCACTGAGTTTTATGTACACAAGAGTAAGTTTAGGCAGGAGCTGATAGGGCACATATGTAGATAGTTGATAGGCACATGTAATGTTAACTTTTAAAATGTAAAGTTACATGTATGTGTCAAGTTGTATGTAAATAATAATGTTCAGTTTTTACGTAGTTTGTATGATGTATGTCTAACTCCAGGAAGACTAGCTACATACATTGTCTGTTTGTAATTGTATGAATGAATGAATGAATGAATGAATGAATGAATGAATGAATGAATGAATGAATGAATGAATGAAACTTTATTTTCGTGTCGTGCGCATACCACGCCCAGCCCGTGTGGGCTTATACGACACCGTTTGAGAATAAATAATACATAAACAACAGAGAAACAGAGGTACAGAATCCAAACAAAATGTGAACACAAATAAAGTTAGGCTATATACAATTTAAGCAGAACAGAGTGAACTCATAACAGATCATAAATGCAAATAAACAAATCTGTACATAAACTTGATAAAGAACCATGTATGTCTGATAATGGAGGAAACAAAGCACCTAAAGCACATAATGGTTTATGTTTCATACCATGATTACACAGTACACATTCCTGGTTACATCATACCACATCCTACCACACATAGCATATTGGATCACAACCCTGTTGATCAACTGAAACCCAATCTCCACCCACTCACTTTCAATCCTTGCTGCTGAGGACAATATGCATACAATTACTCCCCTAAACCAGTGCCACCCAAACCAATACTTCCCTCCTGGAAGAAACAAAAATGAAAACATGGTACCCACCAGGTATCCAGGAGCCAGGTGTCCAGCCTCATCATGCTCCTGTAGAACTTCAGCCAACCAGTCCTGATAGAACACGCACAAAGAGTTAGGGACATCCAAGTAAACAACAACAACAACAAAATTGGCAGCATGTTTTCCTTACTAATCGCAAACAATGTGAAAACAACAACATACACAGCAAGCTGAATGAATCTCAAAGTACTCACCATACAAGGCTCTGCATCATAGTACACAAAATGTAGCTGAGGTACCAGGTGGTTAAGAATATTTTGCAGTATTTGCAAACAGTGCGAATTCCACCACACTGTGAAATCTACCATCGGGAAAAAGGTGGCTCTTGAGTTAACTTACAAGTCTGAGTGTACATTCCATGAGTTTTCTATCCCTATGGGTTTATTGGGTGGTTATCTTATAGACAATTTTGTCTATACTTCCATCCCAGATGTAACTAAAACAATTGATCAGAAAGGATACAAAGATGTGGTTGCAGCAGTGGATCATGCCATCAGTCATCCCCACCAGTAGTCCATGGTTGATGAAGGTCTCATTGATACAGGCCAGATGGATGTCTGTGTTCCTGTCAATCTAACATGGGTAGGGAAGAAAGATGTCAGCCTCACAAAACTTTCGTAACAGTATAAAAACGATAACCCCAAAATTTTAGGGGAGAATTTTTTTAAGGTTTAAAATTTCTAGTACAGACTGTATTTGTGTGAACCTAAAGTAAATTGTGTCTTGAAACAATAATTCTACTGTATTATACACAAAAACAAAGCCACTATTATGTCTATAGCATATCATGCCATACTAAGAGAGTGATGTTATACAATGCATTAACTATGGGAAGAAGACTCTATATTATAAATGTACTACGATTGAACAATTGTAGCAAGAAGCCATAGGCTGAATCTGGACTGCAATACTAAGTATCATGAGGAAACTACAACCAAAATTTAAAGTAGTCATGCCCTAACCTTCTTCATTTTCCAGTGTATGAGGAAAAACAGCAGAGCGACCACCGACGCTGACGCCACCAGTGCAATAAGCATGATGAGGGGTAGACTGAGGTTGGGGAGGTACTTATACAGACTGGTCACAAAGTCTGACCACAGGATGAACAGACACAACATGGCCATGAAGATGGTGAACGCCGTGGAGTAGAAGAAGATGTAGGTACGGAGTTTGGGGTCGCCCAGGATACTGGCAATGGCTGTCGAGACATCGTCACTGGGAATCTGTAAGAGTGGAGAATCTTTTGAGTTTTGCAGCATTTTTATTTTATCATACTATGGGAGTGATTTAATGTTTTGGGTATACATGTATTTGTTTGTCAGTGTGTGTACACATGTGTCAGTATATGTGTGTCACTGTGTGTCAGTACATGAAGTGTGAGGACATCTGTGTATATGTGCATCTGTATGTGTGTGTCAGAAGATGTGTGTGTATGATATGTTTGTCTGTCTGTGTGTGTATGTTCCTGTTATCTTCCGCACTGTTAAATATAGAGTTATGCATCTTCCACATCCCAAGCACATCACGTAACTACATGGTCTGTCTGCAATTCATCTTTTTTTAATTCTTCTTAGTACCAGTATATGCCAACAAAACCTCACACTAACAACCTAACAGTCTCATTTGAAATCATAGTCTGTGGCTCATACATAAGCATGAATATCTGAAGACCCACTGTACAAAAACATGTTTGTTTTCCAATTTGCCTGTAACGTAATTTAGTCCCAGGAAAATTACAGAGTGGAGTGTTGTGACAGTGTAATCATGTCACTTGGGTCCCAGCAGACAATTTCACTTACTTAACTCTGTCAGACAGTAAAAATTCTGGTAGTAGAAGTGTTTTGCACCCTAAGGCCACACCAATCTAATGTCTTGGTTCTCATGAAATACTTGCACTAAATGAAGAAAAACCTTATCATGAAAGTTCATCTGTGTTGGTATACTTCATTATGACCAAAAGGGCTAAACGTTGTAGCCAAAAAAGAAAATTTGGGTAAGTCCCAATTTACTAAGTGTTGGCTAGAACGTTTAGCTCTTTTGGTCATAATGAAGAAAAACCTTGTCTTGAAAGTTCATCTACTAGTATGTTGAATTGGTAGAAATCATTATGAAGCAAGTTTAAACTGTAACCTACAACACAATGAATTGGACCATGAATTTTGGACTGTACAACCCAAGTCTTTGTCAAAGAATGAGCAATTTACCATTTCTGTGATGTCACGTTATGCAGATGACACGTGACTCCGTGAGTAGTAGTGAATAGGTTTCAAAGACAGGGTTGGGGGGGAGGGGGGTAGTATGTTGTACAGTTGAAAATTTGGGTAAGTCCAGTTCCTTGTGTTGTAAATTACAGTTTAATAATGAAGACAGACCTGTATTCTGGCATCGTGCAGCTCCTGTATGCAGTGTTGAAGGTCAAACTCTGCTCGGAACAGTGTGTTCTTAGACGACAAGGTCGTGATGACTTGTCCATTGTAGTACCCTACAACAAGTAAAAAAGAAACAACTTTTCTTGCATGTCTTGTCTATAAATGTCCTACTCTCCACCACGTAAGTTTCTGCATTTAGCGTACTTTCTCTCAAAAAGACAAGACAGGATTGTACAGTTGACAATGTTTTTCTGGTCTGTCTTTACTTCTAACTAGTGTCTAACTAGTGTCTTCACATGTAACTGCCATGTACTTACGTGCATTATAAGAGACGTAGGTTCCACAGCTGCTCATAAACTCATCAATACTGTCTTCACTCAGCTTGGACCGGCCAGAGAACTTCAGATCTGGAACAAAAATAAACAAGAGTCAAGTTGTATCCTCTTTTTCTCATTGAGAATTCATTCTTTTCACATTTGGCAAACAGTTTATGGTATAAGTAAGAGCTCGAAATTCATTTGTGGGAATAAGTGCACCAGAACTTTATGTGCACAGATTCAATTTTGGGTGCACAGTGTTAGCTATTGTAGTCAGCAAAACAAAGTTACAATCTTAACATGTACCTACTAGTAAATTACTGCAATAGAACAAAGGTTTTATCTTTTTTTTCAAACATTTAGAAAATTACTAGGCTGTATACTAGAGTGCAACAGTACTTTTTACATACATGTACATAACCCTACAGAAATACATATTACATGTATTTAGGTGAACTCACAGTCAAAAATTAGGTGCACAGCTCCAATTTTAGGTGCACAAAAGTACGCATACACCCAGTATTTTGAGCCCAGTGAGTTCAACCACAACACTGAAGATTCTACTTGTAAACAGAAGAATGATTCATAAACAATACTCTACATACCTGTGTCCTCCTGTGAGTCAGTAAAGTGTGTCTGAGCGCTGGTGTAGAAACTGTTCTCACCATTACTCATACTGGAGGGGGCAGATCTGGGGGACAGGTAGTCCTCTTCTGACGATGACATCTCTAGACCTGTCTACCTGGGATCAAAATAAGACCTCTTTAACAAAGAATCATTTGTTTAATACCCACAAATGTTTAAAAAAACACAGCTCACCACTAATCCTCTTAATCTTATCAGCAAGGAGTTTGTATTAGATATTATCACCTTAATCTATGTGGGCATTTTTCCAATCCTCAGAGTGATTGTCGGTTCCCTAACTAGGTTGATTTCAATTATTTGTGCAAAAAAGGAAGAGATTTTCAAATGGCCACTTTGTCTTTATTTTACAGCATCTGGGTCTTGATGAAAAAATCCTAATTTTGATTTTTTTTTTAAATTTAAAGGGGGTGGGATTTGAAAACTAGCACAAAGTTACCTTCTTTTCCTGTTTACTTTAATAGAGACTTACCGGCAACTCTGAATTTCTCTGAAAGCAGGTGCCAAATTTATTATCTCACCTGAGTTCATTATGCAAGGTAGGATTGTTTACTTTGTATTATTGAACATAATAGACTTCCAATCTGGTGAACACGATGATTTAGCATAAATGAAAACATACTAAAAGTAGTTTAGCATATACAAAAACATTCAACTCTGGTTTTAAAACTAGTTTTCACACCTTGTTACTACACCCCATGTAAATTAAACACTAGAATGAGTGTTCGCATGCCTTGCCTAAATTTACTGTTAAGCATAGCCTGTTTCCCCATGCAGACCCTCTGGAATGTATTTTCAGTCTGTAAAAGAGGCTAGGTCTGTTGAAAATGTAACAAGATAGCCCAAAACCCTTCCCACGTCCTTACGTGTGTGTGAATTTCACAAATAAGGAAGCCGGCCGTGTGACTTTCATTGATTCTGCACAGAGCAAAGATAATCTGTTGATTCAGTCTTTCCAGCTGGTTTCTGGGTCACAATATGCCTTCTGTTCTCTTATATATAATAGCCAAATATTTTTCCTTCTTTTGAATTTGAAAATATAAGTACAATGTACGTACTCACCATAAGTATAACCCTGAATACGAATTCAAAGCAATCTGGTAGGCATTATAACCCTAAAACGTTTGTGTGTTTAGACAAGCCATGTGTGCATTACACACACACACTAACTACATAAACACACCCAAATTATCACTGATCACAATCATTAGCACACACATGGGGGTTCTAAATTTGGTCCAAATTCAACGACATTCCTAACTTTGTAGGATTTAAAGTAGCGTATTGTTTACCGTATAATAGAAACAGTTAGATGTTTAAGGCCTTAATCTTGTTAACTGAACCGTGCTCACCAGTTTTCAGGTCTTGAGACTCGCCGAGACGCCTTGGGAGACGCCTCAGATTCGGAGCTACAAAGTCTTCCTTCCAACAATGTTCTTGTAAGTCATAATTCTTGAGACTGAGCGTCTAGAACATGATCTAGCACGTTGTGCGAGGTCATACAGTTCCAAAATGTCGGTGAGTCAGGGTCCCACGAATCCACGCCCTCAGCTGTGTACTTAAAAGCTTCCTGCTCTAGGAGTCCGGTTTCAGGGCGTCGCAAATACCTGAAGACGTCGTCGTGACTCCGGCCCCGGGTCCCCCTCCCTCCTTGAAGTAAGAAGAACGTGGCGTTTGAGCGTCTTCGGCAGTGCAGCTGGAGTAAATACGTCTTCAGACAGCTCTCCGCCTTGATACTTGTCTTATCCTTGAAGTTAAGTCGCTAAAATTGAAAAAGACGACGTATTTAATAGAGGGACGTCGCAGACAACCTCGTCCGACGTCGAAATGTCAAACATGGAACACTGCAGTTTATAACTAAACCGCTAGGTGCGCTCTTTGCAAGTGTGCGCGCGCATACGCGGAAGTTTATGTTTTCGAAAAGGATGGCGGAAAACAAGACGGTGTTCAAGGTGTGAGCAAAGTTTTAAACTATCTTATTCTCTGTTTAGCAATACTTTTGTAGAAGTTGACTAATATTTCTGCTATCCACAATGCCTGTTAGATAGATAAGCTGGCTTTACCAATTAGTTTAATGATCATAAATGAGTTTTATTTTAATTGATCTCTGACCAAGTTTTGTTTTTTCTTGAACAAGGGCTGGCTAGAAAAATGTAAGAACGTTCAGAGTTCACAGAAAGGCTTCCAACTCAAGCTGAAGGGATCGGTGTCGTGGAAGAGAGCTTTCTTCATCCTTCACTGTTGCCATGGCAACAGCACCTTGCGTTACTACGATGATGAGCAACAGGAAGACACTGCAGCTGTACCAAAAGGTAAGATCAAGGAGATGATGAAAGCTCATAGGTAAAGATAGAGCTAGTCATAACTGTGTCTGAAGTTTTTACTAATACAAGAAGACCAAAAGAAGCTGTTATCAATTTGCTTGTGTTTGTGCAGTCAGTCCTACATTAGCTTATTAATTATTTAAAATCATTTATTTAAAATCAATCAATTTTTTTCTAATCAATACAAAATGAGCCTGATGTATCCTGTCTAGGATAGATAAAGGTAGAAAACATTGTCTCATGTGCTATTGTTTTTATTATTATTTACAATAATGGTAGCCATTATTACAAGAATAGTACAAGAATGGTAGCCATCTATATTTATGTTTATCAATACAGGTGCAGAAATGAATCAGAACACAGCTAAGATAAATGAAACATGCATTTTCAAAGGAGGACTGTTTGTGAGAGAGCTATTAAGTTACAATTTCTTGTCAAATCCAAAGTACATGTATTTGCATCTTTTATTTAAAAGTCATGAAACATCAGTTGAGATAACAAATACATGTTGTATTCTTGCTGACAGACAGCCTGAGCCTGACTCCATACTACTGTGTGTACAAGCGTGATGGCCCAGTGAAGAGCAGGAGCCATGTGTTCGACATCACCACACCTGGAGCCACCTGGAGACTGGCAGCTGCAGACCAGACTAACTTGGACCTCTGGGTTCACCACCTGCAGATGCAAGCTAAACTGAGGGACGACTTACCTGGTGAGACCATGGGCTTTGAAGGACAATGAATTGTCCCATACAGTCCGATTGTACTAGTACATATATACACCTCTACCTAATATAATACATTGTAGTACTGGGTTCATATTATATACACTACCAAACTGATTTTTCTGCCAACTTATTGGCAACCTTACGTCTACCTTCCTCAGTCCAGGGCTTAATAAACTACTAGTTTAAAGTACTAATTTTATTTCTTTCCATGTGCTTTGATATAGCCAAAAGGATTTGGTCCCAAACATTAAACTTATTTTTGTAACATTACAGCAATACTATTAATCTAGAGTCTTTGAGTGATTGGGAAAAGTTCATGTTTTGACTTTCTAAACTTTTGCATCTGATTTCTATGCATCTTTTGTCAATGTCTCATGCAATTCCACAACAGGATTGACAGAATGATGAGGTATTCAATCTTACATTCTTAGTTTTGGTCTAGAATTTTGTGCTTTGACTTGAAAATACATGTACTGTTAGCTACATTTCTATGGTTGACTATTACAGGACAGTACTTTACTGTGAGACCAGGAATGTCTGAGAGTACAAAGAGAATCGGTGCCCAGGGCCAGCAGTGTTTACTCCATGTGTCACAGTGGGGCGTCACTCTTGCTCAGGAGGTCAGTTGAAACATAGTTTATCATCCAAGTCTTGTTGGGGGTGTGCGGATAATCTCCAAACAGAAAATGTTTTCTGGCTATCTTATAACCAGCTTCTCTGATAACCATCTTCCTGAGGGTACATACATCCAACCATCTCTGTGAAAAAGTAGAAATGCAAGATAAAAAACTAAGAAATGTAAATATTTGAAGATCATGCAGCCAACCTCTCATTGACTGAACCTTTCATTGCCATCCTCTCATTGGTTGAACTGCTAATTGCCAATCTCTCATTGGTTGAACTGCTAATCGCCATTTTCTCATGACATTGGTTGAACTTCTCATTGCCATTCACTCATTGGTTGAACTGCTAATTGCCAACCTCTCATTGGTTGACGTGTTAATTGTGATGGACACTCAAGACCTGTGATCCCCCCAGGTGTCCAGGTGTGTTCTGGCCCAGTGGCCCCTGAAGAGTCTGCGGAGTTACGGAGCAGAGGAGGCTGGGAGGTTCAGCTTCGAGGCGGGTCGTCAGGCACCCATGGGTCAGGGTGTGTACGTGTTCAACACCCACCCGGGTCAGGAGACAGCCATCGACGCTCAGGTGGACATGTTTGTACAGCAGCAGGCCAAGGTGGCTGACCAGGTATATAGCTATATGGTGCCATAACTTTCTTGATCTCCCTGCTGCCAAACCCCATAACCAATACACATTTGGTGGCAAAGGGCTACCTTAGCAGGCTGAAGATTAAATTCAATGATCATAAATTCACAGAGGATAGATGTTGGGTCTTATCTTGTCAGCAAACGAGTCAACATTTGTACTAATTAGACTCTGTTGCTGAAGAAGAATTTTAACTTTAGATCACATTAATATGCATGCTTTTTCTGACAGGAAAAGGCTGGCAAATCTCCAGCTAAACAGGAAACAGCTGGCAGGAGAAGAGGAAGTGCAGCTCATGAACCTGATCCTGACATCTGCTCGGAATATGCCACTCTGAAAAGGATGACTTGTGATAATACTGCAGGTACTACATTTTTTTTAAATTACCTGAACTGAAAAAGTATGGTACAGAAAACAACAACTGTTGTTGCAGTGTTGCTTTGATTTTATTTCACTGCTTCCAATCATTTGCCCTTCTTTTCATTTCTTTTCCAGTGTCATCTGTGGATGACAGAAGCCACTCCAGCCATCTCTCCTTCCCACAAGCCACTGGGACAGGACTTCTGATTGGCTCCCCTGCCAGCCAATCACAGCAAAGCTCAACAGATCAGGACCCAGGATCCACTGGAAGATCCAATGTTGTCAACATCCCTCCTCCTCCTCCTTCTTCTTCAGACAGTACCAACTCTACATATCTTGCAATGAGAGCAAGTTGGTCTCCAAGAAGTTCCACAACTTCTCAGTCATCTTCTTCTGAGTATGAGGTCATGAGCCCCCTCTCTCCTGATCATTCTTTGCCCTTCCAGTCCCTGTCCTCCCCTCCCAGAAGAAGTGGTAGTTTCCAGGATGTTTCTGTTTTCCCCATGTCCCCCCTGTCTGCTAAGAGTGGTAGCTTCAATGACGTTTCTGTGTTTTCCCCCACACTACCACCTAGTGAAGGCAGTAGTGGCTACACAGCCAGCCAGCTAGCTTCAGCTAGTAGAGATCATACCACTCAACCAATGACAATGCACAAGAGGTCAGCCTCAGTGGATGCAGAAAAAACGGGCCAAAATCCGTTTTTCTTTGCATCCCAAGTTACAAGTTTGGCTTCTTCCGATGCAGATACAACGAGTAGACCAGTGCTCCACAGATCGCATAGTGAGGGGAACGTTAACATTCCACCTCCTTTTACAAATCTTGCCAGCGGTTCCCCTCCCAAACTCCCACCAAAAAGCCATGCAGGGAGGGTTGTGATGTCTCAGAGGAGTCTCCCACCTATCCCAGGATCCCCCTTGGATGCGAATATCACGCCTTTTCAGTTTACCGGGGGACTGTATTCTTCTGAAGGCCACGAGTATCAATCCTTACTAACACCAGAGGAAGCACAGAGACTGAGAGAGTCTGAAAGCAGCTATGCCCATTTATCTGATAAGACAAGGTCAAACCCTGAAGGACAAGAACATCAAGTCACATCACCTCATTCTGCACAAGCAGTGAGCATCATGGGAGCTGAACCTACCTTGGAACAAGGTACTCAGGTGAACACAAAGGCCAAGTCACCAAAGAGCATTAAAGGACTGGTTTTCACTAGAAAAACCAAAACATTTGTAAAAAGATCAACGTCCTCCGAGTGATTGAAATAAATATGTCCCTTCTTGTTATCATGAACTTCCTGTCCCCTGTCCCTAGTGCTGAAGGACCTTCCCTGTCCTTAGTACTGAATTCCCTTCCCTGTCCTTAGTACTGAGGACCTTCCCTGTCCTTAGTGCTGAAGGACCTTCCCTGTCCTTAGTGCTGAAGGACCTTCCCTGTCCTTAGTGCTGAAGGGCCTTCCCTGTCCTGAGTGCTGAAGGACCTTCCCTGTCCTTACTGCTGAAGGACCTTCCCTGTCCTTAGTGCTAAAGAACCTTCTCTGTCCTTAGTGCTGAATTCGTGTGCATCATAAGTCACCTAACTTAGCTGCAGAAATGTAAAAAATATATACATTGTATTATAAAGAGACTAAAGTATACCGAGTATCAGTTATCTGTAAATAGTTGATTTTGTCAAAATTCCTGCACAGAAATTCTGTCATAGCCACAAGAATTGAGCGTAATATCAAAAGAAAGGATAAATTGTGCTCAGATGTTCAAAGTTTATACAGATATGATATATATGATAACGTATTGTAAATATGTTCATTGAATATTTCATCACATACCATTTATACTTTGCAAACATGAAAATACATGTATATGTATAAATGTGTATACATCTATGCAACGAATAACCAATGGATATGTGTACAGTTGGGAGAGTATTAAAGAATCTAAAATTGAACATACAGTTGTGTATGTGGTAATTCTATCCTAGTTTTGTCTGTGTAGCTTTCAAATCTAAAGACAAGACAATAAGGGCTACACAATGAAGTCCAACTTGTAGTTAGATGTACATCATACTTTATTCATTAAAAGATTTCATATAATACCTTACACTTCACATATTATCACAATGTATGTCACACACCAGGACTTACAATTTTCAGCCAATTTTTCTTCTGCATGTGGATAACACAATCCACCTAAACATGATCCATTTTCTGAAGAATAGAGTTGAAATTAAAGTTGAATAAAATTAAGTACTGTTATCACTTACGAAGTGAAAGTTGTAGACACAATACTTTACATGTAATAACATTTGGAAATAGTTCAACATTAAGATTAAAATTTTTTTATACTTCTAATGTATGCAGGATGTACGATTTCTGTGATTCTGATACTCTTGAGGACACGCAAAATTCAAGTGCAGTACTAAGTGCCTTGTAACAACAGTCATTTTCAAAACTACGTGTATTTTTCCATGAATCAAACGTAATTCATTCTCATAACAATGAAGTACTAGATCAAGTATAAGGTACACTGTTATTTCACGAGATTTTTAACAGTTCATTTGGATTAGATCAAATACAAGGCACAGCAGGCGTCTTTGTTATTTCATGAGTAGACTTCCAACAGTTCATTTGAATTAGGCACAAGGCACAGTAACCGTCTTCTTTGTTATTTAATGAGTAGAGTAGACTTTCAACCGTGTTGCTGAAACTGTTTAGTCAGTTAGGTCCATCAGATAAAAGCGGTTCTTATTTCCATTTCACACAACCCTCGCAATTTAGATTAGACCAAACATGGTCACTACAGAACGCTAGTAACACAAACTGGGGTCATTACATTAATTTCTTGGCATTACATTTGAATATTCAATTCGTTTAGAGGCATTTCTACGTCATAGCAACACTACATGAAATACGTAATAAGCACGAACTTTATGATAAACCCTCATATAACAGCAAACACATGATGATGTATTAAAACAAGAATGCTTAAACATCTAGATTAAATCTCTAGTAACTGGTGTACTTTTGGGTCTGCAAATACGTAGTAGAGATGGAATCTATCCATGGCCCACCCTCCTTATATTGTTGATCCATATGCAAATCAAAAACGCAGAAATGCAAAGAATTTGACCGACTCACATCCTCTTTCTAATAGACAGAACCAGTGTTCCAGCCAGCGTCCGTCTTTCAATCATTTGACGGAACTCTGCTACTCATGATGAACAAATATTGTCATCTTTGCCAAGCAAAACTCGATGTGTAAAAAGAGATAGAAAGAGGTATCATGAAATTATGCATATTCATGCAAAATATGACAATCAAAATGCAGGAAATAGCATTTTAGAGGGTCAAGATGTCAACATTTTTTCTGGACTCCCCTGTAAATTTTGTGACACTTGTGATTAGAGCTGTGTACCTAAACAAATTTTAGGTACAGGTACAGGTACACAGGTTTAGGTACAGGTCCGAACCTGTACCTGAACAATTCGACCAATTTATATGCTCTTCTGAACTCCTTCAATAACAAAAAAAAACATAAATAAACTTGATAGTTAAGGTTTATTCTTTGTTTATGGCGAATGCTCAGATAAAATATAGGCAAAACTAAGATGTTTTTGTTTTCATGAACACACTGTCCTTACACAGGCACCCATTGTTAACCAGCTATTTAAACATTTGAGGTCACAAATAGGCATAAAATTAGTGTGAAATTGTTTAGGTACAGTACCGGTACTGAGGGATTAGGTATTTTGGACCTGTACCTAATCAATTTTTCCGGTACAGTATCGGTACTGCGTACCGGTACACAGCTCTACTTGTGATGATGAAGAAATATTCAGGCTGGCTAGAACAGTGGACACAACTGATACATTTCATGAGTCGGTCTACTGGGCCGGGTTGAGTTCCTCCTTTAGCTCTTTGTCTCCGCTCTTGTCGTACAAGGACAGCTTGCTGAGACGTTTAGCCAGGGACGGCTTCTTTTTGTGTTTTTTCTCGGTGTCGTCTTTCCCCGGCGTGTTCATGTTCCCTTCGCTCGCAGACTTGCCGAGAACCTTGGGCGGGGCCGGGTGATTTGAGGGTGAGCTTGAGGATGGAAGTCAAGTTCAAGAAAAAAGTGAACAACCCCAGATTGAATTCGAACTTCCAATTTTTCAACTTTCACTTAAAGTCAGGATACCTAAACATGAGCGATTTCCTCACCAGGCCAAAACCATTCATCCACAATGAGTGAAATAAAGGCTTCCAATATACAGTCCATCTACAATGTCAAGTTTACATTTATTTAACAAATATAACATCTAGCGGGAAAATCCAGAATCGGATAGAAAGCTGTCCTACCTGGTCTCGACGGAGACTCTGCGGCTGGGTATGTCCGGCTGACTGGGTATCTTGCGCTCGTAAAGTGACTCTGCCTGCTACAAAACAAACAAACAAATAAACAAACAATAAACAAATATTAGCAAATGTTTCAATTACGCCCTGGTTTCAGACTGACGACCCTGACTCCAGATTCTGGGACCTTCAAGTCCCTTTTCCTGTGTATGGCCATTTGACCACCTGTCATTCTGCTTGTCAATCTTCCCCACCCATGAGCTGTCAATCTACTCTGTTTGGTATAATATACACACAAACCCACAAAAAAACCACCTCAAACAATACTTACTGATAAATACCCGAAAGTAACAAACAAACAACCAAATAAATAAACAAACCAGAACAAAATGTTTTTCTTGACTAATTGTGTACCATTTTCTGACTGCTGACATGTCTGACTGCTGACTGCTAACATGTCCATGCTCCTTTCAAGAACATCTATAAGCCGTAATGTATGGCAACTACTTGTCTTTTTAAGTTCTAATTCAAATCACCCAAAGTAATATTTCTTTAAATGATGACATCGTGCTACCCACCTCCTGTGGCGGCAGCATGACCGTGCCGTTTACGGGCGGTTTCTCGGCTGCTCCGTTCGGCACACCGCCGGCCGCTCCCAGAGCCTGATTCTCAGCACTGCAAACATACAACAAAATTTTGGAGACGTCAGAAGGCACTGATTTGACAAGAGTGGCATTGAGGTGAATACCACAGGTAAGAAGAGCGAGAGGACTTCCTAAGAAGCCGTGGAGAAGGACCATATGCATGGAGAAAGAAGTGAGAAGACGGGGATTCTCAATGGATGAAGCACTGAGGGTGGCTTTATCTTAAATTTCGTCCCAGATGGAAAAGGCTACTGGAGCCCCAAGTGAGTGAGTGAGTGAGTGAGTGAGTGAGAAGGCAACGGAAAATATGGGAGGATAATATCAGGGAATTGACAGGTATGGCACTAGTTGAAAAGTTAAGAACACATAACCGAGACGGGTGGAGAAAACTGGTTGTCAGATCTTCTGTGGTGCCCCAACCGTCAATTAATTAGACTAAGGGATAGATGGTATAAGATAGCATTAAAGGACTGCATACTTACACAACAGATGACTTTCTGATGATAGCGGACTGGTAGTCGCCTCTGTCCTGGGGTCTCCTGACGGCTGGTGGTCCAGGCTGGCCGCCAGGTGTCGCTGCGCCTTGTTGTGCAGCAGCACTGCAGTGCAACAGGGAGACAGACGAATCACTTGTGGACTAGTGTCTTTGTACAGACATCTTTATCTGCATAGTATCTACCTGCGTGTACGGTGTGTAATACTGTTCAACATCATACATGTATTAGTCACTAGTGTCCATTCTATCAGTGCCGGAGCCTGGATGCCAGGGCCAGGGCCTACATGGGCCAGCTCCTCAGAGCCAACATAGAACCCACGAAAAGTTTGCCACAGCCGAATCAGACTCTAAGTTACACGCTGGCTAAATTGGGGTAGGGATAGCTATGTTTCTTTCCGCGAAGGGTATATATAGCTGAAGCAAGGAGGTTTAAAACTTGTATTTAACCTTCTTGGCTGAAGCAAGGCCCTAAAACCTCCTTGGCGTCAATGGTGTCAACTCGCTGGCATCCAGGCACCTGTAAGCTACATCCGAATATACTAGCTAAACAAAAGAGCCAGGTGCAGATTCCCCCTACAGCGTACCTCATTTCCTTCTCCTCCAGATGTTTGTACAGGTCGGTCAGTGCCTCCTCGTCCTCGGGCGGGATGCAGTTCTTGTTGTCGTAGATGGGTTCCTCCCCCTGGGCCGCCCCGCCTCCCTCCCCGCCGGCGGCGGTGGGCAGGGGCATGGGTCCCCGGGTGCGCTGCCCGAACTCACGGGTCAGCAGGTCGTAACTCTCCCCGCCTTCGGTGGCCCTGGAGGCTGGGACGACACGGCAAAACAATTTCGTAAAACAAAAAACAGAGATTGCAGACTTTTTTTCTGTGTTTGGGTTATCCGTCAATGTTTTGTATGATCATGGGAAAATACCCGATTGAATTACATCATACAATGAATTATTACGATTGTATGACGTAACACATTGCTGCCAACCCCATATCACATCCCACTATACCACGAAGAGTATACCAGGTAACAACCCTGTCAATCTACTGAAACCCTAACTCCTAGTAGTAGAAAACAACTGATGATAGACGATAACGCACCACATACAAGTTCAGGGGGTCGAATTATTTTATTTCAATACCTAAAAATGCAGATGCAAAGAAAAAACGCATAATCTGGAACCCAATATCTAATCATATACCGAAAATCGAAGAAATCTGTCAATCCCACCGCGAGTTACAGCTGCGAACACACAAAAACAGTACTCTTCCCGCGGAAGGATATCTTACCCGGACGTGTGAGTACGGCGTGGTCGTAGTTCTGCGGCGGCGCGTCTGAGGCGGCGGTCTCCTGCGGCTTCCGGAAGGCACCGATGTGGACTAACGTGTCGTAGCTGGGAGGCGCACTGGGGGTGGAAGAGGAAATACTTTTATTCACTCATCATTAAAAGCCCCTGGGGTACCAAGTATTTTGTACCGTGGCCGATAGGGACAATTTATTTATTTATTTAAAAAATTTCCAGCACATGCGTGGAGGGGGAGAGAGAACAGGTGGGTCACCTTTACCAGCTCCCTCCCCTAATTACATCAATAAAAAACATTCTAAAACAACATTGGATTTAAACACATTATGAAAGCAATACATAAACATACATACAAAAATATGGACATGTAATAAATCATATATCATTCTACGTAGATGTCAGAGTCAAAATTACCGTGACCGATAGGGACAATTCTACTCAACACACTGACTTTTGTCTTCTCCACACAGTGTAGGGAAGACATGTATACAAAAGTCAGTGTGGAGAAGACAAAAGTCAGTGTGTTGAGAAGAATTGTCCCTATCGGCCACGGTAATTTTGACTACAGTCTGGCTCACAGACAGGATAAGTAGGTGTTTATTTGTCCCTTGAAGGTGGATTTAACCAACAGAAAACCAGTAGAAAAGACAGTAAAACCATCAGTTTATCTTCCTGCATAAAATGATCACCTGATGCCGCCACTTTCTCCGCGCTCTATCTCGTCATACTGAGGAGGAGGCTGGTCTTGGCGAACTGTAAAGCAATAAAAAATCAATCATCTAGAAAGATAACATTTGCAAAGTAAATGCATAATGTTTAAACATGGTCAAGCCTAACAAACTTCATATATACATGTATGTATATGACAAGCCCCTCCGACTCTGTCCTGCCACTTGCTACATAATGCTACACACAACACCACAGGGTGTCTGCTACAGTACCGGATACATTGATGGCAGCCATTTTTTGTAGGATAAGAAGACGAGGAAAAGACGAAGAAATTCTTACAATATTAGAGTCGTCAATGTCTTCACAAACACGACGTTTATTTGGAATGAAACATCGACTTACGCTTCTCGACTTTTTTCTTGACAAACTCGTCCAAGACGGAGAATATGGCGTCATACTCCTTGGACACGAACGTGTAGATGCCCTCTCCGCACGGAGACTTCCGACCGCATCTAAGAAACAGAAACAAAGTCACAAACAAAATTCGCTCCTGCAGTTCAAACCAGCTGCAGGGGGCACAAACCTACATTCACGAGGCCAAGAGCTATCCGCCACACAAAAATCATGGCATATCATTTCCAGAACACAAGATATCAAGACTGAAAAAAAGTTTTTAGGCTTTTGAGAAAAGAGTCAAGTCAAAGTTTATTGCACAACAGTTGTAAAAAGATTGACGTCACGTAAATATGCTAATTACTGCACGTCGACAGAACGTTCTGCGCCTGCGCGAAATCCAAAATGTAATTTGCATTGCACTTTGGCAGAACGTCTGATTTAAGGTCGTATTCGCGTATCTAATGATGACATCCCGTCTATATTTTTCAAACGTTTTGTTAGAAAATATATATTTTATGCAACTGAAGACATCCTGATGCAACGTTGACGAAACATCCCGAACAGAAAACGTGGTTTCGCGCAGACGCAGTATTATCTGCCGACGTCATGCTATGACGTACTCGAAGGTGAATGTCCCGGATGAGGAGGAGTAGCGTCTGAGACAGGTGAGCGGCCAGAACGTGATCTCATCCCCGCTCATGCGGTGGTACAGCGTGATCTCAGAACTCGTGATTTGCAGGAACAGGTCACCTGTCAATCAATCAATCAATCAATCAATAAGTCTGTCAGTAAATCAATCAATCAATCAATCAACCAACAGTTCGTTCGATCAACCAATCAATCAATCAATCGATCAATCAATAAGTTTGTCAGTAAATCAACCAATCAATCAATGAATCATCCAATCAATTAATTAACCAATGAACCAACCGTTCGATCGATCAATCAATCAATCAATCGCCAAAAAAAGAGTTACTCAAGCAACTTGATATGATTTTGGAAACGGTCAGACGTTTCAGCCAGCATCCACTACCTTTCGTCAGTGACACTGGAGAATTATTTAGAAAAGCAGGTTTATAAGTACGAACTACTGATTGATTGATATGCAAATAAGTGAAGACAAATTTTGAGAGTCCAAAGTCAATACAAGGATGATGCAAATTAGGCAAAATCATATCCTGTTGCTTGAGTAACTGTTTTTGGCGTATCATATTACCTGGATGTCTAACCCTCACCGAAAATCATCCAATCGAACATGTCAAAACTCATCTGTGGAATATCATTACATATACTGGTTCAAAAAGGGCCACATGTTAGAATTGACATAAACAGTTGCCATAATGAATGAGACATTTGCTCAGGAGCAAATACAGCATGTTTCACTCCATCTCCTTCCCCATTCCAAAATGGACTGTTCCATATCCCTGTTGCTCTCCAGTATCAAGTATTTTCATACCTCCACGCAGTACTCAATACCCAATACAGTGCCGGAGGCTATAACTAGATTGTAGAAATCCGTCTGGTCACATACCAAAACCCGACTTAACTGCTGAATAAGAAACAGGGTCAGGGACGGGAAGGAAAATAACGGCCTTGACTTAAGACTATGAATATACAAAGCAGTTTTCTCGGAAACGTTTAATATCCAGAGGTCAGTTGAAGGTATTATTTCGTAATGCTCATCGCGTGTTTTCTTTAAAGGACGTTTGGTAGTCCAGTGTGTGTCACATTGTAGTTTTGTACTCACCAGTGGCGTTCAATTTCTTCAGCTCTTCGCAGTCTTTGTAGGGCTTCACCACGTAGGTAACACCCTGGCACTCGTTGGCTAAATATATGTCAAGAAAGTTATGAGATTATTGTTAAAAACTGTAACTCTCAGACACAGATACATGCGCGCGCGCGCGCGCACACACACACACACACACACACACACACACACACACACACACACACATACATACACGCACTCACACTACACACACACTACACACACTCCACACACACACACACACTCACACACTCACACACACACACACACACACACACACACACACACACACCCAGGTTGTGCTAAGAGGATACAGCCCGTAAACTACTCAGTACTGAGTGAAGCTAGTGCACCCAACCCCTGACACGTACCTGAGACGTGAACGCTGGTGGCCCGCATGTTAGCCCGGATGTCCACGTCCAGATGGAACAGCCACTTCTCCATACTGTCCACGTTATCCACGGACAGACGGATCACTTTGTCCATAGACCGGACCTGATAGGGGGCAACAAACGTCTTATCTCTCTGTGTTTTATGTGTTCATTGACATCCAGCTAGTCAGCCAACCAGCAAGCCAGCTAGTCTAGTCAGCCAGCTAGTCTAGTCAGCCAGCTAGTCAGCCAGACAGTTAGCCAGCTAGTCAGCCAGACAGTCAGCCAACCAGCCAGCCAGCTAGTCTAGTCAGCCAGACAGTTAGGCAGCTAGTCAGCCAGACAGTCAGGCAATCAGCCAGCCAGCCAGCTAGTCTAGTCAGCCAGACAGTTAGGCAGCTAGTCAGCCAGACAGTCAGCCAACCAGCCAGCCAGCCAGCTAGTCTAGATCTAGTCAGCCAGCCAGCCAGCCAGCCAGGCATTTGGCACTCATCCAGTCAGCCAGTCAGCCATTCATCTATTTTGGCATGTCCTTATGTGTGCGTTCGTCTTCCCCTGCCCTTGTTTACGTACCAGTAATATGGTTGGTTTACATACTGTATATTTATAAGAAAAATCACAATAGCTCGCCTCAAAACAGAACCTCTTCCTCGGATCAGGCACTTTGTACACCTCATAGTTAATGAGCAGGTTCACCACAGCCTTCGGGTCCTCATGCTGCCACGTGCGAATGTCCTGCAAATACAACAAGAATTCAGAGATCTCAGACCTTCGTGAAATATCTTGTGTGGTGGTCGGTGACTGTGTCCTCTTCTCATTCACAGTGTATCTACAAGCAAGTCTTCCATTGTCGCGCAAAGGAAACAAGACCATGACCAGCTGCCATCTGTCAAGGAGGTCATGTAACGAAAATACCTGTGAACCTGCGATGTACATGTAATGATCCTTACCAACCTGGCCAAAGGCCATACGGAAACACAGACACACACACGGACACACACATATGCTCACACACACGGACACACACACGGACACACACACACACACACACACACACACACACACACACACACACACACACACATACGCGTGAAAATATTTTCTTTGATTTGTTTGTTTGCTTGTTCGAGGCTTTCTTTATCCACGAGAAGTCAAATCGGTCTGCTGATCGTTTTGGAACTCATGTTTTTATCTTATGATGTATAACTTAATTTCTTTGTACAGTAATTGTAAAAAGTACAAAGTATAGCTTCTATTGTTATGCTGCTAGTATGAGACTAATCTATAACGTTATACAAGGCTATCGCATTACTATTAATGGATTCAACTTAGTAGAAAATATAAGTATATATTGACATGTGACAACCAAAACATTGTAAATAGGACATCTAAAAAGTGCCTAAACGCAAGAAATTAGACCCTTGACTGTATCTTCTTTGTAAGGTATATAGCAAATTGAAGATGGGTAGGGGGGTAAAGAGTAGACTCATTAGAGCAATGGAAAGAATATAACAAGTTCATTCACATCTATCGTTTGTACATATTCATATATACGTAGTGCTGTAGGCAAATTTGATGAATTTGGTGTAAACAAGAAAATGAATTTCCTGGAAACAAGGAAATGAAGTATCAAATTTCATCAGGATGTGGGCAGTGAAAAACATCATTCTCTTTACGCACGCGTACACAGCTCCATACCTGATGAAAATTGTAATCATGGGTGACTTCCAGTAGACCGTACATGCAAACAATTATTGAACCAATTTGTACTACTTTGTTTTCAACTCCAAGATACAGTAGAATCCAATCATTTGTATCTCTTATAAGGCCATGTTAATTTGATTATATGGAAGACATCCGCGCGCGCATGAATTTTCGTCCCTTTCCAAAAACAAAAATTTACTGTATAGTAAATAGCACATAGTAGCTGCAAAATGAGCAAATATATACCGTAAATTGAAAAAGATATTGGAAAACGATACTTCTGTCGCAGAATGCCAAAATCCATTCCAAAGGACAAGAAGAAAATGTGAGGGAATGAAAATGAAGAGTCTATTATTCACCATGCCAATAAAATATTACTCTGTGTGTTTAGTCATTTGTTCAACTTTCATGACCACCTAGATTTCGTAATGAAGGCAACTTTTTTTACCAAACTTTTTTCCTTCGCACGCTCGCATCAGTTTTGGGGTTCCCAGAGGATGTTATCCGTATAATCAAATCAACATGGCCTAATTGTATATTTCGGGAAATTGTATAGAATTACAAAACACCAAACCATTTACCATTCACTCAATGGTAAAAACAATGCATAACTGTATAGCCATTATCATATATTTCAGGGTATCGAATAGAATTGGGTTCGACTACATTGTATAATGGCCCAGAGTTACACATTAATGTTTGCAAAGACGGCATAAATGGACAGTTGAGTGTTTGTATAAAGACACTCAGACTACCAAAAAATCGTAAATGTCTGTTTAGGGCCACAAAGAATGTTGTTTTATTTTAAACATTAGCGTGTCTGCCGGCACGCGAGCGGCTCTGGTGGTAACTCTAGAATAGTGATTACATTTGCATTTCAAAAGCCTTACATAAGAAATAAATAAACCTCCCAAATATGAACAGTATTAATTTTCATCATCTTTACATAACATTTACACTGAATATTAATTATTAGCGACACCTGTGCTGTGCAATGTGAACCAGTCCTGAGGAAGGTGACAGACGGTCACCATAATGTCGGCTGAATAAAACACATGGTTGTGTAAAAAGAATCTTTCAATTCAGTGACTTACCAACCTGGAAGTATTCACGGCTAAGTTTTCTAAGTTTATATTACTATCTCCGATGTGTTCAGCGTTCCTTCGAATTCCTGCCGAATTTGATACAACATATTTGACAGCCACAAACGTAGGTCGGATTTTTTTTTAACGGTGTCGCTCAATGCAAGGCCATTTTTGGCCACTTCTAGGCATAGAGCCACAGGTATAGAACTGTAACAGCAACTCTTCTACCCGAGTCAGAAACATCATGATTGAGACCAGTCCAATTTCTCACAAGTAGTGAGGACTAACTGACCCAACGAGAAGCAGGGGTTACGAGGCTGGTCGGGAAAATTCCCTACCCCTTTTTAGACCATAATGGTTTGTTCCACTTCCGCTTACGATTTTGAGGCTGTAGAAACTTCAAGCAGGCTGTGACAGAACCAAGCACCAACAAGGTAACGAGGCAGCCGAATTTTGCAGGATATTTTTGCGATCATTGCGAGGTTTTATTTAGTTTATTTATTATGATAGTTTCATGATAGTTTCCTAAGTTTCAAGGAGGAGGACATTTTACAAGCCTTGTAGGTTTCTTTCCTCCTCCTGCACACTGTTTTTTCCTTCGTTTTTCATATTTGTTGACTGATGACTGTTCTGCTTTTTATTTGTGCAAGTAAGGCCATGTTGATTTGATTATATGGATGACATCCACGCGTGCATGAATTTTCGGCCGTTTCCAAAAAAAAAAATTTAACTATACTGTAAATCGTACAAAACAGTTGCAAAATGAGCAAATATATACCGTAAGTTACAAAAAAAATTGGAAAACTATTCCGATGTGATAGAATGCCAAAATTAAAAAAAAAGAAAATGTTAAGAAATAAATTTGAAGGGTTGATTATTCGCCATACCATACTCTGTGTCATCTGTTCAACCTTATGACACATAGAAATTCATAATGAAAGCAAAATAATTTTCGCCAAACTTTTTTTTATTCACACGGTCGCATCAGGTTTGGGGTTCCCAAAGGATGTCATCCTTATAATCGATAATTGGCCTAAATAAATGAAATGAAATGAAAATCGCACGTCGACGATAGCACGATGTACAGTTGCTCTAACCATTGCATGCAGGGTTATACATGTACATGTACATGTATGGTACAAGATGGTTGCCGCATACACGAACTGGGTTATATATATATAGGTTTATTGGGCATACCTTCGCTTGAACTAATCTTATTCCTCGGTGAATAATTAACTGAAAGAATGTCATTAGAGAAACAATGGGAATCATTTTGGCTCTACCCTATAAAAAACTACACACGATTTGCGAGCTGAGAATAACTTTCTGAAATTTGGGTTCTATTTTCTTGTACAATAGATATCAATAAAAATCTTACATTACAGTACACACATCGTCAAAGCACTTTCCATTTCCAGTGTTTGCTTTCCAGTTGCCATGGTGATATTCGACCGCCCTAGCGGTGAAATTATGGGAGCCAGACAATTATTGGAACGCAGAGGTCTCTTGCCTGGGGTAATATTCATGATGCTTGGGTGATATTAAAAAAACATGTTTCCATCTAATAGCGCCGGTCAACTGCGCGCTGAAAAGCATAAATAGTATCCAAAACGTTTTCTTTTGACAGACTGTTTTATTTCATAACAATTAGTACTATAGTGCTAAGGCGTTAGGTGCAATCTAAGCAATGTTGTTTAGTACTTTGGGAAGAGGTTGCAATGTTCGTATTATTGTATCCATAACCGTGCCTATCTAGTTGCATGTCTGAATGCATGGGTTATGGTTAGACGCAGGCACGGTTCTGGATAGTCTCCACGTATCCAAGAGCGTGGATGTGCTCCAGGCACGGTTCCGGATACGCGCAGACTATCCAGAACCTTGTTTGAGCATGGTTCTGCATAACACACGGTTCTGGATGCAACGAATATTGACAAGGACAGTTAGCTATTTTGTATGTTATGTATTATTTGCTATCTTTCTGTATCTAGAGCACTGTTGATATTTATATCATTGTCCAAGTACTTCTTTCTTTCTTTCTTTATTGACATTGACAACAGGTCAAGACACAGGTTATCAAGGTAGTGTTAACTGGTATTAGATAACCCACATGTACAGACGTGGAGACAAACATGAAATAAGAAATCAATTATAAATACAAGACCTGAAATAAAGATAACATATTAACTGGTTACAAGTTACAATACTACATGTGTAATACACAATATATTAAAAAATAAAGAAAGTCAAGACATTCCTAATATAACTTAAGTTAGAATGTTGATTAATAGTATGCTAGTACACGTTAATCCATTACAATGTTCCCCGCCTTCCCAGCCTACAAAAAACTGCGCATTTCCATTAACACCTCCCAATTCATACATCTCGCAAAACGTCGGAAATTTCATACTCCACCGCACACAGAAAAGAAATCAAACCCAACAATAACTATATTGAAAGTAGCATTAATTTTGTATTAGTAGCATTTTTATGGTCATTTTTTACAGCCCTCGGGCATGAATTTGCATTATCTGTTCTGCTACCCTAAAAAAGAACTGACTCACCCTGTAGAATTCCATGAAGGCATTTCCGGTGGAGGTCATTGACTTGAGGACACAGAAGCGGCGCCTCCACTCCTGCTTCATAGACTCCCACTTCTCCAGCTCACCCTGCATCACAAAACAACCGTCAAAACTCCTACACAAAATACCGCTGCAGTTCCAAAGGGGACAAAATCTACGCCACCTTTTTCTGACACGAAAAGCGACCTGTCATTAAGATTTTGAGACCTGCGGCATGTCTAGGACAAAAGATACAAAAATCGAAAATTCTTTTGCAGTACTAAGGACAGCCGACAGGAGGCCCATAGTTGGCCTTCGTGTTTTGAAGACCTACCCACGTACCAAATATCATCACAATCCATATCCTTCTTAACCAAAAATATGCGGAGACACAGACAGACAGGCAGACACAGACACACACCACACACATACACACGACACACGCACACGCACGCACGCACACACACACACGCACGCACGCACGCACGCACGCACACACACACACACACGCACACACACACACACACACACACATGCACACACACACCACACACACACACGCACACACACGCACACACACACACACGCATTTATTACACATACAATATTTTGCGTATTCATGATTTTATGAGACAAATCGAGGATGACCGAGGAGGTTTATTTTTAACCTCCTTGGCATAACGTACTTTAATCAGAGACATAATTTTCTCTGCTCTCCTGTTTAAAATGTTTGAAATATTGATGCCATGCAATTACTTTGACAATGCACATGATGGCAATTACATGTACTATAGCAAACAACATACAGATTCCTGATTACATGTATATGCCTATGGAATCCTGAACTGAACTAAACAGCTTTGTAATCGGCCAGTAGCACGAATTAAAAGACATACTATGTTGTATTAGCCTACTTCACAAATTGAATCATCTTTGAAGCAGAAATAAAATAGAGTGTACTAACTACCGTGCGCAAGATGAAGGCTGGGAGTCTTTGCTTTTGTAACTTAAAGTAGACTCTAGACTATCAATTGAAACATTGTTTTCTGGACAATCGGAAAAGCTAAAACTACATCCCTCTACAACACTAGAGCTCTTATTTGTACATTAGATTCCAGACACTAAACGGGCACAATTAAAAGGCATAGAGGCTTTTTTTCTGGCATCTTCGTCACAGGAAATTATTTGATGGTCTCCATGTTGTTTCTAGAAGATTTCAGTTACATAAACGATATACGTTGCCACGTCGCTTGGTATTTGAACTTTTCAGCGAGCTCAGAGTCAACAAAGATGTCGGAAAGTACATAGAATATTACTAATGACTGTTTTAAAGAGTTAGTAGTGTTGAGAATCTACGATATAGTGGGTGTATCGCATCCAGAACCGTGTCTATGTAGCTAGTTCTATGCTTGAATGCGTTAGAGTTAGGATCAGGCACAGTTCTGTTCCTTCGCGTATCAAAGAACGTAGATTTACCCCAAGCACGGTTCGGGATGCACACAGACTATCCAGAACCGTTCCTGAGCATATAGTTATAGATAAAGCACGGTTCTGGATACAAGAGTGTGCTTTTTCTCACCTGGAAAATGACGTCCATCGCAGAGCGTTCTGTGCTTGTCTTGTTGACAGCCCCACACGTACAGTACTAATTGTCTGGGTCAAAAGCCACGTATGAATATGGGTATATTTTCTATCACGTGGTACTTCATAAGTTGTTGTGGGGGGGGGGAGGAGGAGGCACGACTGTTTATATCAAGCAGGACCATGTTATTGTGGGGGTGGATTTTTTGTTACGACATTTTTTAGATGAGCTACAAATGAGCAATGGGAAAGATTACTCTCAAAGCAGAGGTTTGGGTTTTGGCTTATTTTTGGCGTGTTTTTAGGCTTCTTTTATCGGGATTTCTTATTTGATTTTTTGGTTACGATATTTTTTAGATGAGCCACAAATGAGCAATGAAAAGATTACTCTCCAAGCAGAGGTTTGGGCTTATTTTGGCGTGTTTTTAGGCTTCTTTTATCGGAGTTTCTTATTTGCAGTGGATTTTTTTTACGCCAGTACAAATAAGAAACCCTGTGAAAAGTGTTAAAAACACGCCAAAAATAATCCATAACCCAAACCTCTGCTAGAAGAGTAGGGAAAGATTTCATTTATTAACAAGGCAACCTCCCATCTAAAACATGACAAAAGGTATAATAATTATCATTTGTGTAATCATCATTATTTAGTTATTATTTTAAATTTGATGTAGCTTTGGGATATCACATGGCTAACGTATTGGATAGCTGTATGGGAGAGAATAGATTTTCACCGTGGCTTGTAATTTGATAATAAGTGCTGCGAACATATAAGAGAATTCGTAGAAACGTGAAAAAATATGAAATTATGTCTAATAATATAATGCATTGTCTGCTTTCCTGGAAATCGCTTTTGGATATTAATACCAGGAAAAGGGTTGAAACGAATGAAGTAAACATTTTTAACCAGGCTATGTTTTAAGGTAGGTCCCAATTGAATGTCCAATTTCCATTTAAAAGTACAGTAACTTGTAAGGTGTGAAAATTTCTTAACGCTGCAATATAACATAGATCGTAGAGAGGCGCTACTACTTGATACACCATATCCTGGACGTACAGGACAGCGTACCTTTCGAAATTCGAAAGCATAGTTGTCTAAGTCAATTTGTTACACTGTCCTCTGAAACAACAGCAAAAGTAATAAAATATTCACGTGATTTACTATTTATCATACCACGCAGTATGAAGTCATTTTTTAAAATAATTTTCACCATTCATTACGTTTAGAAAATTTTCATCTCCTTTTCATAATATTTGCTCAGATAATGCCGTCCATTTTCAAGTTTATGCTGCTTAATGGATAAACTCAACGAAACCATTTCAATCTATCCCTCAAAGTCTTTATTAGTTCCAGTTAAACCGTAACATTACTTAGGCATTGCTAAGCCAAGAAAGGAGTTTGTACTACATATTCATCAACGACTTTTAAAGTAGTTTTAAACATGCACGCATTGTTTCAGATATCGCTGCCACCTCATGTCTAGTACGGTATTAAAATACAGATTTTGAAAAGTAGGACGCAGTGTAGGGTCGAGTTTACTCCGAACATGTACTTAAAGCAACTGACTTCAGTAATATTATAGCAGAAATACATCGATGGCATGTAGCAAGCAAGGACATCAAGCTTAAATTCAGAGTCTTAACTTAAATATTCTTATGATATGTATCATTTGGTTTACACCGTAGTCTTTCACCGACTGAAAATTTTCAGTTTACTCATCAATTAATTCTTGCAACTTGCGAAAGCGAATGGTCACCGACTGTACCTCGTTCGTTTCAAATTTCGTTATGCATATGGCTGCGTCCACAGATCTCGCTGTTACCATGCGTATTTTTTAGCAATAATGAATTGTATTTTATAACTGCAATCTATAAGAAGCAGGCTGAAACGTGTGTATTTTTTGTGTGTATGCGTGTGTGTGTGTGTGTGTGTGTGTGTGTGTGTGTGTGTGTGTGAGTGTGTGTGTGTGTTAAGATTTAGAACCTTTTGCTCTTCTATCATAAATGCATCGTAAGTCCTATTTCGCGCTGAAGCTTAAAGCAGCCAATCAGCAAGCAGAACCTCCGCCATCGAATTGACCAATCAGACAATCGCACGGAAAACTTCTGTATGCCTATTGGCTCTCACTCTCCTATACCAAATATGGTCATAGAAAAGTTTGGTATCACAGGGTGGACTTGTTCTCGAAGTTCAACAAGACGAAGTCGCCGCCTTTGGTTTTCTTAAGACGCTGGGAGACGCTGGAGGTGACGAAGTTGTGAGACGCGCTGTCCTCGTCCCGATCGCGCATGGGCAGATACATGTCCTCCTGGTTCTTCGTGTACGTCAGCGGAGCCACGTTCGGGGCAAACTGATATTAAAACAAGAGTGGTAGTTGAAAAAACAGTATGGCGACGTCTGTTTTTATTTCAACAATCACGTTGTATGACAATCAGTCTTTTTGTGGTTACTGCAATGAAAGGGAATCTATAGGGAAGGAGGTTCTGAGAACTGAAACATTTTTACTTGTGATTGCTAAAAATGAAGTAGCCTTATGGGCAAAAAAACAGAAAGACAGACAAAAACATAGTCTTTACCAGACTCCTTGGGACCGAATAGAGTTGACCAAGATGGCACAGAGAAGTGTTGCTTTGCCGTGGAGGTTAACATGACAAAGAGACCCAACAAGACTCTAGCCAGGAATAAGACACTAGGATATAGATAAATTAAAGAAAGAGTACGGAATGTCCCAAGGCAGTGTTTGATGATTTTGAGGAGGAGGGCATAGTAAGAAATTAAATGGAAATTTATGAATACACGTTTTAGTAAATGTTGCTCACCCGCTTGCTCGTCCTGATACGTGTCCAGTCCATGTCGATGGTTGAATCCTTGCTGGACACGTCATCACCCTGTGCGTCACCGTTGGCATGACGATGCCCCGCCCCGTTCCCGTTGACTGGCACCTGCAGGTGCGGAACCCCCTTCGGGCGCAGCAGCGGGTTGGCGGCGGGCCGGGGTGGGACGTCCTCCGTCTGCCCGGTGTCCTCGCTCGTGGGGACTGGCGACGCGGCGCCGTCCAGAGGCATGTTCATCGTCTGTTTCGTACAATGGAATCAAATAGATGAAATAATTAGTTTTACCAGACTGGGTATTGCATACTCCAGGCATAGTATGTTTTCAACAGAAATTATTTTATATCAACAGTTACCAAATCAGACATGTTAAATTCAGATCATGAGTAATAACACATCACTAAGTTGCTATATGAATATAAATATTACTAGGTGTAAATTCAAACCTTGAAAATATCTAATAGAAAATATCTGCACTGTGATGGACCAAAGACATGATCTATATTTCTTACCATTTTCAAAGAACATCGCGACGAAACGTGGGTCCTTGGGAATCTTATTTTAGACTAACATGTACTTAAAAGTGAATGTTAGTCTGTATCTAGTACTAGTGAAAAAAAGTTCATAAGAAACTAAATCCTTACCCGAAGTGCATCGTTGACAGACTTGCGGTAGGCTGGCAGGTTGTGGTACGCCGTCCTGTCAAAATACTGGTCAAACTGGTAGAACGGAGCGATCTTCTTCTGTTTCACCTGTAGGGACAATACACTCAATACATCACACAGAAATGGGCAAATAAAACCGCCATTTAATACCAATGTAAAGTTGAAGGTAATGTAATTCCCGTACTCTTTTTAGGCATAACAGGGGCAGTGGGTTGTTAGAGAAAAAGTGAGATAATTCGTCTTCCACTGCCTCGGGAAAAGAAGTCAAACGCAATAAGTTAGAATTTAGCGTCAAAATTAGACTAGTCATAGTTTTAGATATAGTCGGTGTTATATAATCGTTATCCATTGTCCATTCTTCTATTCTATGTTCTTGTTACATGTACCTTCAAATAGCAATTTGAACATTACAATCTGTCCTTCCAACAGTTGCCAGGATGTATTCATTACCTTGGAGTAGCCTCCTGACCCAGTCCAGCGCACCCACATGGCGTCTCCCCGGTCCCCGTCAGACACCACCCGTCCCGGCCAACGCAGAGACCGGCCCTCCTCACGGGCCCACACCATGTCTCCGGTCTGGATATCTCCCTGTAGGAACAGACAAGATTGATTGATCGGAATAGCGTCCCCTGGTAGAACAGACAGAAACGTCTGCATGGTTGGGTCAAGTGGCGTAACGGCAGAGTGCTCGACTCGGAACCAAGAGGTCCCGGGTTCGAGTCCTGACATGGCCTTGGGATAGGCACTTTACGTCGACTTTCGTCACTTCGCTCAGGTAAAAATGAGTATTGTATTGTCCCCTGTGTTGGTGACGGCATTAATATAAATAGAAGCTGAAAAAAAAATTAAGTGTGTCCCCATCCCGTCTTGTGATTACACATTACATGTTGGAATATAAAAAAAACTGCAGTGCGAAAACACAAAGACGCACATTTAGACACAGACACACGTAGACACGGACAAGTCAGAAATCATTTCAGTCCTTTGATGTACTATAAATCAGCAAATCCTAGAAGAACACGCCTGTACAATTTATATCTCCTTTACCAAATTTCTATCAATGCCCTTTTCCCTCTGTAAATGTTTCAGCTAATTCATGAACAACTACATGATAACTTTGAAAACAAAAAAGATGAACTTTCAGACATAATTTGTACGTTGAATATTTTTGATAATTTCAATTTTATGATAATTGAGCTGGTACTTACCTGTTGGCGAGACTTTGATTTTGGAGCCTGAAAAAACAATAAACGTTACATGATATGATATGATATGATATGATATGCATAGTTTTTTAATTGTAGATTTTGAACGAATTATGAACGCCACAGAAATATTTGGCAAGCAGTCATCCATGTATATGTATAAAGAGGTTTTAAAGAGGTTGATTGAACATGATGTTTCTATCCAGTCTAGATGTCAAATAGTTGTACTTACCCAAACTTTCCGCTTTCTGTATTTGGTGCTTTTCAGGGCGAGAAGGACGAGAAGGAACAACAGCAGGGCAGCGCCCACCACGCCGAGAATGATGGGAACTCTGTTTACTGTCAAAACAAAAATAACGGCACGGTCACATTCGTAAGTCGCTGTACGATTTTCATGCCGTATACAAATTTTCAAGCAGACTGCTGTGACAGAAACAAAGAATGCCAATGAACAGGCAGCGTTTTCTGGAACAAGACGGTTGAATTTTGCAGGAAAAGCACAGTTAGACTGTTTCAGTTTGCAGTCCAGCGGCCGAACTGAAAAACTGTGTCCAAAACCATCAAATTTGGCATCCGTGTACTTTGATGTATTCATGACAAATCCGAATATGGAGACATCTCAATTTCTGCCCAGAAGTGTATTTTCTGGCATTTTCGGCCACTGTTAACTAAAAATGTGTATTTTTTTTGTTCCAGCTGTCTCATCACATCTGAAGCAATTATGAGGATGAACAAAGTATGGAAGAAGGTGATTATAGACCTTATTCTGTTCATCCACACCCCCTTCTAAGCATAGCAGTTCCAACCACGAATGTACTAGCCTGGTATCCAGTCTTACGTGATTGGGGCATAACAGTTGGGGTGTTCAGGCAGGCTGTGTCTTCGGGTCTCTAACACTAACAGCTTCCCCCCGCCCAGTGCAACAGCCGCTCCGACAGGAGTGTTACGCTGAGATGGCATGTTTGGGGATTTGATTTGCCCCAACACGAACCGTGGTAGGGCTAATCAATCTCTCGTGAAATACCCAACGGGAAACCTAGCTGAGGTGAGCGGGAACGAGCTCCTGCAGCCCGGAGGAAAACCCGCCCCTACCACGTAAGACTGGATACCAGGCTACGAATGTACTTACTGCTGCAGTCCCGCCCGGGTAGGTCAGCGGGGGAATCGTCCAGATGAGTCGGGGGACACTGACAGGTGAAGCCGCCTTTGTCCGTGTTGGTGCAGTAGTCCTGACTGTAGCACTTATCCTGTGTGTTGGGATCGCCGCAATAATCGTACGCTACAAGGTAGGAAAAAAATACAAATTTTAGAACGTTTTTTGTGTGGCTGTTAGATATTTTGAGATGAGAGTTTGAGAATCAACTTTTTTTTTCTTTGTGTGACATACACAACAAGCCGTTGCTTTCATAGCGATGTTATTTTTGGAAAACTTTTTGCATTATTATAGCCATGTTCAGACCTCGTGAGGGCTGGAATGCTAGCAATAATGCTAAAGTCTGAAACTGTGTCCCCCCAAAAAAACATAAGAACATAGGACTATACAAGACATTACTACTTTACGCTCTTAAAACTACTTTTAGTATTAGTAAATCAGAGGCTTCAACCGAGCTTGTGACACAGACTACTTTTTATACGATTTAAAACTTTTAAATAGTCTCATCTTTAGTTATCCATTTGGACTGAATATAAAATGTATATGAATATAACTTTTAAATCTATCTCGAAATAAAATGTAAAATTCAAATTACGTTTCGCTGTGACACTTTTAAAGTTTGTGTTCGCATCAGCGTTGATTCGATCGTTCAGACCCTCCTGGACCTGCGCACTAGACAGCGGCGTTCCCGCCAAGATGACGTCATTATTGGCGATGAGGCTCCCGCTCCGGAAATTGTTGAATGACGTGGCAACTTTCTCCACACCTGGGACACTGGCCACCCAACCGTCTACTAGGCTGTCGAACTATATGAAAGGCAAGTAAAAGTTCTCTATCGTTTCCAGAACCTTGAATATCTAGTTCTATGCCTGAATGGGTCAGAGGTAGGATCAGGCACGTTCCTAGATAGTCTTTGCGTATCCAGGAATGCAGATTTGTTCCAGGTAGGGTTCTGGATACGCGTGGACTAGCCAGAACAGTGCTGCGCATGGTTCTGGATAAAGCACAGTTTTGGATACAACACTCTAGTTTTTCATGTTACATGTATATCCAGATAATAGTATTATCATCAGCTATCTCGTCGCCAAGAACAATTGTTACTCAAGCAACCGGATAGATTTTTTTAAATGTATCAAGCTGCCAGAGTAACTGTTTCTTGTGTATCTGATCACCTGGATGTCTAATCGTCATTGACGTACATCGACAGTTATTTTCGAACGTACCTCGCCGATATGCCGGTCTCTCTCTGCTTGGAAGCCTGCGCTATTTTCGTCGTGTTTTTCGGCATCATAATCAAAAGTATCCTTGTAGGTGGCGTCCACATTGTGCCTGCTTGTTGCTATCGAATGTAATAGAAAGAAGACATTTGTCTTGCACATGCCATAAACGAAAACATAGTTCTTGCTAGTAAGATTCAAATACAATAGAACGAAAGACGAAACATGAAATACAATTTTAAATGAAAAACAAAAGTTTCTTGGAGAATGAAATTCGTAAATTCTTCAGCTTTAAACTTTTAGCTCACAACGACATCCGTAAAAAGCAACCAAACAATCCAAGAAATAAACAAAGTACCATCCACCCAAGCCAGAAACCTTCTTGCTTAACAACAGTTGACCAACTAGCCTATCAGCTAACGGTAGCAGACCTCAGGGCGTACTAAACTTCTCTCAACCGTGACGGGGGGCGATATCGCCTTCCGACAAACAAAACCACGCAATCACAACAATTTGGTCAGAAAGCTGATTCGGTTGGAAACTTTTTTGAGTGATTCTTTAAGTTGGAGAACAGTTTGAAGTTCCACATAAGTTGGTAACCTCCTTGACTTAAGTAATAATGGCCATTGAACCGTACTTACCTGTACAGTTGTCCGCTGATCCCCACCTGATGTAAGTAGGAAGACAGACACAGTCATAACTGCCCGGTCTGTTCTTACAGCGCTCATTCGGACCCGTGCAGGGGTTGGTGGAACATTCGTCAACATCTGATGAATAAATAAAACAGCAGGGCAAATATCAAACGTACGTGTCCATTGACATAACAATAAAAATAGCAGACTTCACTTCCGCAGCTAGAACATACAAAACCTTCATTGCAAAACCTTACACTGACACACTGATAAAGAAGTCAAGGCCTTGATGGAGCAATTAGACCATGTCCTAGACTGTGTATAAGTTTGAAAAAGTGTTATAATCACATTTTAGCAAAATGTATCGAATATAATAGATGATAATAGCTAGAGAACTCACCACTACACGTGAAGCCGTTTCCTTGGAAGCCTGAGTTACAGACGCACAGCGCTGTGTCATTTCTGAGGACGCAGGAGGCTAGAACCCCACAGATTGGGGCACAGATAACTGGGGCGGTTGCGGTGACGGCTGGGGTAGATGCTGGGGCCACTGATGTTGAAACCTGTGGTACTGACACTGACGCTGAGGGCGCCACGGCGGTGGGTGGTACCGCGGTCGGTGCCAATGTGGCCAGCGACGCCGGAACAGTCGGAGAGACGGCCGGTGCTAACGTAGCCAGAGACGCCGGAACAGTCGGTGAGACGACCGGTGCTAATGTGGCCAGAGACGCCGGGAGAGTCGGAGAGACGGTCGGTGGTACTGTGGCCAGGGACGCCGGAATAGTTGGGGAGACGGTCGGTGCTATTGTGGCCAGAGACGCCGGAATAGTCGGTGAGACGGCCGGTGCTAATGTGGCCAGGGACGCTGGAATAGTCGGTGAGACGACCGGGGCTAGTGTGGCCAGGGACGCCGGGAGAGTCGGAGAGACGGCCGGTGCTAGTGTGGCCAGGGACGCCGGGAGAGTCGGAGAGACGACCGGTGCCAATGTGGCCAGGGACGCCGGGAGAGTCGGAGAGACGACCGGTGCTAGTGTGGCCAGGGACGCCGGGAGAGTCGGTGAGACGACCGGTGCCAATGTGGCCAGCGACGCTGGAAGAGTCGGTGAGACGACCGGTGCCAGTGTGGCCAGGGACGCCGGGAGAGTCGGAGAGACGGCCGGGGCTAGTGTGGCCAGGGACGCCGGAATAGTCGGTGAGGCGACCGGGGTCAATGTGGCCAGGGACGCCGGAATAGTCGGTGAGACGGCCGGTGCTAATGTGGCCAGGGACGCCGGAAGAGTCGGAGAGACGACCGGTGCTAGTGTGGCCAGGGACGCCGGGAGAGTTGGTGAGACAACCGGTGCTAGTGTGGCCAGAGACGCCGGGAGAGTCGGTGAGGCGACCGGTGCCAATGTGGCCAGGGACGCCGGGAGAGTTGGAGAGACGGACGGTGCCAATGTGGCCAGGGACGCCGGGAGAGTCGGAGAGACGACCGGTGCTAGTGTGGCCAGGGACGCCGGGAGAGTTGGAGAGACGACCGGTGCTAGTGTGGCCAGGGACGCCGGAAGAGTCGGTGAGACGGCCGGTGCTAGCGTGGCAAGAGACGCCGGAATAGTCGGAGAGACATACGCTGCCAATGTGGCTAGCGACGCCGGAAGAGTCGGTGAGACGGTCGGTGCTAGTGTAGCCAGAGATGCTGGAACAGTCGGAGAGACGGCCGGTGCCAATGTGGCCAGAGACTCCGGTAGAGTCGGAGAGACGGTCGGTGCTAGCGTAGCCAATGACTCCGGAATAGTTGGTGAGACGGTCGGTGCCAATGTGGCCAATGACTCCGGAATAGTTGGTGAAACGGTCGGTGCTAATGTCGCCAATGACTCTGGAATAGTTGGTGAGACAGTCGGTGCCACCGTGGCCAGAGAGGCCGGAATAGTCGGTGAAACGGTCGGTGCTAATGTCGCCAATGACTCTGGAACAGTCGGAGAGACTGTCGGTGCTAGCGTGGCAAGAGACGCCGGAAGAGTTGGTGAGATGGTCGGTGCCAATGTTGCTAGAGACTCGGGAATAGTTGGTGAGACTGTCGGAGCCAGTGTGGCCAGAGACTCTGGAATAGTTGGTGAGACTGTCGGTGCCAATGTGGCCAGAGACTCGGGAATAGTTGGTGAGACTGTCGGTGCCAATGTGGCCAGAGACTCCGGAATAGTTGGTGAGACGGTCGGTGCCAATGTAGCCAGAGACTCCGGAAGAGTCGGGGAGATAGTCGGTGCCAATGTAGCAAGAGACTCGGGAATAGTTGGTGAGACTGTCGGTGCCAGTGTCGCCAGAGATTCCGGAATAGTCGGTGAGACGGTTGGTGCCAATGTTGCCAGAGACTCCGGAATGGTTGGTGAGACGGTAGGTGTCAACGTGGCCAGCGACTCCGGAATAGTAGGGGCGATGGTGGGTGCCAGCGTGGCTAGTGACGCCGGTAGTGTTGGTGGAACAGTCGGTGCCAGCGTCGCTAGAGACTCCGGAACAGTCGGTTGAAGTGAGCTCGGTAAAATCACACTTATAGTAGTCGGCGGTGGTAATGACGCTGTAGGTGTTGGCGTCGGCGGTGACGCTGTGGATTAAGAATTGGAAGTACATAGTAATATAACAGTCTGTTTTTGTCCTTTTCCATCAAATTTATGTACGAGTCAGTCAGGTAAAAAGGTAAATATTTAGTTTCTCTTTAATGTTGCACATTAAACAAAGAGAAAGAGAGTCTAGGTTTGAAAGGTTTTTTTAAGTAAAACGAACGTCTTTTTTAAAGGTTTTCAGCTTTAAATTGTAAAATGAAATAATCGTTTTGAAAGTTTTTTCCTAACGTATTTCACTTCAAGGCCTTACCGCATGTTCTACCGGGGTCGTCTATCGGGTCCTGGTCGATATAGCCGGGTAGACACGCGCAGGTGAAGCTTCCAACCGTGTTGTTGCAGGTGGCAAACGCAGAACAGTCGTTGGTGGTCTCGTTCGCGCACTCGTTAAAATCTAGGGAAAACGTAGTACAAACGGTGTAACTTTGTATAGGTATGTTTACTGATTGGTCTCGTTTAATAAAGGGTGGTGAGATAACCCCTGGTCGGGTGCGATAACTACCTAATAAACCATCAAGTGAGCGTATGGTAAGGTCCAAAAAGTGGTCGGTTATTCTAATAATAACTATATGGCCAATACTTCTGTCCCGGACTTAGTGACTTGTACGTTACGTACCGGAAACCGTGACGGTGGAAGGGTCGATGTTGAGCGGGTTTGTCTCGTTCAGCGCTGCGGTCAGGGCGTCCGCCAGGGCGTCGGTCAGCGAGTCGGCCGTGATGTTCTGGTCGGCCGGCATGTCGATGGCGTAGTTGGCGACGATACTGCCGGGAGAGAAGCTGATGATGGTGATCCTGATGACGATGATGATCGTGATGCGGAAAAGCTGCGTTATCTGCGTGAGAAGGGCGACAAGCATCGTAAAATTAGACAATGATTTTGTGTCACGATTATGTGTATCTGACACATTTTGTATCTGTATCAGTACTTTAGCCGGTATAACTGCCATTCGGCGTAACACACCAACTTTAAGTGAAGTTACCGTCATTTATTTCAATAACTTATTAGTATTTTATCTTAGATTCTCATCTACTTATTCGTTTCTCATTACGTCCATACATTTGTGGGTTAGCCATCTCCAACTGATGAGTCTGATTGGCTGACCCAAGTAATGACATGTATCGTTGCTGTTTACTTACAACTTACCGTCACAGTGACTTGCAGGGAAATCCTCTGGAACGCAACTGAAGTTGGGTCATTCAACGCAGGCGTGAAGTCACCGGGTATGGAAACGGAGCCGTGGAGCCTGTTCGACTCTAGAAAAGAAACACAACACCGTAAGTAATATATATAACGGCAACGGCAAGTAGAAAGCTACTAAGGGGGCGTTATGGCAAGACTACGGCCCTAAGGTGCCCTTTTATCCTAATGGAAACAAGAAATCGGAGATTTCAAACTCCTGGGAAGTGTTTTGGGTGGTTGTGAATTCATTGAAACTGTATTGTATGATTGTATTGTACAATTCAATTACATCACAGAATGGGTAATTACTCATACGATGGTATGACGTCACTTACTCCACAGTACACATCCCAGCGACCCCATGCTACACCCTACCACCCAGGGCATACTTAGTATCTGGTCACAACCCTGTCAATCAAGTGAAACACAATCTCCGCCCACTCACTTCTCATTATACTTGCTGCTAAGAACAAAATACATGCGACTTCCCTCCTAATCCAGCACCGCCCAAAACACTACGTTCGTCTCGGAAACAATATGTGTGTTGCTTACTGGTACAGACTCCGTTGTCCATGGTCCATCCTTGTCTACAGTTACAGTCGTAGCCGCCAGCGGTGTTGGAGCACCTCAGGTTGGCAGATCTGTCGCACACGGGGGCGTCCTGCTCCAGCGCCTCCGCACACTCGTCGATGTCTGTTCAAAACAAGAAATCCGAGAGTTCAGACGTCAGAGAAATACTTTGGGTTTTCGTGATTTGGGCGTTCGTAATTTGGGTGGTTTGTGTTGCGTTTTATGGGAACAACCGAGTATGACCTGCTTCAGTTGGGACTAAACTAGTTTACTACATTTCTTCTATTCTAATCTCCTTTCACGTTGCCCATCAACTGCCCCTACCACCCCTTCCTTCACTCCCTGTTGACCTACTCTGTTCAGACACAAAACACACAAACTCACGACGCAGCTACTCAAAACAATACTACTTTAATACGTTGTTGTGTCAATACAAGTGATCGCCAAGGCAAAAAGCAGATGACAGTTTAGAGATTCGCCTACTGCATATGTCTTTAAATATTTTACATGTGTATGATGTAAAAAGAAACAGCGATCACTCATTTGAAGACGTCGACGTTTATGCCTCCTCGGAGGAATATAATTGGAAGAAGCTCACCTTGGCAGTCGTGTCCGTCGTCAGTCGGTGAGCGGTAACCCTGCACACACTCGCAGACGGGAAGCTGACCCGGCTCCTGGAAACAGTTGGAGTTGCCGCCACAAATGTCAACTCCGCTGTCGCATGGCACTGTGACACAAGACAACGGTACGTATTGTTTAAATTTGTTGTCATCAACTAGACTGTGTTCCATAGACAACAAATACACAATCACGTATTCCTATATACAATTTTCAGCCCGTGTGGCCCTTTTCGGGACGAATGAAGCCACTATTTTGAACACATGACCTTATGGACATGTGACTGCAGTAATAGGTCAACGAGGAAGGGTTAAAGGTCATTGGAAGTCTGTACCCTCCCCCGGCCCTCCCCGACGCCGCATTGGGTGTTTTAGTAAATATCCCATAACAGAGCGAATGAATGAGAGTGGGAGATTGAGGGAGGAAGGCAGGAAGGCAGGAAAAGAAGAAGGGTGAATTAGAGGGATGGTTGAGATGCTAGGTATTGGCTATATAGTCTCACTCTCAATCCAGGGCATACTACTCTATATATACAATGTAGTAATACATACGCAATGTGCAGTCTTTCCCGGGGATCTCTATGCAGAAGTCGTTGTTGTCCGCCCCGTAGTCGTGGTAAGACTCCAGGAGGTTGACCGTCAGACAGATGTGGGTGTACAGTTGGCACTCTGCTTCGTTCGCAAACGACACTTGGATCTGGAGACAAAAAACAACCACGTTTTTTTTACTCATTGGTTACGACGTAACAAGAGCGCTCAATTCAAGGTGGACAGCAGTAGATATTCACGGAAGTACAGAAAGTGCGAAATGCTACAAAATGAAGCGAAGTCGAACGAAATTTGATGCAAAAAACAAAACTACACCAGATATTCACCTGTGGTCCAGAGAACCAGGTTCTTCCTGTACTTGCCAGCCCGAGCCGCAAGGACACCGAACTGTCAAAGTCCACGTCTACATCGACCTCCCTCCTGGCCGTGGCGTCCTCCAGGTTAGCGGAGTTGGTAATGTACGCGCTGAAGGCGAAGTTGTTTTCTTCACTGGAGAGAGGAGCGTCGGGGAGGGAACCTATGGGACGTGATCTCTCAAGTCAGGTTCAATGTGTCACACGGCGATACACATTTAATGCTAAGGTCACGATTTCTGACCAGGGGCCCGGCCGGGCAGTTTGTTGGAAAGAAAAGTATGATATAAAGACAACAAAGCACAAAAAGTTGATGAAAAACTAATCATCAGTACCATCTGTTAAGCTTCTTGATTGAAATTGGTGATTTTTCGTTCTCGCAAACAGCCCGGCCGGGCCCCGGTTTGTAAATGTGACCTTAGCATAATGATATGTGATTGAAACCGTGATGCATACTCAGTTATTGCCCAGGATGACTACATGCAATCTATTGGGGAATGCCGTACGTGGGAATGTATACTCTTTGATGAATATGCATTATCTTGTTGCCCTTTTGCCATATGCTTTTACAAAATACCTGATAATCTCTGTACTGTTTTTGATGCTATTACACTGCTTATCATTTCTGGTCGTTGATGATAACAATTTTGCAACGTTTAAGAACTGTTATCAATTTCCTAACAGAATCTGAAGAACTTCCTGTTATAGCTTATGTAATGGAATATTCTAAACGACTAGTGCTTTCAGATATAGAGAAGTGTTCAAGAGTTGATATTAGCGCAGCATGGCATTCCTAGTAAGAACGCATATGTACACCGAAGAAAGTTCAGTGCTGTTAGTACAGTTAAATGGAAGATGCTTGTGGTGCAATGCTGGGAAGTGGAATGCACATCCTGTGCCATGTCGTATTTGTGCCATGTCATGGAGTACGGGATGATGTTTACAAGTGACATTAGTGGGAACAGGGCTACATGGGGTTGTCTTCACGTGGAGTTAGTATTTTTGTGCACACGTCAGGGATTTTTTTTTAATGTATGACGTCCATATGAGGACTGCTTTGTGTGTATGCGTCAGAGTCAATCTGTGTACACGTCAGAGTTACTTCTTGAGTTCAGTTTGTAGTACAGTGAAGTCGTGATTAGATTTTATGTTCACGTCGAGTTAATGTGTGTACACGTCAGAGCTAATTTTGAGTTCAATGTGTAAATACACAGAAGTCATGGTTAGTTTTAGTGTAAACATTGAGTTTATGTGTGCAGACGTCAGGTTAATATGTGTACACGTCAGAGTTAGTAGGGCCATTTAGTCATGGTTAGTTTTTGTGTACACGTCATGTTAATGTGTGTACACGTCAGAGTTAGTAGGGTCATGACGTCATAGTTTTGTGTACACGCCATGTTAATGTGTGTACACGTCAGAGTTAGTAGGGCCATTAAGTCATGGTTAGTTTTTGTGTACACGTCATGTTAATGTGTGTACACGTCAGAGTTAGTAGGGTCATGACGTCATAGTTTTGTGTACACGCCATGTTAATGTGTGTACACGTCAGAGTTAGTAGGGCCATTAAGTCATGGTTAGTTTTTGTGTACACGTCATGTTAATGTGTGTACACGTCAGAGTTAGTAGGGTCATGACGTCACAGTTTTTGTGTACACGTCAGGTTAATGTGTGCTTACGTCATAGTTAGGTTTTTTTCTGTTCAGTGTATGGTACGGTGAAGTCATCGTTAGTTTTTGTGTACTCGTCATAGTTATTCTTTGTAGTACACGTGGGAGTTAGTTTGGAAGTTAGTATTTCATTTGAAGGTGGTGAAACAGATTTTTCCTCTCCTGATTTGATCACGATCGTACTTACAATCCACGTAGGTGGAGTTACTGTCCTTGCACGTTTTGGAGCCGGACGGATTGTCTGCAAGTTGTCGTCAAGAGGAAGAAAGTTGAAGCAGCGTTACAGTTGCGCCTCAAGCGCCACACAGAAGCGCCAGACAGAAGTACATTTAACACATAGCATCGTCGCACGCTTAGCACCATTACAAAGAACAGTATCGGAAACTATACAGTATACATATCTAGTATAAAGACAACGATGCGCTAGGCCCCCGTCACAATGCACCTACGATTATTTTTTCCGCGACAATCGTGCCATACGTCGTATATAGATTATGATGGATACTATGAATACCATTATTATGAATAGTATATTCCATCTGTTCCTTCTCAACCTTACGACACACGAACTATTAAGCTGCCCATGTTATATGTTATTGTAATGATTATGTCTTGTCTTTTCATGTCAGCAGGGCAGCTAAGCCCTTTGTAATAGCAGTAGGCTGTGTGTTGAACAGCCAAACCAATGAATAAATAAATAAATAAATGACAGATCGTCGCAGAAAAAACATCGTAGGTGCTTCATAAAGTGTTTTTGACCAGGGCTTTAGTTGCGACCACTGCGAAGCGCACTGGATAGGACTGGATAGGCAGTTCCGTAATGTAGCATTTCAGTTTGCTAAGAAGCATAAATTCGAATAACACTGAAAACACATTTTATACGGGAGGCAATCAATTGATTTGTATGGATTCCTTTTTTTCTTTATTTTTTTTTTTCGCCAATTTCTAAAGAGACGTACGGTACCTGTGCCGTTGTTGGCGACGAAGAACTGCAGTGTGACTTCAACAGGAACAGCGGGGGAGTAAACCTGAAAATTCCCAATATCAGTACTGCTATTAATATAACTATTAATTTATTTGTCTATCTATTTGTCGATTTTGAAGTCTCAATTTCATTTCAGCGTTGAAACATTAAGTTTTTTATGTTTGCGGAAGTCAAACATATTGTTTTTGCTCTGTTTCTTCTTCCTCTTCTTCTCCAAACAAATAAGGTTAATGACCTGAACCAGACGTCTGTCACCACGGTAACTAGTGTTAGGTTACATAATGTTGCAATTTTATAGCAGAAGGGATTTAGACTCCTGTCACCATATATATGAATGCAGACCATATGCGAAGGTAAACATTTGCTTCTGCATTTGCTTTGCAAATGTTACGTTTCTAGTTAAAAAATTATTTCATGACAAAAAAGACAAATCATACATGAAGACTCTCCCGCAGGATCCCCAAGTTGTCCACGAAGATGTCGACGGTCGGGACGAGTCCGAAGGCGCGGCTGTCCGTGTTGAAGCTGAGGGAGCCTGCCTCGGCGCCGGGGAAACCGCCCTCACGGACCTGCGTGGACAGGAAGTCCTGAAAGTCGTCCCGGATGGCCCTGGGCACGACGATCCGCAGGTACACCACGTACCCAAGGTTCCTCCTAGAAGAGGGAAAAGGGGTGATTTATAGTTAGTCAAATTTTAGTGTGTTTTTTTGCGACGCTTCAGGGGCTAGCCTAATAGTATTGCTTATGCCCGTACCGAGTATTCTAGGAATTCCTAAGGCATTTCTGTGATGCCTTGTTAACCCGTGTTTGTACCCAGAAGTAGGGGACTGTGACATCTGTTTGTATTCGGATGTAGTTTTATTACCTGTATTGTTCCAGTTCAATTCTAACATAAAAATTCATCTGTATTGGTAGAAGCTTGCACCATGAAACAAATCATAAATCATAATATCTAACACGGAAATACAAGACGTGTCATGACATTCCTTACCATTTGAAGGCGTCGGTGACTTGAGCATAGTAGATTCTGCTGGAGTAGGTTTCCGAGGAACTCACAAGCGTGTAGAACTGTGAGAGAAAGAACAAGTCTCGTCATGAACTACGCATAGCATGGCGTTTGAAAGTTTATTGTTTTTTTAACACAACTAAAGGTTTGTTTTGTTTTCAAAGCACAGTTGTAACTCAACAACAATAGGAAAATTGAGTAAAAAACATTGTACATTTCATCGCAACACAGTACACAGTGTAACAGGGGCCATTGCCACTGTCCTTTTTGGCTAGAGTGTGCTCCTCGTGGCTTTTTTTACAACCAAATGTATGTATCTGATAACGCTTTTTGAAAAAAAAAAAAGAGGGTGTGACATACCTGCCGTAATATCTCGTCCTCATAAGCCATGATGATGTCGGTAGGTTCTTCACTTGTCAGTGCGCTCGCCATGAAGACAAAGCGGGCGTAGAAAGCCTGCAGATCTGAAGGTGTGGAAGAGGATAACTTGTTCGTAATGGTGCCAGGCAACTGTCTTAACGCCCCCCTCCCCCGTTAAAGGGAACAAGGTACACGTATGGACAAGCGAAGCTATCCAGATGACATGATGTTACAACGAAATATACACACCGCTGCAGTTCTAAAGGAAACCGCATTGGGATCTAAAACTTGATTCAAATATGTGATTTTGTTGTTAATAGGTAGCGCTTCTACTTAATAATACCTGACATATTTACCTTCGCCAAGAAGGTTATGTTTTCAGAGGCGTTCGTGTATGTGTGTGTGTGTGTGTGTGTGTGTGTGTCTGTAAACACGATAACTTTAGAAGGCCTTGGTGGATTGTCTTGATACTTGGTAGGTGGGTAGGTCTTGATGAGACCTCAAAATGATTAGATTTTGGACCTCCTAGCGGCTTGTTATGGTACTGCAGCTGCACTTCCGGTTTTGATATCTCATGATCTAGACATGCTAGGGTGACGAAATTTGGATGGTAGGTAGCTCTTGTGCTGGGGAAGAAGTGACGTGAGTTTGGGCCCCCTAGCGGCTTGCTCTGGAACTACAGGACTAAATGTTTGAAAATATTCAACTCAATGTAACTCAAGAACCGGTTGACGGATCGTCGTGATTTTTGGTATGTAGGTAGCTTATGTGGTGCTTGATATAATTATTTGACAATTACGCAAATATGGATGTAATTTGCATAATTTATGGGGATATTCTATAAATCAGCTTCATTCCATGGTTGGACTATTGAAGCTTGTGACATTGGTAATTGAGAATAAGAGAAACACAGACAGATATTAATTATGTAAATGAGGACTTAATTTGCATAATTAATGAGAAAATTTTATAATTATGTAAAGATAACTGCCTGGAATTTCATACTTGTGGTATTTGAAAGTTAAGTGAAGGTGAACATCACTAAACATAATGTATTCAAATTAGGACCTTATTTGCATAATTTATGAGGAAATGCTAGAATGGCATTGTTTGTTAATATAAGACTGTCTTTTGGTTGAGAATATGATAAAATGATATAATTCATGATTCTATTTGTTAAATCAGGGGGGAATAATCTATAATTTGTCAGTCATAAAGATTAACATCATTTGGCGAAGGTATGAGATCGGGGAACTCTAGTTCAGGAATGAATTAGGAAAGTTCTGGTATGAATAGCACTTAATGGAAACAGTGATGGTAATTTGTTGTTAAAGGTAAAGTGTAGAGTTCTGACCTGCTGGCGCCAATAGCGATGACGACACGGCATGAAACTGGGCCACGCCGCGCCACGCCGTTAGGAGCGCCTCCAGCGAATATTCCCCGGACTGCACCGAGAACACGACTTGGGTGTAACCCGAAGATCTGGTGATGAGGTACGAGAACAATGAGCATATCAGATTGTTCTGGATTGGTCTGTCTGTCTGTGCGTGTCAGTGAGTGTGTAAAATCGTTGAAAAAAATTAGTAGAACTTACGTGACGTTCCGAGTTTGAAGAAAGTTGACCGTTTGAAAGCCGTCCACGCCCGAAAAAATGCCATTGAGCTGTAAGAGAGAGAGGGAAAAATCTTAGCCTCCATGAAGCTTTCCTAAGTGGTACGGGATTATCTGTATCTGTATAGCCGGTGTAACAGCCCTTCGTCGTAATACACCAGCTTCCCAGGCACGCGGCGCGGCAGCAGCTGGCTACATCACACCGAACGACTTGCTACACCTAACCGTGAGTAAGAGAGTAAGATCAGTAATTGGCTTGGGGAGTAAGCCACAGTAAAGGTGGGCAAATGAAGCTTCCCTGGTAAATATAGGAAAATCTAACAAACGTTACTTCTAATCACTGACCTGGGTCAGGACGTTCAGCTGAAGTACGGTGTATACGTTAGAGTTGACGTCAGCGTAGCCACGGACGTACCGGTGAGCCAGCTGCAGCCATCCGTACGACAAGACGCCGACTGGAACAAGAAGCACGGTGTTAATTCCGGGGCGGAAGTATTGATTTGGGTCGAGCTAATCGAGCCAGAGCAAGTTCCTAGAATAGAACTAGGCGCGCAAAATATACTAACAGGCTCCGCCCGAGAGGCGTAGCAAAAAACAGCACTACTGACCGTTGGCGACTCGTGCAGGCAGCCTGTTCCTGAGGTCCACAAACCCCCTGGTGTTCCGGACCGTCCGGAGCTGGCTGGAGGAGAACCCGACCATGCCCTGTAGCGCCCCGCGGTCGGCGGCAGCACCCAGCGCGACGGCATACATCACCACGCCCTGCTGACGAGCGAAGTGCCCGGCGAACGCCAGGCTGATGTCCCCGGACGAGTCGTCTGGCCCCGTGCTGAACGCCACGATGATTTTCGGGACGTTGGGTCGGCCGGTCTGGACCAGCCCGCTGACGGATTGGACGCTCGATCTTGCCAGCGCCCTGTAGCATACAAAACAGGGTAGCTTTTAATACTCATATGGACAACGTGTCTGTGTCTAGAGCAATACACTCACGGGCTGTGAAGGTGTCGAATCGTCCTTTCAGATGGGGACGTAAAACTGACGGCCCTGCATAGGTGTGGCTTATGCGGTCAAACTTCTGCACGTAAAAAGTCTGGGGTTGACAGATTTACAAGTTTACCTTTTTGTGGCTCTTCCGAATTGTTGAGTTACCATCTAATATGGATAACGTTACCGGCCATTCGATAATAAAGACAAAATTACTCGACCACTTGTGTCCTTCGGATGTACGAGTTGGGAGAAGATATTGCAGATGATAGAGAAAATTAACATTTTATTAGGCACAACGTCTTCCAACGGGATTAAACACGCGCGTTTAAATGTCTCACAGGACAACGCAGTTGTTTTCATCTCTCAACATGGCGGATTTTACCCGTCATTCATTTCGCGCCGCGGCTTCCTCATTTCAACAACGTCACGGTCACGTGACTAGAAATACCTTATATGGAATCAGCAAGCACGTCGACTGAACGCATCCGCGCGAAACCGTAATGAATTGTGCATAGCACTTCGGCAGAACGTCTCATGTAAGGTCGTATTCGCGTGTATAAGGTTAACATCCTGTCTGTAGTTTCCATATGTTATGTCGGAAAAGATTCGCCTCAGCAACAGGCAACGGGGACCAAACATTCAACGAAAACCGTGAAAAATCAGGGTTCGCTAGGCTAGGCACAGTAGCAGGCGTTCTGCCGATGTGCTTACCGTCCGCCGCCTTGCTTGACGAGGGTCCTCAGTGCCGCCTGCAGGTCAGACACGTCGGTAAAGTTGTCGGAGTCGAGCAGTGACATCAGCCGGTCGCTGTACTGTTCCACCGTGACTCGGGCGGAGTCGGGTCCCAGTTTAAACTCCGCCGCCATCTTGCCGACGAATGACGTCATGGCGCTGAACTCGGCGTCCGTGGTGTTGTCGGAGCCGTCCACGAGAAACACCAGGTCTACCGGCGTGTCGTACTGCGGCACTGGGGTGGAAGAAACAACAAACTATAGAAAGGTAACATTTCCAAAGCAAAAAAAAAATGCATTATGTTTACATTCGCATATGCTCTGCTCTGTTAATTCTTACTGAAACACATTCATATATATGGTAACAGGTCTACTCCTCCTGCTATAAAATTGCAACATGATGTGACTCAACACTAGTTACCATGGTGACAGACGTCTGGTTCAGGTCATTGACCTTATTGGTTTGGAGAAGAAGAGGAAACAGAGCAAAAACAATGTTTTCCTTCGGTAAACATAACAAAGGAATGAGCTCGAATGGGAGGGAATGGCAAAATTCCGCAAAGTTCAACGTTGTGACACATTTTCCTTGATCTTTACTTGATTTTAACGATGGTTCATAAACACTTTAACAGTACATGTACTATATTTTGTTCTGAGAGCAAATCACTAAAATGCCAACCGGAATAAAAACAACAATACAACAGAGAACTCACAGTCAGGGTCAAATGTGAAGTAGTCGGTGTCTACAGACAGTTCTCCCAGCTGGCCCGTGCTGACAGCAGTCTGCATGGTGGTCCGGGCTGACGTCACAGCGCTGGGCGAGACCATCACACGGAGGGTGGCCTGGATGTTTGAACCCCTGTCAGGGAAATAGTACAGCATTAGACATCTGCAGTTTGTGCCAATGTGTGTTGCGTGTTTTTATTTTGTGTCAACCCTACAAGTCTAGCTATCAGGCTAAATGGTATCGAAATAAAGACAACTAGAGAAGTAACATTTGCAAAGCAAATCCATAATGTTCACCTTCGGACATGGTCTACTCTGTTAATTCTTACTCAAACACATTCACATACATATACTACATTGTACTAATATATGGTGACAGGAGCAGAGCAGACCATGAAATTGCAACATTATGTAACCCAACACCAGTCACCATGGTGACAGACGTCAACAAATTATGTCATTGGTCAGGTCAGGGGTCACTGTTTGGAGAAGAAGAAGAGGAAGAAACTGAGCAAAAACAATATGTTTTCCTTTGGTAAACATAACAAGAAGAAATCTAGGATAGTACATGTTAGGCATACCTTGGTCGGAAGTCACAAAGGTCGAGCAGGATCACTCCGTTTTCTGTGAACAGCACGGACCCAACCTGGAGTAGAACACAGGCGATGCGTCGTATCAACGTTTACTTCATTTACGTACTATTGTCACCAAGTATAACCACTGACAAATATGAAGCAAATAATACTAATAATCGAACGAAGTAGAATGAAAAGAAAAGATATACAGCACGCGTGTTTATGACAAAGCTCACCGCTGCCTCAGTGCGCGTTTTCAGGTCCGTATAGGCGGCTGAGTCCGGTGAGTAAAGGTCGCCAGAAAACGTCTCCAAAATCACGATGGACACGTGATAACTCTCACCCCCTGTCAGGAATAAGTGTGAAGGGGAATTGAAATCTTATCATAGTATATTGATAGAATTGCATATAAAATGAAGAGGATGGCCAAAACCAGTGCAGATCCCCTTAATTTATTAAATTTCATTATTATACAGCCTGATGATGTTGAACAATCAGAAGTCCCCATTTCATATTGGTATGACGTCATAACATTAACTGTGGTGATTAAATCCCATAAACACCGCGACCAATAAGCGTCGACCATTCTGTTCGAATGACGTCAGATCGAACATGCTGGCATTGCTTTACGGACCGTTTCCTTTGCGCGTACATTTACGCATGCTTTAAGATGTGCTTAAAGGAAGCATTTCATGCAATGATATAGGGTACTAGTATATGTATCCAGAGCATTGCTTTTCTAGTTCTATGCCTCAACGGGTTAGGGTTATGATCAGACACAGTTCTGGATAGTCTACGCGGATCCAAGAACGTAGATTTGACCCGGGCACGGTTTGGGATATGCCGACTATATATCCAGAAACGTAATTGGGCATGGTTCTGGATTCAGTGCGGTTCTGGATACAACTACCCTGGTGCCAAACTACATGTAGTATCGGGCCGTTGGCCGTTTTCTTCGGCAGCCAACAGTGTAGTAATTCTTGGGTTTCAGTCACGTGACCCGACCTTAGCGACGGGTGTTATCCGCCATTTTGGTGTACCTACAGCCCCGCGTAGCCTACGCGCTATATACATGGTTCATTGTTTTGTAGCTGGTTGCGGGTCAAAAAAGTGGTAAACACAGTGTATCTTTTCAATGTGTGCCAAGGTGATTACAAATCAAGGGAAGGACCAGGAAAAACTGACCGAAAAACATCGCAGATTGTGGATTTTTGCGATCAGCCGCGGGGATACGGCCACAGAAATATCCCGAGATTGTGGCGAGTTACTATCGCCACAGACTCTGGGCAAGCTTCACCCGCCTGGGTCCGACACAATGTTGCCTGGGTCCCTACTAAAAAAACCTTGGAAGAAAGAAGTACAGAGATTGGGACGAAAGCAAAGAACAGAAGGAGAGGCGAGGGCCGAAAGGGCGAGAGAACGCATCAAGCGGGCCGAGGAACAGCCGGGTCTGGCGGCTTGACCGGGCGGGGCTTCTGACGCCAAAAGCCGCCCGACGCCACACAATGCTGCTGGATATCGCGTACGTGATCTTCCCTACACCGAGGTCAGAAATGTTCCTGTACATGCAGAAATGGCACCCAGGAATTTCCATTAAACATCGACTAAACAAAAGTTTACACGGTGCAAGTGAATTTATTTTGATACTGTAGTACACGTGGCAGTCTGACTCAATTTGAGCCTAAGTGCTAAAACTCCGAGTTCACCCTGACAGCCCAACAAAATTACCGATCTTAGCACTAAAAATTGGGTTAAAATTCGGCTTATCATGATATCCTAATATTCTAATGTGAATGTTCACAAGCTAATTCATGCATAGGTTGTGAGAGGTTACCCAAAAACTTTTTTTACGGCAAAACTACAACTAAGGGTACGTAAACAAAATTATGCCCGGAGGCTCCCCTCCCAACGCCGATGATTTACTCCCGCAAACTCGAGGCGGCCAACAAAATTTCTGTCGACAGGGATGACAAGCCGTCATGTGAAATTCTAATGGGGTTCCAACAGAGACATGCTAGTACTTTTGGTGCTTGAAAAAATATTCATGAACTCCAGTTTGTCAGCGGCGAAACCGAAGGGGCTAGATGAAAGTACACAACAATTTGAACAAACAAAGCCGCCCGCGGGCATGAATAAAAACTGGCATTTTGCATTATTACACACAGAACCCATAATTTTGTAACAGCAACCGATAGTAAAACAAGGATTTACATTACCAAGAAAAGGTGAAACTTAGGCTTACCATAATTTGATTGGGGATAACCCGTCCGCTCCTCTCGAATTGTTGTTTACGATTCGGCTACGCGAGTCACAAGTTGTCGCGAGAAGGAATCAGACACACGGGTGACCCGCGCACAGAGAACTGTCCAAAACACACTTCCCAGACCCTCCCTCTCTCTCTTAATTCATTTATTGAGAAAAAAATTAGACTAGAGTGACCAACATACGGATCCTGTCCACTGTAGGACTGTGTAGGACTAGTAACGTTAGTCTTTGAAGTTGGTTCACACATACGCTACCACATACGCAAGTTTTGTCGTCCTATATCCTTAGTCATCGTATCCTTTGACTTCCTATCCTCTCAAAAATGGACAATTTCATTGAAATCCTTGTCATCTGTCAACCATCAAAGACTGCAAAATTATCGTGTGGCTGTTAACTACTTGTATGGCTTCGGTACCAATGTCTTGACACTGCATAGCACTACAGCGAGGTACACCAAAATGGCGGCCGCCTGTATTACGCAAGCCCGTGACGTCACGTGAAAGCCGAGAATACGGGACCGCCCCCCCCCCCCCACCGGGCTCAACTCCCCGTAGCGGTAATTTAGCTGCCGAAGGAAAACGGCTAACGGTCCGATATATACTAGTCTGGCACCCCGGGTAGGATACAACAGCCCCACGTACCGATAACGCCCTGGCCGATGAGCGGGGTGAGGGTAGTGAAGCCGTTCGCCACGTTGGTAGCGTTCAGGAAGCTGTACCTGACCGCGTTAGAGGAGTACTGCGCCATGACGAACTCTAGACCAACACGGACACTGTAAAAAATTATATGAAACGCAAGGCAATCAGAGATAGCAGACTTCACCCCCTTAGAAACGGTGACTTTAATGTAACTGTCGTGTACCCTCTGTCAAAACATTAGTACAGAAATTGCACTGCAGAAAAAGTCGGACTCACGCACACGGGCGTGCACGCACGCACACACACACACACACACACACACACACGCACGCACACGCACACACACACACAAACACACACAAGCGCGCGCGCACGCACACACACAAACGCACAAATTCCTTTGGGGGTGAAATTGAAATAATGCAATGTATTCACATATCACTGGATTGAAACTTTCAGAATGGAAAAGAATTACCAGTGTTGGAAGATTTTACGATTTTACGAGTTTATCAGTGTCTTTATTGCCATTCATGTCATTCAAGTACATGCATGTCAGAAAAGTTTAAAACTGCTTTTGCACTCTTACTTCTGAATCGCTCTCTTGACCCTCAGGTTCTCCAACCGATGCGCTACAAAGTCTTCCACCACGGAGGCCTCAAAACAACTGGAACCTGGAGAGAAAACAAGTACGGGTATAAAAAGTATTGCCATGGCGACGATGGCTATCATCGTGAGCTCTGTATTCGTTCAATTTCTTACCAGATCGCAAGGGGCCGCTTCTGTACCAGTGATTACAGAAGACTTGTTCTACTTCTAGCTCGGCCCTTTCTGGCCCCAGGCCTCATGTCGGGAAACCTGTCGGAGCCGCCTATAGCTGTTATCAATGGCGGCCCTGACACTAGAAGGTTGAATAGTTAGAAGGTCTTCCATAGCCAGAGGGAACAGGCGTTCTGTCGCACGTCTCGCACAGAATGAATGGACTAACATTTGGCAGGTCAACTCGCAAAACAGGGTGACGCCTAGGTGTGTATTATCTACAATTCGGCTAAGAATTGCAAACAAAATGGTTATATGTTTCCAATAGTACGTATCAGAGAAAGCGCTAGGGTCTTATTCAAATTTTCGCTTCAACGCAATAAATTCATTTACAAACTGGTGTTCTGGTATTTGATAGTCTGTGTAACATAAATTCTCATGGCCCTATTAAGCCTCTCTCTAGCCTGGATTCCAGTTTTGTTAGCTGCTTCCCAAGATCCGCTAGTGCAAAAAAATCGAAACGACTTTCATGGCCTTGAAACGTAGTCCACAGCATACTAGTATTACCGATGTAATAACATATTTGATCAATACGTAACATTGTTAGGATTTCTGAACCAGTACATGTGCACACTTCAAGAAATGGGTGCGTAGAACACAGCACATCAAGGGAATATCAAGAGAAAATTCGAAGCGACTTGCTAAATACATTGTCAGCAGTTCAAGTGTTACCGATGTAGTGGCACATTTAACACGTAACATTGTGAGGATATCTGTAACCAGTGCATGTGCGCACTTCAAGAAATGGGTGCGTGGAACACAGTAACAACAGAGCATATATCAAGTTCAAATTCGAGGCGACCTGCTTTGCATAGTCAGCAGTACTAGAGTTACGTATACATTACCGATGTAGTGGCATATTTAACACGTAACATTGTTAGGATATATCTCTAACCAGTGCATGCACAATTCTAGAAATCCATGGGTGTGCCCACCTGAAATCCACAACACCGTCAGGATCAGGCCCACACAGGACCGCCAACCCAGCCGTCCGGGCTTCCCTGGGCATCGTCCTACGGTCATGCTCGACCCCTTTCCTAAAACACCGTCTTTTATATCTCCACGACGACTTTTCTTGAATAAGAACTGTAAATACTGTCGTAGGACAAGCGAAAATACCCCCCGATGTTGTCTGCTCTTTGGGTGGGTCTCTAAATTCTGTGATAATTACTGGGTGCAGCGTCAAAAGTGGTTGGACTGGAGTAGATGTACCTCCAGGGGTTCGAGTACTAGTAAATTTAAAGGTATGACCCCAAACTATATAAACGCGCTCTCAGTGGGGCCTTATAGGAAAGTTTTAGAAAAGGGGGCGGCTGACTTCGGTTGGGGAGGTAAAAGGCGGTGGAAGGAGAGGGATAGGCTCTGTATATCAATACTATGCCCTAGACACTTTGTATGTTTTATTTATTATTATTACTGCGAAAAGTAATTATTATTATTATTATCATTATCATTATCATTGTTATTTTATTTTATGTTGCTGTACTCCAGGAAGAATAGTGTGGATTACCATACTAATGGAGTTAATTACCATACTAATGGAGATCTCAATAAACAAACAAACAAACAAACACAGTGGATTGCCAAGCCATCGGAAGTCGATATCGGCGCCCGTCACGGCTGTGTGGATGTTGTTAGATAATTATCCCTTAACATTCTTAGACTTTCAAAACTGTTGAGATGACTTGTGACATGTAAATACAATATGTTCTGCCATATCTTTTAAGGCCAGACTAAATTAATTTCTAAAATTAAGTTACATGTACTAATACCATTCAGAATGTGAATAAACCCTAAATCATTAGCATATTTTAGAAACAACATCTGAAAAAAGTGCTGGTTTTGCTACATGCTTTTTAATTTATCATTGCAGTAGGAGATGAAAATGAATTGAAATGTGCATGTTAACCAGCTAAGTATGTATCAAGTGATGTTTGTTTCTTTTATATTTTGTCCGAGAACCACGAAATTAAATTGGGGTGACTTAGATTAAGTCTCTGACTTTCAATCTCCAACTCAAAGAATTACTGACATTTTCGACGGAATCTCTCAGTCTGTTCAACGTTGTGACCCAATTGATCACGTGTTTTCGTCCACGTGTGACGTCATCATGGGTCAAAGTTCATCGGAAGTCGATATCGGCGCCCGTCACGGCTGTGAGGATGTTGTTAGATAATTATCCCTTAACATCCGCTCGTTTCATGTGTGTATTGATGGCGTTTCTCTTTGTAACGTTGACCAAGACGTGAGTGTACAGTGCCTTGCGAGTTATCGATGTTACGGTATGGTTCATTGTATGTAGATTTGACAGACCGTCTCTCTTTGCCCGGCGTATTCCATTAAACAGCAGAAAGTACTTCTCCGGATTCTTGGTATGATTCCCGTGAGGCAACATGTGATATCTTGCGACGGCTCTGTCCGGACGCTTTACCCTCAACACGTGTTTGTACATTCGCCGGGCAAGATCATCGTCCTCCGCCCCCCATCCACAGTATAAGTTCGAGTAACCGTTCAGCAGTTTGTAATGCGACGTACTCAAGGCTAGAACTCCGCCGACAAGCCCAGGATACGGCAACTTGTATTTCAATTTGTCGACAGCCACCGACAAGTGATACGGGGACTTGGCACAGGTGTACAGAGGTGTACTGTCGTTCTCGGGAATGAGGTCGACGTCGTGCAAGACAAAGCAGTCGTAACTAGGATCGTCTTTCAAGGCCTCGGTGAAGCCGACGTTGTAAAGCAAACCTTTGCAGAATCTCGGTTCCTCGCCGTGTTGTTCTATGACGTAAATGGTGTAATCGAGCCCCTGGCGTTGGAAAAACGGGTGCATGCGACTGAGAAATATCTTCAAGTGTTCCTCTCTGTCTCTGAACGTCACCAGGATGGCCATTTTCTCACCGGAGGAGCTGTTCCGATTCCCAGTCGGACTCCATTTCCCGCCTAACCTTACGTCACCGTATGTGTTGTTAGTCGACGTTTTATGTAATGATTCCAGATCCGCTTCTTTTGAAATTTTCGCCAAGTGTTGACGGGTTACCAAACCAGCAACTTTCTCAGTTGAACTCAGTTTACCCCCAAATTCAACACGAACGTAAGAATGGTTACCTCTCAATGTTTTATTCAATGTTTCCGGCTCCCTTTTAGAACTTGACGTGTTCACCAAATATTGGTGTGCTCCCAATCCGGCAACTTTCTCAGCTTGACTCACTTGACTGCCAAAGTCTACATTATCGTACTCTTTCTGTGTTTTCTGCAATGTTTCCCGGTCCCTTTCATTTGAGGTTGTCGCCAAATGTAGGTACGTTAGCAAGCCGAAGGTGCCGACAACTTGTAGGGCAATAAGACGACAGAATCTTGACTTCCACATGTTTCCAACTGACGACGTTAATTCGTGTACAGATCGTTTACAGGTTGTAAACAGTTCGTGTACGTTCGTCTTCGTTCTCAGACTAGTATACAGTTTTCGGTGAGATTATTATGGATTAAAATAACGTTGCCAACTCAGAGTGTTTGTTGTTGGATCCGGGTATTAATGTTGTAGTTGGGTTTAGTCCAGCACTTTGATTGTTACTGATTAGGCATACTGAGAGAGGGACGGTCACGAATCACATGTAAGCAACGCTAGATGTTATGTTATTTTGCACAGTAATATAAAAAAAACTTAAGACGAAAAATATTCTGGATGATACACACACACACACACGAATGGACACTAACCATACACCCGCCCTCACTCTTAAGTATGTCTTTTGCACCATGCATGTGAAAATATGAGTATAGATTTATTAGGGCTTTAAATTGTGTAAACTGCATCGTAGTTTCTCATATTTCTCAAAATCTGCCTAGCGCCTGCATCAACAAAGAATGGTTCACACGTACACAAACACACCAAAAATAGTCCGCACCGGACGTATAAACACAATAAGGTTCCTGCCCTCTGCTCTCCAGCCACTCATGTTGCGTGAAATCAGTGACAGTCGATCCATACCAGGATGTAAAACATCCTTGCCGTTATATAAACATACCATATAAAACTGATCAGAACGTACGCTAGAGCACTACCGCCGTGTCAGGCAGACAGAAGAGTCATGAACACCAACACAGGTAAAAACACCTGCTGCTTAAGTGTTTAGGATCGCGTTTTAGGACAGTGGATCATGTTTTAGGACAGTGGATTGCGTTCTAGGGTAGTGCATGTGTTCTACTGACAGTGGATTGCGTTCTAGGACAGTGGATTGTGTTCAAGGACAGTGGATTGCGTTCTAGGACAGTGGATTTCGTTCTAGGGCAGTGGATTGCGTTCTAGGGCAGTGGATTGCGTTCTAGGGCAGTGGATTGCGTTCTAGGGCAGTGGATTGCGTTCTAGGGCAGTGGATTGCGTTCAAGGACAGTGGATTGCGTTATAGGACAGTGGATTTCGTTCTAGGGCAGTGGATTGCATTCTAGGACAGTGGATTTCGTTCTAGGGCAGTGGATTGCGTTCTAGGGCAGTGGATTGCGTTCTAGGACAGTGGATTGCGTTCTAGGGCAGTGGATTGCGTTCTAGGGCAGTGGATTGTGTTCAAGGACAGTGCAATGCGTACTAGGGCAGTGGATTGACTGCGTTTTTAGGACTGGATTGCGTACAACATTAATACCCGGATCCAACAACGAACACTCTGTGATGGCAACGTTATTTTAATCCACAATACTGTATACTAGTCCGAGAACGAACGCACACGAACTGTTAACAACCTGTGCACGAACGTCGCTAGGTGGAAACATGTGGAAGTCAAGATTCTGTCGTCTTATTGCCCTACAAGTTGTCGGGACCTTCGGCTTGCTAACGTACCTACATTTGGCGACAACCTCAAGCGAAAGGGACCGGGAAACACTGCAGAAAACACAGAAAGAGTACGATAATGTAGACTTTGGCAACAAACTGAGTCCAGCTGAGAAAACTGCCGCCTTGGGAGCACACCAATATTTGGTAAACACGTCAAGTACTAAAAGGGAGCCGGAAACATTGAAGAAAACATTGAGAGGTAACCATTCTTACGTTCGTGTAGAATTTGGGGGTAAACTGAGTTCAACTGAGAAAGTTGCTGGTTTGGTAACCCGTCAACACTTGGCGAAAATTTCAAAAGAAGCGGATCTGGAATCATTACATAAAACGTCGACTAACAACACATACGGTGACGTAAGGTTAGGCGGGAAATGGAGTCCGACTGGGAATCGGAACGGCTCCTCCGGTGAGAAAATGGCCATCCTGGTGACGTTCAGAGACAGAGAGGAACACTTGAGCATATTTCTCAGTCGCATGCACCCGTTTTTCCAACGCCAGGGGCTCGATTACACCATTTACGTCATAGAACAACACGGCGAGGAACCGAGATTCTGCAAAGGTTTGCTTTACAACGTCGGCTTCACCGAGGCCTTGAAAGACGATCCTAGTTACGACTGCTTTGTCTTGCACGACGTCGACCTCATTCCCGAGAACGACAGTACACCTCTGTACACCTGTGCCGAGTCCCCGTATCACTTGTCGGTGGCTGTCGACAAGCTGAAGTACAAGTTGCCGTACCCTGGGCTTGTCGGCGGAGTTCTAGCCTTGAGTACGTCGCATTACAAACTGCTGAACGGTTACTCGAACTTATACTGTGGATGGGGGGCGGAGGACGATGATCTTGCCCGGCGAATGTACAAAAACGTGTTGAGGGTAAAGCGTCCGGACAAAGCCGTCGCAAGATACCACATGTTACCGCACGGCCATAAGAATCATACCATTAATCAGGAGAAGTACTTTCTGCTGTTTAATGGAGTACGCCGGGCAAAGATGGACGGTCTGTTAGATCTACATACAAAAAACTATACCGTAACATCGATAACTCGCAAGGCACTGTACACTCACGTCTTGGTCAACGTTACGAAGAGAAACGCCATCAATACACATATGAAAGTCTAAGAATGTTAATTATCTAACAACATCCTCACAGCCGTGACGGGCGGCGATATCGACTTCCGATGAACTTTGACCCGGTGATGACGTCACACGTGAACAAAACACGTGATCGTTTGGGTCACAAAGCTGACCAAGACCGTCAAAAATGATCAGTAATTCTATGAGTTGGAGATTTAAGGTCAGAGATTTCTCTTTAACTATAGCTAATTTAATTTCTCGGTTCTCGTACGGATTTTTTGGGGGAAATAGAGGTGCAGGGCAAAATATAAAAGAAACAAACATCACTTGATACATACTTGGCTGGTTAACATGCACATTTCAATTAATTTTTATCTACTGCATTGATAAATGATAAAGCATGCAGCAAAACCAGTACTTTCTTCAGAGGTTGTTTCTAAAATATGATAATCATTTGGGGTTTATTCACATCCTGAATGGTACTTATACAAGTAACCTAATCTTAGAAATTAATTTGGCCTGACCTTAAAAAGAAAAAAAATTATGGCAGAACACATTGTACTTACAGGTCACAAGTCATCTCAACAGTTTTGAAAGTACTATAATCTGCTGGAATAGACTTTTTTTAATACATTGTAGATATTAAACACATTAAACATTTCAAACAAAACATTTCAAACTTTCACTCTGTATACTTGTATATCATATCATATCATATCATATCATATCATATCATGATACAAATCAATTCTATTGCAACTTTTAGGTATCTAAAGTGATCATATAATATTGCTTTAAAATCACTCATCCATGCATGTAACTCTCAAAGACTTACATCCTAAAACCTTGTCACATTGTGGGGGATAAAGGTTTGAACTTTGTTACGGTTCAACTTGGTATGTCAGTTCCAACAGCCTTCAGCTTCATAGCTACAGTAATAATGAACAAACATGGAACAGATAGAATACTGGTTTTCAAATAGAAACACACAGCTTTTACAAATCGTTATGTAATTAGCCACGTAATTGTGCACACTAAAGTTTAACTTTGAAACCATTTCCCAGTTGGGAGGAAGCAGAAACATTGTGAAAAACACAATCTAGGTGGGGTATCAGAATACTAGCTGCCAGAACGTTTTTACATGCAAATTAGGGCTGAAAATACCACCTACAGGTTAGTGCAGGTAAAACTGGAGCTATGCTGGTATTTCTGATGGTTACCTGCACTGCTCCATGCTCTAAGTATGCAAGTGTAGGTGGGTTTTGGACTGATTATTTGAGTTGTTATCACCTGTGAAATGCTAAATAAAGAATTCAGATGGTTTCTTATAATTGTCTGCAGTTTGATGCATATTTCGTCAAAACTATTTTTCAGGTACGTACAATTTGTTAAGTGCAGGCTACTTCAAATGCTACCTGCACCAGTGCAGATATATATCTAAAAAAAAAGTATTTCAAACCGTGCATCCTTCAATTTATACCAAGCTTTTATAATAAGTGTGCTGAAACGGTCAATAAACTATGACGTTCTTGTCATGTGGGACAACTTAAGTCACAAGTGGAAGACATCACGATCACTCAGAGTTTGACAAAGGCTTCCAAGATGACACGTCCGTCATTAACAAGTCCACAGTTCGGCTTCTCCAACTCCTGAAATCAGGCAAACAGGACTGAAAACACTTCTGCAGCCAATACCTCAACACAAGCAGTAAAAGTTGTCATTACGTGTATCAAAAGTAAAGCAGTCATACTGTCAAATTAAGGCCTAGGAAAAAAATGTTGTGTTTCCTGTTTCAGTATTTTCTTTCTTTCTTTCTTTCTTTCTTTCTTTCTTTCTTTCTTTCATTTAGACTTTCTTTAAGGTGATTTCTAGTGATCAAACTCATGCAAGGCAGTTTAACAAAGTAAAAACTTGCATGAGGACACATTCATTTTCAATGTCAATGTTGGAAAACCGATTGTACAATATAATGTTAAATGACTCGAATGTCAAATCATGGAGCTCGAAAAATATCAGTTCGAAAAATATATGTCCCTTGCAGGGATCCACACAAAAAAAGGCTAGGGTCGGCAGTTTTTTGTAGGGTCGGTCAGGAAACACAACATAGTAGGCTTAATGTAATGAATTGATACCAAATCACTGACCTCTAGTGCGATGAACTCTGACCATCCTTTGTTAGCGTGCTGGGCATCATATCGATTTCTCAACCCTGGACAGGAACAGACAAATGTTTAGAAGTTGTCATTCAAACTTAACAGCAACTTGAACTCACTTCAATCAAGTTTATTGCAAAGTTTTGACCTCTAAGTAAAATTACTAGTACTACAGTAGTTTCTGTACTCACATTTCTGGTACATCTGACCATGTGCTTCTTGTGGAAGAATGCGGAGCTGTGTTGCTACAGTCAAGAACCAGGCACTGAGGAAAAGTTCAGGCATGTCAAACTTGAAAACAGGCTTCCCAACATAATGAAAACATGCTGTTTACGTTTTGAGACATGATTCACTGAAATGCACAGAAATGGCAAACACTAAACAGCATTTGTTGCCATGTCTCTCTCAATATCAAAATAGGTGCAATAGGTAAAGGTAGTTCCAAAGATAAGGTACAGAATTAAATGTAGTCCTATAGCCTTTTTGAGGCCGTTGGGGCAGTGGGTTTTAAATCCATTGGAAGACAGAGCCCATGCCTCTCCTTCCACTGCTTATTACCTCCCCAACCAAAGTCAGGTACATATTTTACACCTGGGTGGATACAGGAATAAGTCATATAAAGTGCCTTTCCCAAGGACACAACGAATTGCCACGAATAGCAGGAATTGAACCCGTTACCTCTTGATCTTGTGTCCACTCACCTAGCCACTCAACGCCACTGCTTGTATAGAAAATTAATGTAACTGTGTCTAATCGGAGGCTTACCCCTGGCTGTCTGGTCTACCCAGACACTGCAGGAACACAGACAGGAATCTCTTCTGTCCACCACTCACTGTAGACAACTTGTTCTCTATTAAAAGTCTCCTGGAGTGAGAGAAAAGAACAGTAAACTAGAAAGGCCAATATTTGCTATGGAGCAAATACAGCGATGGGTTCACCACATTTTACGACATGGCAGGGAAAGAATGGGAAACACAAGGGAAAACAATGATTTACATTGATATAACTATAATATGAAGTAAAATACAACTAAAACAACAGTTGGATAGCTATTCCCTACTTTATTGGTTAGGATTTTTAATTGCATAATGCAAACTGTTGATTTTCAAAAAAAAAAAAAAAACGTCCATGCCCGGCATTCCAATGCTGGAGCAGGAAAGCTTGAAATACCTACCAAAACACTTGAATACAGACATACTGTCAGTATGGAAATGCTTCCGTGCAGGTGTTAATCAAGTTAAATCCCAACAGCCAATCAGCAAGAAGTATAGAGGAAAGCTGCATGCCTATTGGTTGATGCCCTGCATTCCATTGTCATGACTCATGCCCAAACGTGGTAAACAAGGCATACTAACACAGTAATACATTTGCTATAACACAGCCAAAAAACTCAAATAAAACCATTCTAAAAGCCTGTATCACAATAATTTAAAAAACGCCTAGGGGTATTTGCCCACTGTACCTCCATACCAAATTTCAGGACCTTAGGCCCTAAAATGAAGAAGCTGAATCCATTTAAAAAATGGCAGGAGAAGAAGGAGAAGGAGAAGAAACATCAGAAAAAGCAATATGGTTTCACCACACCACTTCGTGGTGTGGTGAACCCATAATGAGTGGGCTGACATTTGTTAGCAAAATGGAAATATTGTTCTATAGCCTCTACATTAACCCATGGGCGAGCAAAACAGCAAATGTTGAGAATTCTGCTGCAGTACCACTGAAAGCCAGTAGGGGCCATTACATGTCCCATCCCAGTGACACCTGAAAAGGGCTAGAGTAACCAGGTTTTTGCTTTCTTGGGAAGCCGAAGTTGCACAGTCAAAAAAAGTCCAATCTCTTGTGTTTTTAATTACAGTTTAAACTGCTTCATAAGGACAGTTGTATGGGTTGAACTGTGACCCTACCATTCCAGTGACTGCCAGACCACAGCTGAGCTGTAGCGTCTCTTCCCCACCGGTCCTGTCCTGAAGTCTGCCACACTGATGGAGGCTCGGATAGTCAGCTCTGTACTGCTCGAATCTGCACACAACATCATCATCATCATCAGTTGACCGTATGGGTCATATAGAATACTACACGGTGTATTCCGTATCGCCAGAGGTACCAGCCCAACAGCCAAAGGCCAGAGGGAGATCCGATCCGTGGGAGGACTGGGACTGAGGGTGATGCGGAATACACTGTGTTGTATTTTATTTATGTCATACCCACCCGAGAAAACAGACGTTTCAATGTGAAATGTGCCAAAATTTGGTGTATCTAAACAAAAAGTGTAATGGCGTCAATTCCAACATCCAAATTCGGTGTTCTAAGTTTCAGAGCCCTGACTGTGCCCACCATGAGAGAGCTCCATGCCCTGTAGGGTCTGTAAGGTTGGTCTGAAGTCCACACACTTGGACAGAGACGTGTGCGGGAACAGGACGTCACAGGTCTCCTGGGACTTCTGCAGCTCTGTCAGCCTGGGAACGGGGTAACACAGGCAGCTTAGGAACAGGGTAACGTGTGATTTAAAGGCATCGGATGTAATTTCAGGGCAGTAAAACTTGATTTTCAAAGTCAATTTTCTGGTCTTTCTTTTTACTGTGCATAGGGTTCAAGTATTTCATGAAGAGAATAATTATGCATTTTGTACCCTAAGTATTAACTTAATAGAGCAAAGGTATGAAAATTAAATGGGTGCCTACTTTTGTTGAAGAGCTTGAACATCCTGCAGAGAGAAACACAAAATATAAACTTATTAAATTGCAAGCAATGTTTTCTTTTCAGACAATATAAAGTATACTTAGGCCACACTATGTATGTGCAAGGATATATTCTTAAATTATATAGACTTATATTATATGTTGATGATAATTATTTTGTCTGACCCTGACCTCTTCCCTCAAGACCTCAATGAAACTGCACTTGAGAACTTGAGTACTTCAAGAATAGACAAAAGTTCAAACAAAGAAATGATTGCTACAGACCATTAGGAAGTTGACTGGTTGCTTGTTCTCCAGATGGTGTTTTGCCAGTTCCAGTTCCTTGGTCAGGGCCTCGTGTTTGTTCTTATACACACTTAGCAACTCCTTCTGCCGCTGGAGATATCTGAGGGAGACATAAGTTTCTCATGTAAGGATATTTTTGAAAACTTGAGAAGATCCTTAGATTTAGAATGTTAAGGGGGTAATTATTGCAATTGTATTTTGTCATGTGCCTCGAACATGAAATGCATTCCATTTTAGTTCTAGAGTGCCAAACTGGATGGCAGACAATGAACAATGTGTACTTCTAGATGTGGAAAGGAAAAGATTGCAGGGGACAATTCAAGGAGTATAAAGATGAAATGAATCGCTTTTGCCTATCATTTTTCTTCAGAATTTAATTTTGGGTTTAACACTTTATTACAATGCAGATATTGAGACTGAATTGTAATGACTTTACACAGTGCATTTTGAAAATGGTAATTAAAAATCAAAACATCAATGCACATTATTGATATTCATGATTGTGTTCCTTTCTTCTTTTTCATGACATTCGTTATCAATTCTTATTCTTTTATGAATTTGCTACCAATTACACAATCTCTCCTGGCCTCACATAATAATATGGAGAGAATTACAATTGACCTATCCCTACCTTGTCTTTGCTGCCTTTGTCTGTGCTATGAGAGCCTGCTCCTGCTTGTCCACAGCTTTCTTCAAGTTACTGCACTGGTCCTTGATGGACTGTTCCAGGCTCTTGGCTGAGTGCTGCAAGACAACAGGTATATAGTAAGATGTCATCTTTGAATACATGAACAGAACCTAAGTTAAATGGTAAATTCAGTATCTGTATCTGTATAGCCAGTATAACTGCCCTTTGGCATAACACACCAGCTGAAGTGAAGGTGTGTTATAATGCAGTATGATGCATGTCACATTCCAGTTTATTTTCAGTTGCGAAATAGTTGCTTTATTTTTATGTCAATTACTGGTCACCATTTTCAAGTCAAACAATCCTTAACATCATTTTTACTTTCTCCATTTCTCATTCCACAATCTACATGTAGTATTTGTACATTCTACCTTTTCAGGTTTAGAAGTTTGAGTTCATTCAGATAATTTTTTACTTAACAATTCTTCTGTATTGTACATAGCTTTTTAGCATAAGTGTGTGATATGTTAGTAAGTCTATTTCTATCTCACTTTTAGATGCTTTCTTTGAGATGAAAATAAGGCTTTACAGGTAGAAACAACTTCAAATTCCCTTAATGCATGTAGAAAATACTCCTTACTTTAATTTTCTCCTCCGAACGTTTGAGTTTCTCCAGACTCCAGGTCATGTTTTTACTCCTGCCCTCCAGGAGTACCAGACTCTCCCGCACTGTTTTCTGTACAAACACAACAAGAACCTTACTATCAACAAAACAAACAGGATATAGGTAAATATAGAACAAATACCTGTACGGAGATGTCCACAGTTGAAGTGTGAAATAATGGTACACATTCCGGTTAACTGTTTGTGCAGGACTGGTACATTGTACATTATAAAATAGGAGTTGTATATCTACACCCAAGCGTTTAGAATGTCTACCTGCACCAGTCCAATTTTTATGACAGGGCTTGAAATACCACTTGAAGTGCCTTTTAAATGACACCCAAGGCACACAATATTTAGCCAGAAATGGCAGGAATCAAACTTGTGACATATGCATGTCTGCTGGCCTAACCACTCAGACACTGACCATTGATGCCCTAAAGACACTGACCATTGATGTACCTCACCTCACCTATATATACTAGTAGTACACATACTAGTTTACTGTAAATGCATTTTTGTTCGCGAGAGTTTTAGTCGCGAAGTCATCTCCTCGCGAACACTTTTGTTCCGTACTGACCCCCTCCCCAGCACACCATGCATATACGAAGGCAACAACAACAACAAAGTATACTAGTACTCGAAGACTCGAAGAATAACATCGTTTTTGTAATGAAATATAAATTTATTTTAACAAACATACGGCGGTCCAGTGATGCCGATTCTGTCCTTGACCCTACCGATAGCACCGAAGTTGTCCTTTGAAAACCCCAAAAATTGTGAGGGCCTGGCTGGTCAGTGCGCTCAGGCCCGGGAACTTGCGCCGAGCGGTACTCACGGAATCAGAACCAAGTTGTCTGCGTATCGGCACATGGTGGCGGCGTTGATAAAATTTAAAAATCACTGATTCGTGAAGTCAAATCCCTCGCGAACTCTCAAATTGGCCGATACTGCGAAAAAAAGTCCTCGCGAACAAAAATGCATTTACAGTATTTATTTGCATTATGATAAGATCTGTATTACCCTGGCTGTGTCGTATGCTGCATGTATGTCTCCTGTAGTGTGTCCTCTATGGTCTCCCTCCTGGACACATGATGTACACACAGGTCTCTTACAGCTCACACAGTACACATCCAGGACCTGGTCTGTGGAACATGGACAACAAGGCAATCAGAGATGGCAGACTTCACACCCTTCATGCAGTGTTGTATTGCTTATACATATACAGGGCTCGAAATACCAGGTGGCGCACTGGCGCGGCGCCACCTGATTTTGCTTGGCGCCACTTATTCCTAAACTCAGGTGGCGCAGCGCGCCACCTATAATTTGCGTGGATCGAGCCGCTAATCGCATGGATCGGGCCCCATTGTCGGCACAATCTTGTGAATTGTCGATGAATTGTCGATCTCGCCATGACGCCACAAAAAAAAAACGTTCTCATTGGTAGAAAATCAGACACCTCGCTGGCGTTTCACAACACAATTTTCATGTAAACAACTCCGACTGTCCTTGTACATGCAAAGCGCGCCGATACAAAATCCTGCTAAGTTTTCGGCGGCTCGGCAGAAAAATAATCCATCCCCAGAAGAAATTTTACGCATGAAAATAACAACTACAACTTGTTTTCGTCGTTATATGAGTTTCTGAGGCCGTAAAATGTTAAAACGGTTGAAATTTGTCGGAAAAAACAGCTCGAAAGACAGAATGAAAATGGCCGACGCTGCTTCCAACAATGTGGTCAAAGGTGAAGATAGCATCCAAGCGTCCAAGATACATGTACTAGTATTACACGCATGAAAAAAATTTTTTCGGCAACGACAGAAATAAAAATTCACTCGTATTTTTAAAAGGTTAATTTGTAAACATTACCGTGAAATTTTCCGAATTTATTGGTTTCTAGTGTCAGAATATAATGTTGTTTCTATGAATGTGCGGTTGGATGCTGTGGGGGCTTTTACAATCGGGAGAATCAGATATTAAGAGCATGCTTTCTTTCTTTCTTACTTTCTTTATTGAGTGTCTCTAAATTTTTTTTTAGTATGAGTTTATAGACATAATCACATTTTTATTTGTTCAGCTGTGTCAATATGTGATTTTGTTTGGGAAATATGATTTAATTTTTTTGGGTTAAAAAGTTTGGTATATATTAATTATGTCCGTAACACCTTAGGAATACTTGCTCCAAGTTCCAGGTAATAAGTACATGTACAATTTGTATCATGTATTTTTCACTTGTTGAACTTGTGGAAGCACCGTTGGCCCCCGGTTAGGGGTCATCCGGGGAACCTATGCCCAATTTTTTTTTTAAATCAAGGGAGCTAATACCATTTTTTATTAGATTTTGAAGATTTGTCCGGGGGGTATGTTTGTTCCGGGGGGTATGTTTATTTGGCAGATGAGAGTAACATTATCCTTGCGCAAACGAAGAACATGGCGCACGTAACACCACCCGCATAAGTGTGCCGCCATGTAGAGGCGTGGCATTCCCACGGCGGCAGCCCTGTGATGAAGTGATGTAAAGGTGGCATTCTTTATTAAAACATTGTTGTTTGAGAGCTTTTGTGTTCTTTACATTACTTTATTTTATAACATAAAACTTTAGTAGTTAACTAGAAGAAAACGTAATAGATATAAGTAGCAGATTTGAAGAAAATGATAACTTGGAAGTGTTGCCACTTGAATACTGATGGCGCCTCCTGGCTTTTGACTCAGGTGGCAACATGCGCCACCTGGCTGAAAAAAGTATTTCGAGCCCTGATATATGACAGACAGATATAAACAATCCCAAAATAATTACAACACTCCATAACTAAAGCCATACGGACCAGATTGCCTGGTTGAAAAATAAGTCGGGGGGCGTCGCCCCCCCAAAAATCTTGCTAAAACCCTTTGTATTTTTCCACTAAAATCTGCCGCAAATACTAGCAAAGAAATACAGCGCGCGGCACTGCGATGGTAGACGACACTGCCCCTTGTTTTCTTGCGAAATCCTCGGGCCGCGGCCGGCTGTTGTCTCTGTTTGTCCGCTACTGGTCTTTAGCGGAAGAGTCACGGGGACTGTACGATATTTACCGGGGAGGGAGGGCCGGTCGTCTGAGGGGGGAGGGCCTAGGGAAAAAAATTGAGCCGGGGGGAGGGCCTAGAAAAAAAATATTTTAATTTGGGGGAGGGCCTAGGTAAAAAAATTTTCCAAGATCCTTTTAACTCTACAACGTTTTTATACACTTTCAAAGCATGTCTGTCCCATACATATCGTAGCGATTTGCCAGTCATTGGAATCGGCAGAATTTTACGTTCCAATAATATCAATCCCTATTATTATAATGTATTCGCCCAAATCTCCCACAGTCCCCTTCAAAATCTTGCAGTTTCGCCAGAATCGGCGAAACTGGACTACACAGCCAAATTACATGGATTAAAGTCGCGGCAATCGCGGCAATCGAAACGATACCGATCAAAAATGTAGGGAAGGCTTGTCGGAAGATTTTGAAAATTAATTTTCGCCGTTCAACGCACCCTTCCCAGAGGTGTGCGTGCGTGCGTCGGCAAAGGTCCCGCTGGTCCCGCCTCGCAACTCGCTCGAACTTTTCGGCGTGGATATGTCGGATGTTGACGGATTACTAGTAATTTGGTATTTTTCTTAAACCAAGGACTATTTTAACATTTATATCTATGTCCCTCCGTAAGTTTTTTTTTTTTTTTTTAACTTTTCCGTGTCCGCCACGGCTACTTTATTAAATACAAATGTTCATTGATACATGTATGTCATAACAAATTCTCAGCAAAGCTTAGTGTACAAAGTGTACTCATGTGTATATGGAACAGTAATAAAGGAAGGTATTAACTACATCATCTTTCTGCAGTTTTCTGTGGTCATCTTTATGTCTTAACCAGGACACATAGATGGCATACTTAGTAGGGCTGGGTACCGGTTCAGAAAATTCAGGTCCAGGTCCGGATCAGGTTCAGAGGATCAGGTCCAGGTCCGGACCTAAACCTGGACCTTATTACTGAAGTACAGTAGTAGGAGCAATTTAACTGAGTACGTGTATGCCTTGATGATATCTATCGCATGGTACTACCACAAACCTCATGGTCCGTGAACTTTCTTATCGACCTAAAATGGAACCCACTGTTACAGAAGAGACAAACATGGATTTAGGCTAATCTAGTTTGATTCATGGTTATTTTTTTCACTTGCCATGACCAGATTACTTAAAGATGTCTGTACAATCTACCAAAATGTACTCTAAAATTAACAGAAAAGTACATCAGGTCCGATGATCAGGTTTTTGCGTTTAGGTTTTTTGGACTCGGTTCTTGAATGTTGTTCAGGTCCAAACAGGTCCAGCTGAACCGGTACCCAGCCCTAATACTTAGCGATTGTTAATATGTTACATTCTTCTGAACTTAGCAAAACTTCATCGTGCGTTACATCCTTGACAACATTAACTCTATTCCAGAAGTTCTTAAGTCTATCGCATTTCACAAACATATGTTCGTAGTTTTCCACAGTATTACAAATTACACAGTTATTACTATAAATGTTTCCTGATTCGTCTTTTACATTCCATTTGTTAAGTAAGTACCTACAGGGTAGTATCTTGTGCAGAATTTTAAAGTTTACTTCCCGCAGCTTATTGTGTTTAATATTACAAGTTTGAAATTTCCAGATTTTTCTCCAATCCAGATTAGGGGTTTCGAAGTTAATTGAAAACAACACGTAACTTGGCAATATTGTTCCCCTGTTTGTAATAAAATTGACGCGGAAGAAGTTCGTGGACGAAAGGTAGGCTAGATTTATTTCGATTTACACTGACTGACCTTAACGTTACTGACTTTAAATTTATATCTCGATGTACCAGCGAAATTTGTGCTGCCAAATTTGCCCCTCAACATGCAAAACATGGGTTGAAATTCAAAATTTTTTCGGGGGGAACATGCCCCCCCCCCAAAAAAAAGCCGGGCCTACTAGGGCTCTAGTGGCGCCTGTGGCGCGATGGCTCGCGCCTTCGGCGCTTCATGCGGGGAAAATTTTCAATCAAAATCTCGTCCTCCCCATACGAAAGTTCACTCTCTATGATTCACGCCGGGGGGAGGGCATAGGAAATTTTTTTGAGCCGGGGGGAGGGCCTAGGAAATTTTTTTTTACCTGGGGGGAGGGCCTAGGAAATTTTTTTTTACGCTACTCCCGGCGAAGTTTATAGCGAGGTCACTGCCCTCTTGGTAGGGGTAATAAAACTGAGCTAAGTGCTAGCAAAATTTGCCCTTCAAAATGCAGGAAATAACGTTTCAGAGGGTCTAGATTTCAAAATTTTCCCGGGGGAGCATGCCCCCGGACCCCCCTAGATAACGTCGCGCCTTCGGCGCGACGCCTCGCGCCTTCGGCGCTCGCAAAGATAGTGTACATGGGACAAAATCTCGCCCCCCCAGTCAAAATTTCGTGCCGCCGCCTCTGATGCTCATCAGTTTTTGACTGTTCTAAAATAAAGTTTGAGGCCATGCTGTTTCTTCACTAGTAGGTGCTTGAAGGATGACAGAAGTCAAAAGAAAAAGAAGATGCAGAGGAAGGGAGGTAGGGTTTGAATCGCTACTTGCTTGCACCAACAAGTCTGCCAAAGTCAAAGAAGATGCAAAAGAACAAAGAAAAAGAATTTACTGTTGAGCGTTCTGTCATTTGTTCAAATTTTCGTGACCACTTAGATTTTGTAATGATGGCAACAGCTTTTTTTTCAAGCTCACATGATCGTCATCATTGTACACAGATGATATCTCACATATAAATTATTGTTACAGTATTAAACTTTCTGTATCTGTATCAGTATAGCCGGTGTAACCGCCTTTCGGCGTAACACACCAGCTTCGCAGGCACGCGGCGCGGCGGCAGCTGGCTATATACTTTACACCGATCGACTTGTTATACTTAGCCCTTGAACATCTAACTCTACACATTGTTTAAAGCTATCTAATGACAATGCCCCTACTGTACTTGGTGACAGCGAGTTCCACTCATAGTCTCAAATCAGTATGTCCTATTCTCACAATCATTTAGCAAAACTGGAACAAAGCCTGACCTTGGTGCACAGAACACATGAGCGGCCGAGCCTTTTTCTTCTCACTCCCACTCTCGCCTTCCCGTTTCCTCTTCCCCTCAGACTTGCGACTCTTCTGGAAGCTGTCTGTGATGTTCTGGAGGTGAAAGTTCCTGGGCAGAGACTGGATCACATGCTCCTTTAAGGAAACCTGGAAGACATTACAATAAGAGTCACGGCTGACAGCACAGGGCTGGAAATACTGGGTGCATGTGCACCTTAGTACACCCAAATTTAGAGCTGTGCACCCAATTTTTTTCTGTGGGTGCACCAGTGCATCCATATTTTTGTAGGTTTACATATGTCAAGATGATAACTGTATAGAGTATACAGCATATTCTTAACATTTTAAGTATCAGAAAAATAATAAAATCACTCTTGTACTACTTTCCTTTGGAAATCAAACATAAATAGTTTTTGCAGACATTCTGCTCATTTTATTTTATATGGTGCACCCCAAAAATTTTCTGTGCACCCAAATATTTCAGATTGTGTGCATCAGTGCACCTATTCCCAAAAATGAAGTTCGAGCCTGAAGCATTAGCAAAGGCTGCAGGCCGGGGTGCCCTTAAGCCAAGACGTTACGCAGTACTGTATAGAAATTGAAAATAGGAGTAAGCTCAAAGTTTGGAATAAGAGAGGACTCAGGTAGAGATCAAAATCACTTAGTTGTTTGAAGTATAAAAGATATCAATTTCATGGTATTCACAGTTAATGAAATATTCATTTCTCTATTAAAGACAAGGAAAACCTACCGTCTCCTTGCATGTTGGACACTCGAACTCCAGAGCTTTTTCTGCCGTCTTGTTCTGAGTCTTCCTGGACCTCCCTCGTCTCAAGGGCTTGTTCTAAGAAGTCAAATAACATAAAGCAAAAAATTCTGATTCGTGACCACTGGTTGACATATCATTAAATATATGCTCATAATCATTATGAGCTGCAAAACAAATGAAAAGTGCTACTAGTACTACTGCTCAGTTTTAATGGTCAGAAATTTTATAAGACTTTTTATGTGTCATTGGCTAGGTTGTCATAATCCTTGATGTTTTTTTTTTTCGTTTCTTAAATTTCTTTATTTTTTTTATACCATTGTCGATATTATATGGCCCCCAAAGAATTTTATTGAAAACATGTAATACTCGAGGCCCGAGGGACATATTTTGAAGGTTTTCAGTTCCTGGATCTTACCCCCTTGGGAGCTGCGATCTTCTGTAGACAGTCGGTACAGAAGCTGTGCTGACAGGGCAGGACTCGGGGCTCCGCAAACAGATCCAGACAGATCTGTTGATGGGGCAACAGCAGGACAAAATCTTGATTTTCTACTCCGAAAATGGATACTTTCAAAACCGAACTGGTAACGTTACTCCAGTATATTTCGGTCGCTTCTAGATCAACATCAAATTGTTGTCATTGTTGCCATCATCACATGAAAGGCGTATAGTGATTACCGTATATACTAAAATTCCTGTGCCCCCCCCCCCCCCATAGCAACAACAACAAAATTTTTCAGTCTGATTTTCACGATCGACAAACCCAAACTAACTTCAAAATTCATGCCAATCTCACCGGACACGTCAGCTCCTCTTGTAGTGGATCTTCTGATGCCATTTTCTCGATGGATTTTTAGATGAAGGCGCCGTAAAAGCAGTAATGTTTGAAATCAATCGGTGACAGATCTTCACAGACGTTTTTTGAACGGACTTGAAAATGGCGCCAAAGGTCAAAGGGTAAATCTGAGATTTGGTGCAAACAGCCAATGCAGCAGACGAATTTTGAACTTTCTTCCTCAGGATATGCAGGATTTTGCTTATAATGACGAAAACCTGACGTACTTTCGTGGAATGTGAGGCTTATTCAATCATTTACTGAATGGTAAGGAAATTATGATAGTATAACGGACCTCCTGCGCCCCACCCAACTAACGCTGCAGTTCAAAAGCGACATCTACCAATCCTTGTCAACACTGCATACAGATCACGTCCTTGGTGCTGAAGCGGTTCTACCATGCAGTAACGTTACTTGTACAAGGTTTCACCACTCAAACTCAACCACATACGTGACTGCAAACGTATTAACTGGTAGAAATCAACAATTACTGTTTCTTATTGCTACATCTTTGACAGTAACTTTTGCGTGATTAACCCAGCTGCCTCCATGGCATGGGTCTAAAGCTAGAGTGTTTGGTAGTCTGTTAGTAGTAGATACATCTTGTAAAGACAACACACAATAATATCTAATCTGTAGCACTGACTTTATAGCCATAGACATTGTATATATACAACATTAGATAATTTTTGTATTCATTTCTGTAATAAAGTTACTGAATATATAACTAAATACATAACATTACAATCATTAACATTAACATTAAGTTACATATGACAAATTATTGATCATATTAACATTACATTGTTATTCCACTTGTTCCAAAATAACAGAAAGAGAAGCATTTCCACACATTTTCAAACAGGCAGGTCTATAGCTAACTTTCTAAGTGTCAGGAAAGTTTGCAGATTAAGAAAGTTGGGCTGATCTAATTGGATTTGACACTTCTAGGGTTAAATTGCAGCTAACCTGTATTTAGGGCTACCATTTTATCAGTGACATCATATTTTGTGTGAAGAAAATTTGCTATCCTGCCTCTCTACTTTAAAAACCTCAAACTCGGTTGGGTTAAGGCAGCCTATGGCCAACTATGATTAGTATTTCATACATATGGCTGTAACTTTTGATAGCTTGGTCGCACCACAACTTAACTTCACACAGTTCTAGTAGTACTTGAAACACATTGAGTAAAGGTTATTTTGTTTTTACTACTTCTGAATTTTTGGGTTAAAAATCAACATTTTGGTTAAAAAAAGCTGTGTACTTCATGGCTTTACGCCCAAGCGGTAACAACACCTTTCATCATGATATTTTACAAGTAGAAAGCCAACCCCCTATTTATTATTTTTGTCCGAGGCTATTTTGTTTTAAATGACAGTTACACTGTTTTTTGGGGCCAAAAACAACAGAAACAGCTATTTTTCTGTCATTTTTCGTTAAAAAATCGCCACAGTTAAAAAATTTCGACTTATATGCAAAATAGCCTCGGATAATTTTGATAAAAAAGTGATAATACGTAAACATGGATTACTCTAAAGATGAATTATGTTGTTTTCAGCTGGGCGTAAAGCCGTTTAAGTCATACTCCGAGAATAAAATGCGTAACAACGCGGGTTTACAGGGAAAACATACAAATGACCGCCGGTAACCCCGAATTCGAACACGCGTTCTATTCGAATGACGTCATATCGAACATGGTGGAACATGATTCGGGTTCGAAACATGTATGTGGCAATCGTGCAGATACACGTCCGAACTCGAACATGAATATCAGCCTAGGCCGCCTTAACCCAACCGAGAATCAGAGTTTCGCTTTTGCAGACTCTGCCCTCTTGACCCTGACATCCAGCCTCTCCACCCTACACCCTGACATGTCAACCTTCATCAGCTCACGCCCTCCTGGATACCTGTCCAGGTACCTGTCAATCATCTCCTGTTGCCGTGGCGACAGACTTCTGTAGTAGTCTGTGATTCGCTGCAGCATCCACATGGGGTAGGTGTAGACCCCGCGCTGACTGGTGACATTACCGAGGCGGAAATTGTGTGAGCCAATGACGCGCGGGAGAACATCAACTTCTGGATTGTCCTGTTCAGACAAAAGATGCAACTTTTTTTCTGAAATGAGTCTACAAGCGACATTAGGCAAGAGGAATTAGAATTCAGATTCTTATTGTGTACTTCAGAAATGGCTGAAGTACCAGAGTTATCAGCCAAATTTGACTGTTAATAGTACCCTGGGAGCCAGACTAGAATTGGGCCATTTAATAGCCGGTTCCCTTCGGAAGCTGGCCAACTCCCCTTGGGCTAAACTCCCCCGTAGCGCTAATTTAGATAGGTGAGCGTACTGCTTTTGGCTACCAAAGAGAACCAGCTAACAGCCCAATACTGGCTCCAAGAGAACCAGCTAACAGCCCAATACTGGCTCCAAGAGAACCAGCTAACAGCCCAAGTCTGGCTCCAAGGATATTTTAGGTGCCTTTACATGTACATCATAGTTTAGTACCTTCATGTACTGAGTGACTTTCTTGACCGTGTCCAGCAGTACTGGCACCTGTTCTGTGAACATCCGGTGGAGTATAGGATCCAGGGTAGCCGGGATCTCATCTCCTGGCAGGAAGCCCTGTTAAGAAAGTAACAAGACAATCAGAGATGGCAGACTTTCTCCCCTTCACACTGTAACAAATGGTTGAATCCTCACTTAACTGTCTGTAGAGACAGAGCTAATACAGCACTGGGTCACTGTCAACTGAAGTCTAACAGAACAATTATCATTGTGTCAATGTAAACCCGACTAACTCTAAGTGCTACACACCACTTTGCTACTACATCTGGGTCTCTCACACTTGGTCTTACACCACAGTTCCAGTTGGGTCTCACACTACAGTTTGACAACACAACACCCCCTGCTGGCAGAAATTGCACTCCTGAAGCATCTCCAGCCCCAATTGCAACTAAACACAAAACATCATGAAATGTAAGGACATGATATACAAAATTATGTAAAATAAAATAAAATATGAACATTTCTAGATATGAAAATTTTGAAGGTGGTGTTACCTGTTTATCTGGAGATACAGACTTCTTCACAGCCTTCCCATCCACGACGTCATGAGAGGGATTTAACAGAGCTCCGTTCATCCTCTCCACATAGCTGGCCACCAGGGGGGCCTGGCACTTCATCAGGTAACCTGGCAGCAATCAATCAGTCAATCAATCAATCAATCAGTCAATCAATTATCTGTGGGAGTCAGGAACCGATGCATCAGGTGGCTGTAGACATCTGAGACATTTTATACTGTAGACATTTGATACTGTATTTGCAGCCACCATATTATCTGCTTGCAAACTAACTAACTAACTAACAAACCAACTTCTGACCTGGGACAGGGTCCCTGTACAGGTGTGTGTACAGAGGTCCACAGAAACTAACTAACTAACTAACAAACCAACTCCTTGGTTGCCTGCATGCCCTTTTTTGTAAGGTGTAATCAGGCCTTTTTTAGTTAGTAGTCTTCGTAATCTGTAGGCAGCCTCCCCAAAAATCAACGTTATTCGTAATACAGTCATGTAGTACATTATCCGCAAAGCATAAAGTGATAATCACTTTGAGAATTTGCGTAATTCGTAATTGGCGGCAAAAATTTTGTTTAATTCGTAATCACTACACCCCCCCCCCATGCAGGGGTCCTCCTTACCTGGGACAGGGTCCCTGTACAGGTGTGCATACAGAGGTCCACAGAAGGCGAAGTCTGCCACACACGGCTGGTACCCCAGCAGGTAGGGATACCTGTTCAGGTGCTGCTGGAAATCTGATAAAAACTCCCGGTACGACCGCTCCACTTCTCCGACGGTGTCACTGTTAATTCCCAGGGAGCGGATGGAGTTCTAGACAACAAATTTAATCTGTCAGTATTACATGCAGAAAAATTTAGCATGAGGGAGCAGATTGCAAGCATGGTGAGGGAGCAAAGCATCAGAGGAGGGATATTTTTATGAGAGTAACACAATTGTAATGCTAGAATGTATTGCTGTATTCTTTTTTACTGGAAAAAGATCATTTTGAGAAAGACTAAATGGTGTGTGAGTAGCCACTTAGGGTTCAATCTGAAAATTGATATGAGCTAGGGAGCTGGCTGGTTACATGAGGGATTTACATTTTCACGTTTAGAAAAAAACCCTGACATGTATGTGTAAGAAAAATTCAATGCAAGACTACCATTTGGTAGCAAGACAGTTAGTCCAGGAGTTTTATACAACACATGCACCACTATTCCAAGAATGCTTAAGTTTGCGATTATATGACAGGGTCATACATACAAGAAATGTGACTGTGCCCTACGTTTCAACAATACAATTGTTGACAGTAAGAAAAAAGGAATTAAACTTAACCTTAAAGAAGCTGTAACCCTTAAAGTCTTCCAAGTTTTCCATCTGCTCCAGGGGTGAGGCATTCTCCTTGATAATGAAGCCAAAATTCAAGTCCACATACTTCTTGTGCTCAGTTTTGGACCACCTGGTGAAATCGTAACATAGTCAAATCAGTTTGACACATTCATTTTGTACACTTTGAAACCAAGGCTCATACAAGCAAGCAGAGAAGCCCTGCCAGTTTTTACTGTAATATTTAAGTACATGTATAGTACATGTTAATGAGAAATTATGAATCCTTTAAATTTATCCTATTTGCTAACATGATGAAACCAAGAAATGAACAATTAGAAGTAAAACAAACTAGATAGGTAACATTTGCAAAGCAAATGCATAATGTTTACCTTTGCATATGGTCTGCTCTGTTAATTCTTACTCAAACACATTCATATATATGGTCAGACAGGAGTCTAAATCCCTCCTGCTATAAAATTGCAACATGACGTAACCCAACACTAAGTTACCGTGGTGACAGACGTCTGGTTCAGGTCATTGACCTTATTGGTTTGGAGAGAAGAAAAAGAAGAGGAAACAGAGCAAAAACAATGTTTTCCTTCGGTAATCATAAATATCCTCCTGCTGAACAATGTTTTTGGGAATATTTAGAGAAAGGAGCACCTGTAGTGCATGGCAGGTAACAACAACCACTCATCTGCAAACAACTCCAACAGTAGAGACACCAGGTTCTGTCTGGGGGTGGGAGGTACCACTGCAGGATGGGGGTGTTTCTGTTCCAGGTACTCTATGATTGCGGTGGTGTCCTGAACCACCTTGTCTTCAGGAGTGATGATGACAGGGACAACACTCCATCCTGCCCTGGGGATTATTATTTCCATGTGGACCTGGAATAACATGACATTGTACATCATAATCTCACAGCCGTAATGATTAATACTCTTAAAGAAGGAATATGGGAGTGTTGAATGTCGAATAGGTGAGATCAGAACATACAATGATAAGACCAGTGTTCAGATTACAATGGATAGTTAATGCAAATTGTACTAGAAAGGTAACATTTGCAAAGCAAAGGCATACTATTAAATAAATGTTTACCGGCTCTGTTACCGGCTCTGTTAATTATTACTTCAAACACATTCATATGTATGGTCAGACGGGAGTCTAAATCCCTCCTGCTATAAAATTGATGTAACCCATGATGTAACCCAACACCAGTTACCATGGTGACAGAGGTCTGGTTCAGGTCATTGACCTTATATGTTTAGAGAAGAAGAGGAAACTGAGCAAAAACAATATCTTTTCCTTCGGTAGACATGAATATGGCTGTACATGTATGTTTTCACTTAGGTTTCGAAAAAAACAGTAGGCTTCCTATAGACCCTACAATTACTTTTAATATATTCAAATCATTTTGATGATATTTTAAAAAAGAATGTTCACCTGAATTGACGGCGCAACAGTCTCATATGGGATGTTCTTGTAACGTAAGTATGGCCGGACCTTCCCAGAGTAGTAAGAACACTCTTGTGCAAAAAACTGGTACACATTCTTCTTAGACGCCATCCCTGAAGGAGGTAAGAGGAGAATTATGCACGATAGCAAACAGGTTACAGTTAGCAGGGAGATCCAGACAAGGACAAAGATCGCAAGCTGCTATTTATCTCAGAAAAGTCGTTCTTAATGTCTTCATCTGTATCTGTATGACTGATATAACCGCCCTTCGGTGTAACGCACCAGCGGCGCAGCGGCAGTTAGCAATATCACACCGAACGACCTGTTACACTCTATCTTTGTACATTTGCTTGCATGAGTTGTTTGAAGCTTTCTATGGATCATGTCACTCTTGTTCTGGTGAGGACGTTGCATGAAGTTGACTTACCTAGATGGCAAACCCTCTGGACAGGACAGCGAGAATAGGGAGAAAATTGGGCCCGAAGCAGAGGAAAGTTTACTTCCGCACTGCCAGTGGGTCAAAGGTGAGGTCAATGACCGCGCGGACAGCTCGGTCATACGCAGACGCGAAACGTTTTGTTTCTAGAAATACATCAGTCGCTTCTTATTGAATACTTACAGTAAAACTCAGTCAGAACAAAGTCGTACTCTATTAGAAAGATGACCGAGGTAGGTCGGGGATTATCCGAGTCAGCATTATATTGTTATCGTGTGTTATTGAACCAGATGCTGGAATGCTAGTGGGCATTGATGTGGGGACAGTTTCAGTCAGGAATTTATGCACGAATGAAACAACTTTGAACTGTAATATCCAACACAAGAAATTGGACTCACCCAAATTTTCGACTGTGCAACTCCAGTCAAGAAATCGCACATACTGGAATTGCAAAGTCGAAAATTTGGGTGAGTCCAATTTCTTGTATTGGATATTACAGTTCAAATTTGTTTCATAATGACTTCTACCAACACAGATGAACTTAACTTTCAAGATAATACTAGTAAACTTGGAAACAACTAAATGTAGGAATTATTTGAGTTAAAGTCCGTAGAAGGATGTGTCCAAAGCGCAGCGCTGGCACAGCATTCGAACAGAGACATTGAAACGCGTGAGAAGGCACCTGTCCTTAGTGCTGAAAAGACCTCTCGTGTCGTGTGTGATCTATTTCGTATGATCTTAGGCCACAATAAGTTAATTTTATGGATGACATCCTCCGCAGACTCCAAATCTAATGCGGTAGGGCGAAAAAAACAAGGCGGGCCCACAAAAAAAAAATTCCTACATTTTCAAATGTTGACATCATAAATCTTGTTAAACAAGAAATTATACCTATATTGTGCTAAGTTTACTGCCAACTATTACAACATCCATTTCTCACTGAAACAGCTTTGAAAAATAAAAGTTTTAACCATTGTACACATGGTTTTTATTCAGTGAGAACATCAGTTATACACAGACACCATAACATATAAGAGAAATGAAATACATGTACATCACTGCTTTTAAAGACAAAACATGAAATGAGAGCCTTTTGTTGTCTCCTCTCTTCATAATTATCTGCCATCCACGTTCCGGCATGGCAACAGACATTTTTGCCTATTTTCGGCATGTGGCCACTGTCAGAGGGCAACAATTTTTTTTTTCAATTAGGCGGAAATTAATGCACGCGCTGATGTCATTCATTAAAAATCACTTGCTGTGGCCTTATGTCTAATGGCTGTAGCTCTGCTTTTGACAGAAAATGTATATGTTGCCATGAGGAGAATCGAATTGACCTTTGGTAGGCCAAATATTTTCCATTGTGGCGGGGAGTCTGAGGCCAGTAAACACAACTCGTGATTCGTTGTTCATCATCCAATTACTAGTATTCGGACGTGACGTCTTCGCTTTTTGTCGTTACAAGTTGAGTTTTCTCTCCTTGAATACTATTTCAATATTGCTCTGATCAGCTGAATACAAAATGTTATAAAGTGCTTATGCTTATTTCAGGATCTGTGAAACTTCAGACAATACTGTGGTACTCAATTTAAAACTCAAGTTTGGATTAGGGATGTAACTATAGTAAACGCATGACGACTAGGCCAGATTTCATAGCTTGTTAACATTAGACCGCAACATCTGTTATATAATAGTATCATGAAACCTGACAATGTAGATATAGTACACAATGTAATTATAGTAAACGCATAACGGCTAGGCCAGATTGCATAGCTTGTTAACGTTAGGCCGCAACATCTGTCATGTAATAGAAAGTTTATCTGAAGTGTAACCGACACTGTTAACTGTTACCTGTTCCGAATTGTTTATGTTCTTGTTGTGAGGGCTAGCCCTTTATAAATCCGGCAGTCCTGACTGTATGTATATGCTTTATACATTCTAATAAATCAAATCAACGCAATCGACCCACTCAACGCAAATGACGCCGCATTATGTACTTTACTTCTTACAGGTAGCCCCTCCCTCCCATACCCTACTAACTGCCATATCTTTGATATTGCATTTGTGTTTAACTATATCCACCACTCTGGAAGATTTGACCAATCTCATTAATGTTATGCTATAGGTATTGGTGAGCCAGCCATTTTCATTTTATGTATATGTTATACTTTATGTCATCTTTATGTTTACTTTTTGTATTATGTTTTATGAGCAGCGGATTCACATAAGCACAACAAGTGCTTCCTATCCAATGCTCAAAAATCCATGTGAATAAAATAAAATAAAGATAAATCAAATCAAAGGGGCGGCCGTTTAAATAAGTCATTCAGCACTCGACGTCACCGACGACCGACGGTTGTTTTGCACAAAGCACGTGTCCGCAAACTGTCAACAGGCGGGAACACATGTTGACAAGGGCGGTTAGACTTTGCCCCGTTCACGGCCGAACCTGGTGACCGGTCAGCATATGCGCAGTTTGGGTCTCTAGCCCTACTCACTCAGTGTGTAGGTCTTAAATGATAAACGAAACCATTATACAATGTTTCCGACGACCATTTCTTGAATTAATCCAATATATTTACTGCACATAAGTATCAAATCGCTTTTGCGACGACAGTCAACTTCGAGAGCAGAAGAATCGAGAATGTTTGAAACTTGTGAGCAGAAATACGGTGTCCCGAAATGACCCTCAAGTCATGTAAACAACTGCTCCCCACCTACAGGTCGCTATCCTTAAGTTTGTTCAACTGTTTGCGTAGCTACGTCATTGGCACCGCTTCCGGATGGTACATGTATAAGAGCTGCCCCAACCCACAACGTCACAAAGCCAAGAAGTGCCGTTTGCGGATCCCCTGCTTATACTGACAGGAACATGAAGGTGTTGTTGTACATTTTTCTTTGTTCGGCTGCAGTTAGCTTGGCTGGGTCACAGGCAATATGGAACCCGGGTGTTCCCGACGCCCCAGCACAGTTAAACCTGTTGGCAGCCTTGTTCAGGTCACAGGGACTTATTCAGCAGAAACTTGCCGACACCGTCCTCGACTTTAGCACAGTGAACTGGACAGATATCTCCATTCCCGCCCAACCAACCGGCAACATCAGCCAGCAGTGTCAGGAGGATGTTGCACAGTACGAAGCAGACTTAAAGCTGGGAAAGATGTACGCCCTGCATAGTAAGTATAAAACTCCACATCTACCAACTAGTTCTGACTTGTCAAGTCCATGGCTGCTTATATAAAGCTATGAAAGGTAACTCAGATTGTCAATATGAAAGTTGTTGGAAGAATGTGTCCTTAGAACAGGCCTAGGTCAGTCGAAATAATCATAAGTATGTACTACTAGTACGAGTACTACATTACTTAAATAGTCTCCACTTAATAGCACCGACCCGCTAGTAGGCAAGCCATCGCCATACTATATACAGAGGTTGAAGAAGATCCTCCTATTGTTAAACAACAGTCATAACTGTTAATAGTTCAATCCTCAAGGATGTACAGAGAGGACATGAGCAGTTACACCCCTAAGATGTGTGATCGTTTTGTTTGATAGAAAATCGACTGTGTGAGATTTATTGCTTTGCAGTAAAGGGATACTTTTTAGTAGCTTGGTTGAAAAACGCTCAAGTGCATGACATCATCTAACATACCTTGTCACATGCGAGTATGAAGTCACTTAGGTATGACGTTTTATCCACACAATCACACCCCGTACAGTAAATGGAACAAATTCTGCTGACATCAGACATACTATACAGTATACAATCGATAACTTTGCCCCTTTGGGTCTGTACAATGTACATACGTATATACGTCGAGAAGGCACCATAATATGTGCACACGCAGGGCTCTCCACAAGCAATGTTGCTCCCCCTCTCCCAAAATCCTAGATCTCTCCTCTCCCCATGAAATATTCAAATTTAGTGTTTTCTCTTAGTATTCTCATGAAAATTAGGGTGCACCTCTCCCGAAACTTTCTGGGAGACCCTTGACATGGTAATTTTCACAACATCGAAATTCTGTTTACAATATAACTGTTTTTAAATGCGTCCAATGCAATTTCATGAGAGATATGATGATATTGACACATACTGTCTCAAATATACACATGTGAATCAGTATTTCATACTTTAAAACTGCAAAAACAAGTCCCAAGATGAGTCCGTTATTTCCTGGGTGGTACCCTAAAATCATCTCTAGATCCTTCTAGTAACCGCTTATCGTCACAACGTTGGGAATTTTTGCTTCTTGCACATTGGGATAGTGCTGTTTCAACTCAGTATGTAGATAAATGACTAGAACATTGACTTTTAAAAATCAGGTTTCCAAGCCCTAACACTGCAATGGATTCCTTTTAACAGTGCTGGATGCAGGCGGAAAACCAGGTAGTGGAATCCTGGATGGAAACCTGTTCTGGGCCGGTAGGTACTCGCAGTGTGTGAATATCACAGGGAAAGACCTCAACATCACCTTTGATGGGAAGTTCTACCTCGCTACGCTGGTACCTGTGGCCAAAATACCACAATCTGAGCAGCTAACAGGGGTGAGTACTAGAAATGTAACGTTATGCATAATGTTTACCTTCGCATAGGTCTGCCCTGTTAATTCTTACTCAATCACATTCATATATATGGTCAGACAGTAGTCTAAATCCCTCCTGCTATAAAATTGCAACATGA